CTCTCTCTCTCTTAGTCTCTTGCTCGCTCGCTCGCACTCCCTTTCTGTTAGCTGGCTCTTGCTAACTCTCGCTGAGTGCATTATAACTGCATTTTGGTTTTGATGACGTCGTCACCGTCGTCGTCGTTGTCGTTGTCGTCGTCTGATTTGTAAATTATGCTTGGGACCCCAAAGGTTCAAACAGTTATAACACTCTCCAGTCTTCAGTCTCCGTGACTCGAGCCTCTCTCATCTCTCCCTTAAAATCCCAATGAAGAGAGCAAGCTTTGGTCTTAGCTTTTCACCTTTGCCAGCCATGTGACTTGAGAGCCGGAGTCCGAGAGAGAGAGCAGGATGCTGGTCGGGGAGCTTTGCTGATTTTCGCTGATTACGTAAATAAAGGCGAAGCCCGAGACGAGCACGAACTATAACGGTACAACCACCAACGGAATGTGTGCGGCCAGAACTGTTATAAACAATTTCACTGGAACATTGCAAGGAGTCGGAAAACCGAAAAGCCGGAGACGTACTTTCGTCAAAAGCCGAAGCCGTGTCGGTCGACCCGATTTCTCTACACACGAAATGGGGCGAGCAGCAGCAGCAGCAGTAGCAGAAGCAGCGCTGCTGGAAGCTCGGAAAACGAGAGGACGAAATGACTACAGGACTATAGGACGACAGGATGAGAGCAGGCAACTTGCAGGCTGCTGCTGATTCGGTTCTATGGTGAAAATTCAGTCAGAACGGGAACGTCGTCGCGAGCTGTGTTGGTAGCGCTCTCTGGCCAAGACAAGCAGAAAAGAAAACGCAGGATTTTTGTGACGCGAACGAGCGCCACAGCCTAAGGAATAGTCAGACTGGCTGGCCCATAGTTTTTCCATCGCAAAAGGACTCTAGGACTCTATCCTGTGTGGTGTGTGTGTGTGTTGCCGTGTAACGCGAGTGTGCCGCCAATCAAATTAAAAATATAATACAAAAAAAAAATTATAATCATAAAGTAAATTAAAAGGAAAGCAAAGCAAAAGCTAAAGAAAGAAAGAAAAAAAGTGCGTCAGCATCTCATCATCATCATCATCGAAGATGTGAAATTGAAGCTGTGTTGAGGAGCTATTGCTATATGGCTCTGATGGTGATGCTGATGCCTCAGCAGGAGGCGGGCGGCGGCAAAAAAGAAATCAAATTACAAAACAGCCAGCCAGCCAGTCAGCCACACATACAAACACATACTTACTTACTAGATAAAACCAAGCAACCGCCCAACCGACCGACCGCCCGACCGACCGACTAACCAACACACATGCACACCGAAAGGACACGCAGCGCTGAAATTGACGCAGACCATATAATTTAGCACACAAGTTAAACGCAAAAAAACAGAAAAGCAGCAGTAGCAGCAGGGAAAAAAATAAAAAAAAAAGAAAGCCAGCAAATAGCGAAAAGAAAACCAAACCGCCCAAAAATATATAGAGAAGAACATCTCATTCCTTGTATTTGTTCAAGTGTTTGTGTTTTTTTTTTCTTTTTCTTGTTCATGTTCGTTTTGTAATTGTATATAGCAAGGGGGCGGGGGGGGGACGGGGGATAGGTGGGGCACAAGGGCACAAGGTTTTTGGGGGAAAATCAAACGATTGTCAGGCCAGGCATTAAAGCCAAATTAACAAGTTGCAAAAAAAAAAAATCCAGTTCCACAAAACGAAAACAGAAAAGCGCGCTCCCCTCCAACAACAATAACAGAAACAAAAAAAAAAAAAGTGTTGAAAAATGCCAGAGCAGCTGGGATGATGGCGGCGTTAAAGGAATTGCATGGCGGTGGGGCTAAGGGCGACAAGGGGTAGGGGGCTACAAGGGTACAGGCAAATACCAACGCACTTAACACATATTTACCAGCACACACACCCACACATACACATACGCGGACATTTAGAGCCACAACAACAACAACAATTCGCTGAAACAAAAACAGAACACAAAAAAAAAGGAAAATAAAAGAAAAAAGAAAAAAAAAACTTGAAACGCGCCAGAGATTCAAGTCGTGTCGTGTTTTTGCTTCTTTACCGTTATGGCCAGGATATTTTTAGCATGCGGGGCGAAAAATTTAAATCTCAATCGAACACAGAACCAAAAACCAAGAAAAACGAAGAAAAACACACAAAAATATCAGGAGGGAGAAAAACTTTTGCCAGAGTGCGGGTGTCCTTTTATCTCTGTATGTGTGTCTGTGTGTGTTTGTGTTTTTGTTTTGTTTTTGTTTTTTTTTTTTATTATTTATTTTCTTTTTTTGTTTGGCCCACAAAAGTCGGGCTAATATAATATCAACAAGCACACCAAGAGGGGCGGTGGTGCGGGGGGGTGTGGCAAGAAAAACAACAATAATAAGGCAATGGCATATTGAAAAGCCTCTCTTGCCAGCAAGGATACAACGAAGCGCAAGGATTGCAAGCAAGAGGCAGACGTCATGCATGTGCAAGGATATTATCAACGTCATGCCTGTCGAAGCTTCCGAGCGAGATAGATAGATAAAGAGAGAAAAAGACAGAAGAGATAGATAGAGAAAGAGAGATAGGCAGAGACGGCTGCACATTTTGTTGTTGTTTGTCCTTACCGACCATTAAACGTATTTATATTTACGGATATGGGTCCAACATCCTATCGTCCTGTCGTCCTTTAGTCCCTGTGTTAAGTGCATTAAACCTATTAAAAATAATTTCAACTAAAAGTAAATAACTCGCCCTGGCTTGTGGCTGACCTTATATTAGGAGGAAATCTAATTTATCTGAGCCACATTCTGCCATAAAACCATAAACTCCGAGATAGAGATAGATAGAGATGAGAGAGAGAGTGAATTTTACATTTAATGCCCTATAAGCCATAAAAGCCAGAGTAACTTTCCCAAGCCCTACAGTTTAAAAAAAGGAACATAAAATGTTGCCTACTTTTTGGCATAAACTTTCGACAGGACTCGGATAGCTACCTGTTCTGGCAATTACTATCACTCAGATCCCATCTTAACGAAATTCCCTCGCGTGTTTAGCCAAATTTTTGAGTTAGGGTCTTGGGCCAAGATAGAAAGTTTTCTTAGCCAAGAAACAACAATCGCAACGATATAAAAATGTCATTTAACAGTCTTACTTCTAGATGGGGGAGGGGGAAAACTTTTCCTCTTTTGGGGGGCTAAGAAAGAAATTAACTTTATTGGCCGAATCAAGCGAAAATCGCTAAACAAATGCGCCCAAGCACCTTTTCAAGTGGTGGCTTTGCTAGCATCCCCGTTATATATTTTCGCCCATTTTCCTTTCCCAAGTTGCCAACTAGTTGAGCCTTCCATGTGCAATCTTCATCACGCACACACCCTAACACACACACACATACATATATAGTTGGCAACTAAACACATGGCAAATGTGGCAAAACTTGAAACTTATCGACGGCTCTAATCTAAACGGGACAAGCTGGCCAAAAAGTTTTGCCCTCTCGCCTGCCTAAGACACACTAATTCGCAGCTCTCTCTCCAACCTCCCACTCTTTACTCTTTACTTGCCCTCTGGCCTCACACTCTTCCCTCATCATCGTCTTATTTCTCTCTCTTAGTATTGTTCCAAAGGGGGGGCCCAGAAAAGTAGGCTATAAAAACTATCAACACAACTCAAGTTTGTGGCAAGTTGTTGTGTATGGGATTTCTTTTCTTAGGTGCTGCAGCAGCGGCAGCGAGAGCAGCAGAACAACATAAAAATAGGAAAACTTTTGTTGTTTTATTCTGTTGTGTATTTTTAAGTTTTCCTACCGCCCTACCGCCCTCCTGCCATCTTGCCATCCTGCCACTGGATCATATAATCCTTTCACTTAACAAGCAAACTTTTGGCAGCAGCCGAAACGAAACGAAACGAAAAAACTTTCACAAACTCCTTTGCATAAACACAAACATGACCGTAGAAGCAGCAGTAGCAGTAGGAGCAGCAGCAGTTCCCGAGTCATATCTCCGTGTAGATGTAGACATGAAATTTATGCATTTGCTGCCAGGCCCAAAAAGTATTTATGTATGCGCTTATAAATATATGCAGAAGCCCCTTCTCCAACTAGCACGTTTTTTCGCCTAGCGAGTGTCTGTGTAGATAGCCAACAAATTTATGCTAGCAATATGACAAACAAAATATTTGTGCACGAGTTGCAAAAACTTTTCACGGAGCAACTTTAAAATAACACCAAAGACGAAGGATCATGGCAGTTTAAGCTGGGATTTTTTTTTTAAGGATTTTAAAATCTAAGAAGAATATTTGTAGTAGTATTTAAAAAAGTTCAAATATTAAAGGTTAAATTTAATAAAATTGAAAACTGGGCCACAAAAACCAGAAAACAATAAACAAAAATTGGGGGAAACTGGCAAACGGCTTTGTGATTTATAGAGCAAAACAAATATAATTAAATAAATCCTCAAATAAATACACAAATACAGATACACATACTGGCTGGCTCATTCATGCACATATTTAAGGACATACATATATGTATGTGTGTGTGTAAATACAAAAGTGATTTCTTTTTTGTCGCTCTCGCTCTCGTTCTCGTTCTCCTCTGGTTTTGCTTTTGGCTTTGCTGGGCAACAAGTAAAAATAATTAATTATAGATAAATGTGTGCGACGCGTGTGAGATAAATTGCCAAAGCAACAGCAACAACAACAACAACAATAACAAGCAACAACAACAATCAACCCTTGTGATATGTCCTGGGGGATGATGTTGTAACATACCATAATAAATGACTGCGCCGCAAAATGAGCTTTTAGTTTAATTAATCAAATGAATAATAATCACCAATAAATAGTTGAAGCAAAAGTGCACAAATAAATGGCGGACTAACGCCGATGCATGGGCCATTGAAAGAAGGAGCTAGAAGAGGACCAGGACTAGGCGGAGTAGGAAGAGTATACCGACTGGCCAATTGCCAACTGTGTTGTTGTTGTTGCCACCATCGACGCCGCCGTCGCTGCCGCTGTGATTCATTCTGGCCGCCCAACAAGGCAACAATAGCAGCGAACGCGGCGATCACAGTGGCAACCAGGTCGGTGGTGCACCGCCAGTTCCCGGAGGAGGAGGAGGAGGAGCAGTTGGAGGAGGAGGTGGAGGAGGAGGTGGTGCATCGCGTACCGTTAGTGAGCTTGGAGGCGGTGGAAGTGGCACTGGAGCAGCTCCTGGGGGAGAAGTTGGAACTGGAAGTGGAGTTGGAAGCGTTAGCGGCAACGGAGCGGACTGTAGCAGCGACGGCGATCCCAAAAAGTCCTTCTCGCTGCACTGCTGTTGCGTGATCGTCGACATCACACCCGTGGCGCATCCAGGAGGACGCCTGACATCGGCAACAACGGCCTCGGGAAGGGATGCGGGCGGAGCCGCCGCTTCGGGTGGCAGTGGCGGGGGTGGTGGCGGCCTGGGACTCGGCCTCGGTGAGAATGTCTCCCAGCTGGCCAGCCAACTGTTTCGCTTCGGCAGCAAGAAGCGGACGGGCGTCTGCATCTGCAATGCCCAGTGCCGGCTGCAAACGCTGGGCGAAACGGGCGGCAGCCTGGAATCGGCCGCCATCAAGACCCATCACGGCTCCCTGGATCGACTGCTCCAGAAGGGACAAGCCACCGCCGGCGGCAAGGATGGAGGAACCGGCGGCGAACGTTCGATAAGCTGGGTGGTGGATGGCGGGGCGGCAGGATCCGGTGCTCTGCTGAATGCCTCCTCCGACGAAAGCGACGACAAGAAGAAGAAAATGGAGGATCAGCCACTGCCCCCGCCACGGCCCCCATCCAGATCCCATAGCAAGCCCACTGCCAAGGAAGAGTTCGATCGCGGAGTGGAGGTGGAGAAGTTCTATCATCAGATCAATGGCGACATCTTCGAGATTACGCGCCGGGTTCGGGCGCGGGACGAGGAGACGATGGAACAGAAGTGCATCCGGCGAAAGGGCTCAGTGCGGCTGACAGAACCCACTGCCAGTGGGGGCCACGCCCACGTCCGGATCGAGCAGCGCCCCCAACTGCCGCCCAGACGCCAGAAGAGCGCCGAGGAAGTGGCCACCATGCCCAAGAGCGCCCTCCGTCAGGCGCCCGAGCAGCTGGAGTGGTTCGATCGCCGGGCCCAGCAGCGTCACTCTGCCCGGTCCGCCGAAGGCGGCCAGGTCCGCGAGGAGACCATGGAGTGGCTGAAGCTCCAGAAGACTGCCAGTCCCTCGCAGCCGGTGCGGACTTCCTCGGGTCCCAGCGAGATCACCGTGCTGAAGGACGAGCTCCCCGACTGGCTGCTGGAGCACTTACCCCGGAAGAAGGAACGGGACAGAGATCACCTGCCCTCGGACTCGGGCAAGGGAGTGGGCTCGGCCTACGCCAAGGCTCTGTCGGAGCTGCTGAAGAAGCCACTGTCCCGGCAAAGCTCCGGGCCGTGTGAGTTTTCGCTCCTGAAGACCGACATCGTGGAGTGGCTGACCAAGATGCAGGCCAGCTCTGGGCCGGAACGGGGGAAGTCCCGTCGCTCGCACCACCGTCGGAACGGTAGTGGCGGAGATGCCCAGCCGCGGTCCAACTCCCAGGAGGATGCCCAGGACCTGGCCAAGGCCAGGCACCGGAAAAGGCACTCCCTGGGCCACAGCGGCGCCACCAGCGAGGAGGAGCAGCAGCAGTTAACAGCCGACTGGATAGCCTACCCGCTGCACAAGTTCCAGTCCCTGGGCAAGCAGCCGCCGCTTCCCAGCCAGGTCACGCCTGGCGGCGTCACCATTCCCAGTGGCTATGCGGTGCCCAGTGCTCTGTCCCACACGCCGCTGTGTCAGCGGCGGGAAGAGCGTTCCCGGGAGCGAAGGCTCCGCCACTCGGCCAGCGAGGTGGTGGGCAGCGGGGGCGGAACGTCCAGCACCGCCCACCTGGAACGGCTCTACGCCAAGCCGCACAAGGAGCGGTACCAGTACGTGCCAAAGACCAGCAAGGAATCCAGCAGCGGTGGCGGGAAGAGGGAGCGGTCGCGACGCCACCAGACCCAGAGATCGGCCACAGTGTCCGACATGTCCGCCCAGCGTTCCGGCGGCCACAAACGCAAGTCCTCGAGTGCGGAGCGGGCGCCCAGATCGCCATCGCCGGGACCCTGCACCGATCCCGACTGTCCACTGCTGCCCATCTGCACGGATCCGCACTGCCGCTACCAGGAGTGTCAGGCGCGGCAGTGCCTCACATCGTCGGTCAGCTCCGTGAACCTGGCCCGGCACCAGCAACTGGCCCAGGTCCAGCTCCACACTGTGCCGGCCCATTTGATGGGCCCGGCCGGCGGCGGAGTCGGTGGCTTGGGCTCCGATGTGCCCACGACGCCTTCCACCACGGCCACGCCTCCGCCGCCACCACCGCCCGCTGGAGCGGGCTTGGGGGGGACGGGAACGAGACCGAGACCGAGTGAACGCCGGCTGGTCATCTGCCACGACTGCCGGTCGTGCGCCCCGCTCCACAGCTGCCAGAATCGCAAATGCCTCAACGCCGCCAAATGCAACTCACTGCCTCGCTGCGCCGCCGACTTCAACCGCCTGCGCACCCAGCTGGCCCAGCCCCCCACCACGCTGGACGACATCGAGCCGGCGCCCTTGGAGCTCGATCTGGAGATGCAGCCACTGCCCTCGCCGCCGCACCCCCATCCGCATCATCACTATCGCAGCAACTCCCAGCCAAATACTTTGCAACGCGGCGACTCGGCCAGCTCCGCCAGTATGGTGGGCATTGGGCCAGTAGTCCGAGGAGACGGAGGAGTAGGAAGAGGAGGAGGAGGAAGAGGCGCTGGCCTGTCATGGCTGGAGCCCACAACCACACTAGTGCAACCACTGCCCGCCTACGTGCACCACCATTCCAATGGCAAGCTCATGAAATCCGCCTCGGCTGCTTCGCTCAACTCCCGTCGTCGGCGCCACAAAACCGTACACTTCGGCGAGAATCTGCTCCGGGAGGTGTGCCAGAACCGGAAGCTCATCAAAACGGAGACACAAGTCCCCTCTGGCTCGGCGCCCATGAAGGCCAACATCCAGATGCTGTACAACTTCGTGGAGGGGGTACTCAGTGCCTGGGTGGACGATGACGAGGATCAGGTGCGTTCCGGTGCGGAATCGGAGCCGGAGCACGGCATGGTGCCTATGCAGCCGATCCACAGATGCAACCGGTTGCGGTATCAGTGCATCCGACGGGTCGTCGAGGAGGCGGCCGAACTGCAGGGCACCCTGAAGCTGGGCAACTCCCGGTACCGGCATCGCCATTGGCGGAGCACCGCCAAGCAGTGCAACGAAATGTTCCTTCGCAAGGTAGGAAAAGGACTAAGGAAGGACTAAGGAGTCCTTGAAGGAGTGTTGCATAATATTTTATATTTTATTGAATATCTCAAGTCTTATACTGTCTAGTCTTAATCTTTAAGAAAACATCCTGTTCCTCAAGTATTTTTATTTACAAAGGACCTTAAATATAACCACGAGTCCTTGTTTATCTAATTATGTCTATTTTCGTAGCAATTAATTCCCAAAAATGAGTCATCCCCCAAATCCTTGTCACTCATTCAGGTCGTCCCATTGGCAGTCTCACCTACCCATGGATACACTTTGAACTTTTGCTCCCGCGGAGCTGAATGAGATTCGCGTGAGAAAATGTCGCCTTTTGGAAGGAGGGAAAAAGGACCACAGGAAGTGTCTTTTTTATATTTTTTTGTACTTTGTTGGTAAAGCCCTCGGTTAAGTGTATTGTCGTCGTTGTCTACAGCGTACAAATTCATTTCGGGATGCCCAACAAAACGTTGATCAAAGCCAAAGCATCCTTTTCACTCTCGAACAGGGAGCGGCTGGGAGGAGCATCTCCTTGCCGGCTCCTTTTCTGGTTCCACAAAGGAGCAATAAATTAGAGCATTAGCCAGGCCCCTGTCCTGCCCCTCCTCGGTCCTTCGAGAAAAGCTCTTAACACACAGACAAATAGCGTTTATGGTTGGGTGGCAAGTGTGGGGGTGTGGAAATGTCCTGTCTCCTCCTGGCTCCTCCTGGCTCCTCCTAGCTCCTCCTGACTCCTCCTGGCTCCTCCTGGTACTTGTATTTAGTTTTCGGGTAATGAATGGCATTGATTGCAGTACACGCATGAATCAAAAGGCTTCAAAGTGATAAAAGTCCATTTGGCCAAAAAAGCTAAAGGCAGTAGTGGGCGTGCCAGTGGGCGTGGCTGGGAATATATATAGAAAATACATTTCATGAAACACCCAGATAGATGGTTAGATAAATCTTGCGTTCGAAATGTGAGTAACGACTTCATGGATGCATACAGAGGAGTGTTTACTTTGTATCCATGTGGCTTCCTACGGTTAACTTAACAAGCAAATAGACACGTTTGGTCAAGAGTGTTACATGCCAGATGCAGATACATAAACCCATAGATACAAAGCTACAAATACACATACTCACAGATGCACAGATACACATTCTGTATTCTATTCAAATGAGTGTGCTTGAATGGAAAAGCTGGAGAAGAGCAGGATTAGTTGGCTTATCATTGGAATGGAACTGTATATTAATTAATGGCCAGATCAGCGTAAAAAAGAGATTGTGCCATGGAATTGGCTTTAAGGGGCTTAAATCCGTAATATTCAAGGGCTTTTACGAATTCTTTGCAGCTCTAATTAACGCTTGTTATAGCCTCACATGATCTGAATACCTAAATGCCACTCTTGAAGGCTTTCTGCCTTCTGTGCTGTGCTGTGCTGTGTGGTGTGTCCTGTGATTATTGCAAGGTTGCCTCGTCCTGGCTTGTTAATTTTGATTGATTCAATGCTAAACAGTTTCACCTTCAGCCAATTAGGTTGGGTGGGGGGAGTTGAGCGCGGCTCTGCCACGAATATTTAATCAAATCGGAATGACATTGCAGGTTAAGTCCCAAGCCGACTGCGAGCTGAACTGAGCTGGGGATAATTCCAAATTGATTTTCGAAGGAAACTTTACAAGTCAGCCTCCTCTATCTATCTATCTATCTATCTTTGTATCTGTATCTATCACCTGCAGTCTATGGAACTTCTTTAATGCCTCACTTAATCGCAGCAATGCCAGAAACGTGCCACAGATACCGAATAACTTTTTTCCGATGGTTAACCTTCCCTTCGTATATATATACCATATATATATCCTTTTTTATTAGAAAGGACATCCACACATCCTGCATAAACACTCTATCAAATATTGTAATTTTTGACAGCGACATATGAAAAGATTTTTCTCCATTCCCAGAGAGGTTGCCCCAAAAGTTTACCGGGGCGTGGGGTAATCGAGGTGACAATGGCTGTGCCAATGACATGGCATCTCCCAGTTCCCCCAGTCTGGGTCCTGGCTCATCTCGTCCACATTTGACATTCAAAAGTCATTGATAATTATGGCTGAAACGTAAACGACAGCCGCATCGAGGGATCACAATCAATTCTTGATTAGAAATCGTAACGAAAGCACCTGGTTTGTGGGTGTACCACTGTACATATATACACCAGATATATACCCTCAAACATATAGATATATATAGCAGAAGGATATAGTAGGGAATTGAACCTAAGTGGGCGTGTCTGGGTGGAAGTATACGAGTGTGTGTGTGTTGAGGTTCGTCTGTGCGTAAATTGAATTTTGATTTTGCACCGATGCTGAGATATGGCGTATTAGGCCCCCAAAGTAATCAGGTGGGTTGCCCTAAAAGGTTGGCGTTAAAAGGGGGCGTGGCAGGAGCATGAGCGAAGGGGGAAGGAGAGAGATGAAAACAGGACAACCAACTGGCTGGCATTTAATCTTTTGTGTGATTGTTGTTTGGCCGTGTTGGCATTCGTGTTCGTGTTTTGGGTTGCCCATTTAGGCTTACCCATGTGAACGTTTTCAGTCATTCGTGCGAATTTTGCCATACACCAGGCTAAACGGACTAAAAGAGGGAGCCCAGGACTCAGAACAACAATAGAGGAAGGGGATATGGGAGCCAAAAAGGGTGCTCTACTGCCCGGAGGCAGTAAAATCCCATTGTCAGTGTTTTCCAGTCCCCGAAACTAGTGTCTGATGAAATCCAAGAAACACATTCGACTGCTGCCACTTTTGGGCCAATTAAAAATTCATGAATCATTTGACAAACTCTTTGGACTTGGAGCACCAGGTTCTCTCCTGGGAGAATGACCAGCAGCAGGAATACCAAATGCGTAGTAATCTCCTGTGAAAGGGTATTCCTCCCAACCCCCCTCTTTAAATCACTCACAAATTTGATTAGCAGAGACTGGGTCAAGTAAGGCCTTTAAATTCGAGTACCAAAAGTACCAGAGTAGGCCTTTAACCGAAGCTCAAGTTTTAACAGAGTGTAGAGAGAACTCACTCTGAGAATTTAGGGCCCAATTCCGGCATCCTGCAGCCATCCTGCAACAGTTGAACAGTTCCGCTCGACAGCTTCCGCTCGGCTTGATGATTTCATGGAAAACTTCATTGAGTAAAGCGGAAACTATTTCATTTTGGTGGAGAACTCAGGTTATTGCTCCCAAGGACCAAGGACGAGGTGGAGTGGAGAGTGTTTTTGAAGTTTTCCTTTTAAATTTTTGCTTCATAGTCCAGAGGAGTGGGGAGAAACTGGAGGTGGGTTTCCGGGAAGCCACTTAAAGTGACACGCACAGATATCGATTGGTTCGCTTCGACTCCCACCCGCTGGTAACCGCTTTGATCTGGACCACCCATCATAGCATCCCTTCCAATCTTAATGCTACCCTTCTCCAACCACCCCACCCCCTTTTCAGTCGCTAAGCAAGCCACGTCGTCTCAGGTTGGGTTCTTCTGGTTATTTGCATGCCTTTGCACTGCTCTTCGATTAATATAAAATTTGATTAAACTTGGTCGCTGCGCCACTGGTTGTGGGTTAAGTACACATGACCCCGGCTGGCAAAAGACCGACAACGTCACTTGACGACGCAGGACCCAAGTCGTGCTACCGCTCCACGGGTGGGACTTGCTACTTGCCTCTTTGTGAGCAAACATCAACATCAGACAGCCCCAGCTCCTGCCCCTGCCCCAACCCCCTTTTTATACGAGCCAGTCAAATAAATAACTTGTAAAACATGCATATGAGCAAAAATGTTTGGAAATTGCCAAAAACCTAGAGGGGGAGAGAGAGAGAGAGGTCCTGATATATATTTTTAGTCCTGGCTGACAGCCTGAAGTATCGTAGTAACCGGGGCCATGTCCTGCACATGGAGTGTTCACAGGAAGACGGGAGACGAAACGAATAAACACATTGTAAATTGATTTCCTTGGGAACTCAAATAAAAATGGCATGAAAAGCAAGTGAGCGACAGTTGGCCCTTCGTCCTGGCCCATCCTGCATCCTGGCCTGCACCACCCACCGCGTCGATTGAAACGAATGAATGGGCAAACCAATTTTTATTGCCACGCGGGACACGTAGCCCGAACAGAGCCATCGACTTTGGTCTTGGCTTGAATTCCCACATGGACGCCAGAGTCCTGTGCTCCTTTAGCTGGGGGAAAAAAAACGGCAAAATTGCTGTGAGCGGTGAGCGGAAGGAAGTCGAAGGAGATGGCCGAGGCTGCAGAGGCTGCTGAGGCTGAGGAGGATTGGAGGCAAACAACCTTCCGTCAGTCAGTCACTCTGTCAGGCAGTGAGTCATTCAAACATTCAGTCAGTTAGTGGGACGACCCGGCTTTTGATGAAATAACATTGCCAAGTAACAGTTTGCCTTTCGCCATTTATATTCCCTCGTCCTGGGCCAGTGGATCTCTAGCCCCGTGTCCCTTTTTCCTCATTTTGTCAATTGTTGTCTGGGCCTGCCCTATCTCTATCTGTCGTCCTTTTTTTTTTTTTTTTTGTTCGTCCTTCCCCTCTGCTCTAAAAATGAGGCTGGCTGGCTAGCTGGCAGGCGAGAAGAGAAGACAAATTGCTTTATCGACGACATACGTAACAAATGTTGCTGCAACATCCACAAGCAACATTCAGCAGCAGCAGCAGGACCAGCATCAGCAACCTGGCCATTATTGGTTTCAAATGGCTTCGTTCTGGCTGAGGGGCTTACCCAGAGATTCCCGTCGTCCTGGATGTCTTTGACTGTTGGATGCTGTTGCCTGCCTGCTAATTATGACTTAATTATTTCAATTATTTTCTCTTCGATTTATTGAATTTTATCGCCGACAACCAAAAGCCCCACCCAAACGTACACCGAACGTGCAGGACGTGTGTTGTGTGTGTGTGTTGCCAGGCAATGTCCTGGCGAGCCTTGATTAAATTGCTTTACTGCCCGTCCACTCATCCTTGGAACTTCTCCATTTACCTGTTTTCAGATTTCGGACGATGATCGAATGAGCCTAACTACCGCCGTTTCGGATGAAGATGATGGCGAAAGTGTCATGGCGTCACCATACAAAGCAAAGGCCACTGGCACCGCTGCATCCTCCTTCAATTGCACGGGAGCTGTTCGCAAGGCAGGGTAAGTATATTCACTTTCTGGATCTGACTCTCTGCGGGCATCTGGGATTTTTGTTTTTTTTTATGCCTGTGGTTGATGTAATCCGGTATCTGGCATCTGGAGTGAGAGAGATCCTGGGCTCACGTCCAACAAGTCATCATAAATAACCAGAGTCTGTGGGGAATCCCCCTCGGGGAGCATAATTTCACAGTGATTAAGGCCGAGGCGGAGAAAGACGAGTCCGGGGGATTAACGTTATTATGTCCGTGTGGTATCAAAGTTGTGGACTAAAGTGTTTCGAGTACACACCAGCCAGGAGATTACCTTAAGCCCATAACTTTTATTTAATCTTGATTTACATTATCGGATAGTTGGGGTTAATAATAAACTTATTATGGTTGGATGATAAGTCTCTAACTACATAGTTCCATTCTCCAAAAAAGGGTATTCATTATTCTATACTTTGTGGGGGAAAACCCTTCCTGCTGCTATGATTAACTGCTGGCAGGACTTGTGTAGCCCAAACCATTTTCCGCATCTTGATTAGCCCCGAAGGTTAATGGGTTGGCGTGGAAGCTGTTGAAGCCGTTCTCCCCGGGATTACATAGCCTGTCCCACATCCACACCCCCCTATCCACCCCGAACTTTTTATTACATTCCCCAGGACCTAACCCAAATGTTTGCCCTTCTGCTTGCAGCTTCCTATCGGTAAAGAAATGGTTACTACGCAAAAAGCACCAGATCGAGCTGGCTCGGAAGCGCGGCTGGAAGGGCTACTGGGTGTGCCTCAAGGGCACCACCCTACTCTTCTATCCGTGCGACTCCCGGGAGGGCCGGAGCGTGGAGGCGGCGCCCAAGCACTTGATTATCGTGGACGGTGCAATTATGCAACCGATTCCGGAGCATCCCAAGCGCGACTACATCTTCTGTCTGAGCACGGCGTTCGGCGATGCCTATCTTTTCCAGGCACCTTGTCAGGTGAGTAGTATCTTCATTACAGTGCGTGTCCTTAAGGGTATGGTTGGCCAGATGGATGGATGGTTGGATAAATGGATAGATGGATAGATGGATGGGTGGTGGTCTGAAGGATACAACGCCTTAGGACATGCTCGCTCTCATTTCGAGCAGTCAATATCCGAGGGAAGTCCTTCAAGGAAACTGTAAAAAGCCTGGCTGGCCTCGCCACATCCAAAGTCGGAGCTTGCAGCGAAAATTTGTTTGCGCAAGGATATGCAAGGATTTCAACGGCCTGGCAAGTTCAGTGCTCGCGGCAACCAGTCCGGCCAGCTCACACATAATCGCCTGCCTGGCCAGGCTTAAATATGTAACCACAAACATAAGGACATGACGAGAAAAGGTCCTTGCCATTGTAATTATTTCATTATGAGATTAGAGATTAAGATCTTGAGCCTTTTAAGGAGCTAAAATGAATATTAAAACCTAAATTAAAAATTAATCAAAAAATATAAGAAAGCTGGATGGTTTCTTTGGTTTTTTCGAGTGCATCCAGCTACAGATACATGGCGAGGACATGGACATGGACGAGGACATTGGCAAGGCGCTGACTGACGCAACCCGCACCAGTCTCTCAGAGAAAAAGAGATGGCCATAACGAGGCATGGAAGGCAGGGAAGGGAGGGAGGGTGGTTGGGTGGAAAGATGGCTTAAAGCGTGAGCCATGATTGAGGTGGCGTTGACTGACTGCCAACTGGCAGATTGCCTTGAACAGCTGCAGCTGCACTAGAAGCAGAAGCAGCATCCTTGTGGCAGCCCTAAACTGTTACATGTCTCAAAGGCATACGTTCGTACAGCATCAGCATCCCCCTTGCCACACGCCACACCCGCCTTGCAACACACCACCTTGCCACATCCAACTAACCAGGCATGGCTGTCAGCTTGCCAGGACTAGCTCGGTGGCCCAACGTGATTTGTCATTAAATTTGCATAACTGATAGCCGGGCCAACGACAGGGCTAAGCCACGGGGCGGGTGTCAGGGGTCAGAGGCTATAAAAGGGTAGCCCGGAGTTGGGGACAAGTTCGACGTTTGGCGCTGGGGAGCCACGTCGAATTGCTTGCGGTGCATTTGGTCTGCAATTTGCAACAATGTTTCAAATTTTAACATCCTTCCCCTTCCCCATTCATCCATTTGCAGGTGGAGCTGGAGAACTGGGTGAATAGCATCCATAGCGCCTGTGCTGCCGCCTTTGCCCGCCACCGCGGCAAGACCGGCACCCTACACCTGCTCCAGGAGGAGATCTTCCGGCTGGAGAAGGCCATTGAGTCGGTGAGTAAATATGTTGGCATTTATAGTATTCCACAAAATGCAAAATATACGAAAACACATTCCACAACACCACTATACTACACTATACTATACTACCCTATGGAAATGGCGAGTATTCGTTGCGGTTTTATGCACTGACTCACCTGGCAAATGCACCAGGATATGGGATCCAGAATGCAAGGAGCTTGGATTGCGGTTGCATTTCGCAATGCAGCCTTCTGCGGCTTTTGTTGCCGCTCTCGAGAGTTAAGTCAATTTCGCCCAAGTGGCTGCAATGCAAAATGAATGGAGAGCCGATGGCAGAAGCTGCGTTTCAATGCTGTAAGGACGGCTAAGCTCCACCGCCACCAAACATTCATCCACCATGTTTCCATTTAAAATATAACATGTACATGAATGGGCCACCACCACACACACATCATCGATTGGCAACGATATCGTTTTGTGGTATTAGGATTTGTGCCATGTTATGAATCGCAGTGTATCCTGCATCCTATATCCCTGGATAGTGAGTGCATTCGCCATTGAATAATGTATGAAAAGTGAATTTAATAAGGACATTTATCGAGTGGGGATTATCTGCACGTCACTGGAGGAATTGGAAGGCAAACATCATCTTAAATTGTATAATTATTTTAATATTTTTTTGGTTCCAACCGACCAATCCCAGTCACTAATGTAATTGACTCGAAAAACAAATTCCTTGCCGAGTTATTTATCCTGGCAGGACAAAAATTTCCTCAATCTTTCGCTGTCAACTCAGAAGTCAGCGGAAAAACAAGCGATCGAACACAACAATCGCATTTTCCGCATTCCCAACCAATTTCTCAGTCTCACGTCACTCGATTCCCCCAAAGATTTATGCCATTGTTGAAGGAAAACCAGCTTTTCCTTCTTCCTTTTCCTATTCCAGAAGGCAGGAAAACTGCTTCTACTTGCAACTATTTATGTATTTGCTTTCAAATCAATTCCCCATCAATTTCGCGGCAAACAGCGTAAAATTCCTTGCATTGCAATTTATTTTCCTCTCCAGCTTGAAGGGGGAGGGGTGGAGCAAAAAAAAAATAGGAAAAACACGAAAAACTTTTGTGCCAGAGAGAGAGAAGCTACCGAGGTCTGGCCTCTGTGGAAAATCGTGGAAAGCAAATCAAAGCGAGGGAAATTTTTTGCAAAACGCGAATCGCAAGACAAAGCAAACAGAATTGAACTCGAGCTGGAAAACTACAAGAAATTGCACTTGGCCCCACGATAAATGCTCTCTGGATAAACCAAGGCAACTGGAAAGCAGTTATGCCAGGAGGATGGCAGCCACCCCCACCACCCCCACGAACCTTTATCCAAACTCCCCGCAGAATCACAAAAAAAAAATAAACAGAATGAAGGAAAAACTTTATTTGTTTATTTATTTTTCATCATGTCATTTTCAGTTGCTTTTCTTTAGCCACTATTTTCCACCTCCCCCACCATGCCTCGCCCACTTTTGCCTTTAATTTTTCCATTTTCCCGCTAGTATTGTTGCAGTATTTGTTGTTGTTATTGTTTGTTAGTTAGTTAGAAAAGACTCCGAAAGACAATTATGTTGTCTGTCCCATCCAATCCAGTCCTGCATCCTTCGCAACTTGATTCATTCGTCTCTGTCGCTGGCAATGTTCCTGTAGGTCCTTCTGTTCGTTCCAGACTTTGTTGTTTCAGGGTTTTTTTTAAGATGAAAAATATATACATAGTTATTTGTTTTTATGGAGGAAATATTATTAAAGGTTTTTTTTAAGAGTTTTTATCATGAAATAAATAGGAAATGTGAGTAGGTTTTTTAATATACACTTCTTAAAGAAAACAATAATAAAATTGATAACAATCGACAAAAATCGATAAGTATAAAAAAAATCTAGTTTTTAGAGTTAAAATATACAGTTTTTTATTATAAGAAATATTTAATAGTATTTTTATGAGCTTTGAGATGAAAAAATGGCCAATATGAGGCCATTTCAAAGTAGGTTTCAAAGTATATCTTTAAAAAAACATGAATATATAGATAAATATCGACAAAAATTTAATGTCTAGTATGAAACTATTATCGATTAAGGTTTCTATCAAAAATGTTTTGCTTAAGGATCAAAAATATATAGTAATTTGTTATGAAAAATATTAGTAAATCTTATTTTAGAGCTTAAAAGATGAAAGAAATGTGAAATAAGAGCAGATTTTCAAGTATATCTTTAATAAAAAGTTTATATATCGCTAAGATTCGATAAAAATCGATTTGCTATATCTAACTATAATCGATTAAAGTTTCAATTAAAAACTACCTATCTGTATTTTCAAAGAAAACTATTTATTTATTCTTATCCCTAGATCTCTTAACTTAATTCCTACTATTTATGAAAATCCTCTTTCATTTCGTCCTGTGTGCCCCAGTTTCGATTGCAGCTTCGGCCAGATATATTTCTTGCCTCGATTGCTGTTCTGGGCCCTTTTTTAATTTAGTTCGTTGAGTTGTCTGTTTTTTTTTCTGCCATTTCTCTCATTTGCTCCACAAAGTTGTAGTTTGATATTATGACCGAAGCCGAAGCTGGAGCCGGAGCCTTGGTCTTGGTCGCCTCCTTGTGATTCGCCTTCTTCGTTTCCCCAGTTTAGAGTCCTGCCAGCCTGCTCGTCCTTCAGCTTCCACTATCTGTCCCTTTGGATAAACCATAATTACTTCCTTGAACTGCTGCGTTTTTGCTGCTTTCACCCCTCTACCCTCTCTCTATATCCTTTTTCCTTTTTTTGGTGGGAAGAGAAAACAAAAAGCATTGAGCGGAAGTCCGAGATTGCCATAAGAGGACTCTCTAGGTCCTATTACTTCCGTTACCCCCGGACTCCCCACCCGAAAAAACAAACTTGTCGGATGAATATTAATTAAATGAGCCTAAGGAGTGGCCATAAATGCAGTTTGCATTTAGCATTTTTGCATTACTGCATTTGTTGTTAATTAATTTTGTAGAAAAAGGATCTGAAAGTTGGCGAGGAGGAGGACTCTCTGTAGGCTTGAATAAAATTAAAAGAAAGTAGCAGTAGAAAGGCAGTAGAAAAATGCAGAAAGGTGTCACACCAACGTGTCCTTTTATGAGTAAATAAGTGTGGGTGTGGGTGAGGGTTTGACGATGACCCGCCCCCCCCACACACACACACTTACCACTCACATTCCTATACGCCCCCCTTTTTTTCTGTAAAAAAGAGCAACAGTGTTGTCTAATTTTTTTTTTTGCAGGCTCCTCTGGTTGTTTTTTTGTTGTCTTGCCTTCTACTTTTGTGTGACGCCTACGCTGACTGCTTGTTGTTGTTGTTGTTGTTGTTGCTGTTTTTTATAGCTGTCACCTTTCGGAAATAATCATATATGTGTCAACGGAGGGAGGCGGGGTTTCGGCAGCACTTCGCTTCGTTTGCTTTAGCTTTTCTAGTTTCTCTAGCTCTGTTTTTTTTTTTTTTTGTGTGTATATATCCATGTGTGTGTGTGTGTGTATAGATACTTTTCCTCCTCCAGCTGCTATCTATTTTTCTTTTTCGCATAAAGCACTCACACACACATACACACATACTCATACATGTATACACAATGCAGAGCCGTAAAAAAATAGTAGTAGCTGCCCGGGCGCGTTTGGTTTTTCGTACGCTCTGGTTTTTACGCTCTAATTACGACTCCTACGACTGAACTTCCCTCTTGTCATGCCGCATGCCTCATGCCTCATGCCGCATGCCTCCTGCCACTGACACCTGCTCCTGCTCCCCCGTCCTGGACCAGATCCACCTACCTGGTGTGCAATTGCCATGGCGGCGCTGTCTAAACAAGGCTCACTTGCTGCCTGCTCCCTGGTTGCTTTCAATTTGCAATGGCTGCCTGTCATTTCAGCTCAATAGCAGTAGCAGAGCCTTCTGATCCTACCCCTTGGATTCTAGATTTTTTTTTAAATTTTTGCATTGACTTTAAAGTCCACATACAGAACTATATCCTTTAAAAGTTAAACCACAGTATTTTATTTGCGGCCATCACCATCGATTTCATGTAATTGCACTAATTAAATGATGCATCACCCGTACGTGAATTGAAAGCTTAATGCAATTTTCAGTTTTGCGGGTTTAATGCAACAAAAGTCAGTCAGTATTCATAGTATTCAGTGTGTTTTAATGAGGCCTTTATGAAAACAATTCAAGTAAATGAGAATTGTTTTTCTTGACTGCTCAGCCGGAAAGTGGGCAATCATTCGGGGATTGAAATTCCTTTTTGGATATTTACTCCCCAAACAAACAAATATTAAGGACACCGGAAGTATCTACAGACTATCAGATATATGGATAACAAAACCCAAAATGTTTTCAATTAATTTTATCATAATTAAAATGAAATTTCGCCACAACAACTAAGCCACCATGTTGGCCAAAAACCATAAACTTCAATTTTGTTATGAAATGTATATTTAGTTAATTTCAATTTACACCGAAAACTTTACTTAATTAGACCAACTTAAAGCCGCACACACACACACACACACAAAATGTAAAGAAACTTTCCCCATGACGGAATTTTCCTGGAAAATGTGGAAAACAATGCCCCTGCCTCGGGAATTTCTTTCCTTTTTTTTTTTGGGCTACTGGGCTACTCCTGTTCGCTCTTCAATATTTTTTAATGAAACCATAAAGTTTATAATTACCATAAAATTTACTTGTTCGGTTAGTTTTTTGTTCAGAGGTTTCTTCTTGATGGCCAACCAAAAAAAAAAAAATAATAATAATAATAATAATAACTTTGACCTGGCTTACACACACACCTACACCTACCCCCACACCCATTGGTGTGCCCCAAGGCAAGTGAGTGGGCGTGGCAATTCATAAACTAATGCCAAAATGGTACAAATTTATGGCAAGAAATATGAAAAACGAGTTGAACTCGAAAGTCCGGCATAAAAGCGGTGGGCAGTAGTAGCAGTAGGGTTAGGGGGTTACACATGTGATGACCTCGGGTCCCTCACACATTTCTGCAGCTTTGTTTTTGGCCAAACGTGCGAATATTTTTGCAACTTTTGGTCCAAAGTTGCACAGGAAATGGGTCTGGCATATGGTTGCCACCGTTTCAGGATGGGGGACAGGAACCGGGCACCGGGAAACGGAGGGATGCCCAGTGCCCCTCCACCTAATCCTCCACCTCCGACACTCTCTCTCTGGCACAGAATGCGTTTGCTTTGGTTTTTGATTTGTTTTTGTTGGTTTTTTTTTAGAGGGGTAGAGGGGGTGTTGAGGAACAAGAGGCAGGACATAGGAGGCATGAGGCATTAGGCAAGAGGCATGAAGCATGCAGGGGAAAATCAGCAAAAGCGACGCCTCTTTCATCGAGCCTGCTGCATGCAGATGCAAAAATATGCTTTATGTAGGCGCTGACACAGTGGGCGTGGCTGTGGTCAGGGGCGGAAAATTCAATTCAATTGTCAACAGCATCCCAGCAGCAAGGATCTAGGGATCTACTGCCCCCCCTACAACCCTACTACCCTCCGTAGCGTTACTGCTCTGTGGCCACAAACATAGGCGCCAGTTTAGAGGTTTGGGGTTTTTTCGGGGGTTTCGGGCTTGGGAATCTTTCCTGGGCCACGCCCCTAGTCCGCCTAGTCCGACTAGGCCGCCTATGCCGCCCACCTTGCACTCACACGTTATATAATGTGGCATCATTTTGTGGTCAGCATTTATGCAGACCATATACAATTTTGCCAGGCCTTTTGTTGACATGGCCGGCTGCAGTTTCGGGCCCTACTACTATTTTGCGGTTTAGGACCAAGAGTGGGCAGGACACCACCAACCACATCCCCTGCATGACTTTTGACTGCCATGGAGCAGCCATTTAATGCAAAAGCCATGTCAAAAGTCATTTAAGCAGGTATCTCCGCTCAAAGGAGCGCTCAGGTTTTGAACAACTCGATATCCTTTGAAGGGAGTCCTCCCCGCCCCACCCTATTAGTAGTGGCAAACAAAATAAACTGATACCGGGTCACGAGTCCTTGCCTGACTGCCCGGGCATGATTATTATTATTTGAGGCATTGTTGTGGCCCCACTCTCTCACTCACTGGTCCATATAGTTATGTACCATATATTCCACTATTTGAAGCATCTTTGGCCTGTCATGCGAGAACACTGAACACTGAGCACTGACAACGGGGACATAACAATGGCAAAATGTATTTTTTAATTGTGCTCCCGAGAAAACACACATATATCAACCCAAAACAGAGGAGCTGCAGGACTGCAGAGCAGAGCTTTGGCAAAACAGAAACAATAAAAAAATAGATATATATACATATATGTATGTACATATAATAAAATGAAAACAAAACAAGGACCATGAACTCTCCAAACTCTCTCAACTCTCAAGCGGAAATGGCAGACCAGCGACAACAATAATAATAACAAGTACATCCTTGCAATGCAATGGCAATGGCAGTTTCCGACCATCCTCAGCCTCAGCTTCAGCTTCAGCTTCAGATTTGAAAAAAAAGGCACTGGAAAAAAATAAGTAGACATCTTCTTTGAAAACTAAACCCCAATAGAGTCCTTCAAAAATGATATATATTTCCAAAAACTGCCAATTATTATGTGATTTGTAAAATCATTCATTTTGTGACATTATTTCTACACTGTAGTTGCCACACAAATGTGAGGCAGGGGCAGCCTCAAGTGGTGCTTAATGAAAGCGCAACAGACAGCGGCAGGACCGCAGGAACACGACCACAGGACAATGCAGGGGTGGGGGTCTGATAGAGGGAGGAGGGCACAAAGACAGATAGACAGAAAGACAGACAGACAGACTGAGGGGACAACAAGGCAGGACAACTAAATAGGCGAACCGCAAAAACTCATCGTCAAGGAGCGACAGACACTGGCAGGGAAATGGAAATGGAAAATAGATCCTGCAAAAGGAAAGAGGAGGCTTGGGCCTGCCTGCCCTGCCTGCCCAGCCTGGGAATCCAACTATGCAGCAATAATAAAATTCACGGGAATTGAGATGACAGGAGCGTGTAGACCTCAAGCCGTAGGAGGGAGTAACACAAGTAGACGGCAGTAGCTGGGGCTCCTTCTACGGAAAGGATCCGCTCGAACTGTGGCTGGGAGCTGTCACTTAGCGTGTGACATGTGTCAAAACAAGCGGCAACCGCAGCGAGACCATGACCAGAGCCGATCCCACCGATGCACAAGTGCAGGAGGTCCTGCCAACGGGGGAATGCTGTTAATATCCTTTCGCAGAAAAGGTAGTCGTGGTAGCCACCAAAGAAGATTGAGTTTAAATAAAGCAAACACCGTGAGACTCTTGAAAAAGGGAACATTTTAATTAAGAATTCCAAAGGAGTAGGTCCTTTTTTTAAACAAAAAGGATATCAAGCCTTAAATTAATTTAAAGCTTTGTTGCTGCACTTTCCTGTTGCATGTTCGGCAAACATTTCTCTCGGGACTTGGAGTGCAAACACCCTTAGGGGCTTTCGCAGTTCAAGGATCGCCAGCGGGAGTTATCGTTTGCGTGATTTACACTCCCAATTGCATGGCAATTACAAGTCCATTAACATTGCCATTAACCCTTGGAGGGCCCGGGTCCTGGAGCGTCTAGCGACCGGGCCAGAGCGATTAATGGTCAAGCCGGCAAAAGGCTATTTATGGCCCAGGAAGAACCCATATTACTTTGACAAGGACAAACTGTTGCCAGCCAGCCAGTCAGCCAGCCATCCAGCCAGGACACAAGCAGGCCGTTGTTGTAAATAATCACAAAACTGACTTGGCCCAAGATAGTGTCCTGGGCGCCTCCTTCTTCCTTCCTTCCGGTTTGTGTTTGTCAAATAAGCAGCTTTCCTCAAGTGCCAAGTGCCATTGACAGTCAGGCTGGCTGGTAGGCTGGAGGACTCCTTTAAGGATAAAGGGTTTCTCAACCGCCTCCCGGAGAAGGATGTGTGTGTGGTCGCAGTGTATAATGGGATTTTGGTTTATTAATTAACCAGCTCTATGCTCCAAACTAAAGAGCAGTCTTAGACCTCAACTAGGAATTATTGCCATCTTAGGGGCGAGTTGAATTAAGTGGTGCTGGGGTTTCGAGGCTTGCCACATGCTCTCTATATCGATTTCATTCTTGATGCTACCATATATATATGTATGTACACTCGCAAATGCACAAAACTTTGATTTATTTTCACGTAAAACAAACATTCCAAAAGGCTCAACGTCGTACAGTTCAAACAGAGAGTCGAAACACGTAATCCCAGGTAGGAATGGCCAGATTTATCTGCTGAATGAATGGAGGATGGGGGGGGACAACCATGGTTGTTGGTGCTGCCTGTTTATGTGTACACATTCATTAAAATGTCGAACATCGAAAGTGCCTATTCAGGTTGTTGCCACGCCCACGGCACACACACTCTGGCACAGCTGGTGCAGTAACTGCTGTTGCAACAGCAACAGCAACTGCAACAGCAACTGCATCTGCAAATAATTGTCAGCTTACTGACTCGCATTCAATGCAGCAGTCAAAATGCAACAACAAGGAGCTGATGCTGATGCTGATGCTGATTCTGATGCTGCAACCAAAATGAAACAATCACGTGCTCCATGAGATCTATGCAACCGTGCTATAAATGCACGTGAAAGTGGAATCCAAAGTGGGATTTCAAATGCTGCGGAGGGTAGGGTAGGTGGTAGGGTGCTGTGGAGGTTCTGTGGGATGAATCTGTGGCACTGCAACGGAAGTCAAACGGTATTTGTAATGAAAAACAGGGCCATGCATGTATGTATGTAGTATTCCATACTATACCCTATTCCAAAAAGGGAGCACTTTTTTTCAGCATTTTCCATTTTTTTTTGGTGCATTGCCAACGCACTTCAGTATCAGGGACAGAACAGTGCAGAGATATTTGAATTTTCCAAGGGATGGGAGGAAGGGGGGGTTCTGGGAAAATTTTAGCTGCACATGACGCGTGATTTATGTATTTTCGTCAAATGGCAGCAACCACCGCAGTGGCAGCAGTGGCAGCAGTGAGACAAAGCTCTGCCATAAAATGCTAATGATGGCATGCCTGGAATGCTTTCATAACCCCGTAACCCCCTTGTTACACACAGACACAAACACACACATACATACATAATACATATGCTTGAACTAACATGGAGTTCATCCTTTCTCTCCCCGCAGGATCACAAGCTGAAGCACATGGCCGAGCTGCAGCAATCAGTTGTCACCGATCAGGAGACGCGTCATCAGATTCAGACGCAGATACTCCAGTGGGAGGAGAACCTGGAGAGGCTGCACTGCGAACAATTCCGACTGCGCTGCTACATGGCCTCGCTGCAGAGCGGCGAGCTGCCCAATCCGAAGGTGAGTTATGGCCACGACCAGTCGACATGGCCGCCGCACATCCACATCCACATAACCCCCCAAAAAGCGACCTGTCAGGCAGATAAGTCAAATGCAATTAATGGCTGCAAGTTCTGGTCGAGGACTCGCTGCTTTATAGTTCATCCTGGTGCCGGAGTAGTTAGGGTTTGGGGACAAAAAGTATTGCCTACATCCTGGCGATTTGGAGCGTAATATACGGTCACTATTTAGGAGGTAGTAAGTGGATTCAAACGAGGTTGAACATGTGGGCACCCTTCTCCACGCTTCTCATTGAGGTTACTTAGTAAACTTCAAAGATTTAATAATTATTCCACTTTCTTTACCAATAATAATAATTTTCTTGACTTTGACTTTAATACTTACTAATTCCAATCCAAAGACTATTCAGAAATTAATCAGCAATTCAAGGGGTCTGGAACTATCCTCTAATCAATGCCTAATTCCGGAACAACACCTCACCTAAGCCGCCACAAGCCCTGTCAGTTGTACTTTGGCCTTCCAGAACCTTTTTGGCCGACAAAACATCAAAAACAGATTCGCAGTCTAGTAAAGGGATTAAGGCTCTGAAAGCGGCTCTGAATGGCCCCAAATCCGACCAAACAATAATATCTGGCTTGGCAAAAAAGCGTTTACAATGCCGTTTAGAACCCTTTACATGTTCGAGTAGTCTATAATTACTTCTACCTATTTGTAGAACAACCTAGGCCGGGGAGGTCCTGCTCTTCCCTCCTCTCCCCTTAGGAAATCAAAGCCCAAACATGCACAATTAATCTCCGCAACAAAAGTTTAAGCATCTTAAATGAGCTTAAAGCGAACTTTTGCCATTCCACCCCCACAGGACCCCCAATTGGCAATCTTGGAAAGATTTGAAAACTGACTAAATGACTGAAAAACTGAAAGAGTGAAAGACTGACTGAGTGAAAGACTGACTGCGTGACTGAATGACTGAAAGGGTTGAGAGGTGATTGCGCTTTTAGAGACGAAGGAATGCGGGGCACTGGTACTAGGCACTGGTAAGTGCAGTTGTGTGCCTGAAAAGCAACATTATTAATTATTAATAACCGCAAAATGCAAACAACTTCAGAAGCCATAAAGAGCACAACTTCCCTCGACGCAGGATGTAGGATGCCAACGGCTTATTTACCTGACTGGGTACAGGAGCCTCTGCTCCTTTCAAATGTAACCAAATTAGTGTGTTGGATTAGAGTCGTGGGGGTTAGAGAGTGTGGTGCTGTTAAGCTACTACTTTGGCCAAAAATAGTTTATAATTCGCATTTATTTTGGAAACTTTTTGTGCATTCTCTCACACTCACATCTCATTTATTCAACAGTCGCTGCTTACACACGTGTCGCGGCCCACCAAGAACACGCTGAACAAGCTGGGCGTGTTCACGGTCTCCTCGTTCCACGCCTTCATCTGCGCCCGGTCGCCGTCGCTGCTCAACAACCTGCTGGCCGGACGCGGCGCCACAAAGCGTCGTCCGCCGATGCTGTCCCGGTCGAACAGCGGTTCCAGTCGTCGTTCCATGCAGGTGAGTCCACAAAACCACATTTCCTGAGCAACAGTAGCGGTCAAAATAAAATAGATTTGGTTTAACAATTTAAAAAATGTATAAAAATTATGATTCCCTTTTTTAAATAAATCAAGAATATCTTTTAACATTCTTATTAATTAGGCTTAAACCAATATTTGAAAAACTTACGTTTGAAATTGTTTTGGAAATGGCTTTGAAAATTAGGCTCACAGGTCGTATACGTAATTTTCTATGCAGGTGTAAGGAAAAATGCCTGGTTTTAGGAAATCAATAAATATATAAAAAATTTAACCAAGTTTTTTTAAAAAAAGGAATGTTTTAAGGTTTCTTGAGCTTTAAAAAAAATATTAATATATTTATTAAAATTAAATAGTATATTAATTTATAATTATTTTCATAAAACATATTTGGAATAAATAAGACAAAGCTAGTTTTAAAAACTTTAAAAATTCACATACATTTTAAATATTTGTATAAAATTAATACTATTTTTCTGACCGCTATTGTACATCCGAACCGAATCCAAATGTCCCTGGAATAATCGTTGTCCTTGTATCAATGTGTGCATTTATGTGCGACCACGGGGCGTATGGGTAATAAAATTATTTCAATTTTAAACGCATTTATGGCGCAACCGTGCCTGTGTTTGTATGTTTACGATTCTCGCTTAATGGCTGAATGTACATACGTACGTGTGTGAGTAACGAATGTGTCTGAGTAATTGAATTTTTATTTAAGGCAACGGAAATGGCATTAAAAGCTAAATTGAGCGCTAATGCTTAAAATGGATGGCCACCAAAAAATAAAAATATGTCGCTGTTGAACTGGCCACGCCCCTGTCCATTAGACTTTCTATAAAGATATGTTTTTTTTTTTTTTGGGGTGGGTGTTTGGTTTGGCTTTTATAATTTGCATTTAATGGCCATCAAAAATTACAGAAAGAATAATGAAATTTATGAAGACCCCAGACCCTCAGACCCCCAGACCTCAGACTCTGACTTGGCAAAGTAAAAACCGAGAAAGGAAAACCGAGAAAAGAGAAAAAAATACTGAAGTTGACTTGGCAAAAGAAAATATTTGCATATTTTAAGTGAATAATGCAGGACGCCATTTCAAATGGTGATCAGATGCCGTAGTCCCCCTCCCTGCTAATGACCTCAACACAATCAAATTTAAATCAACTCGAGAAGTGGCCAGAAAGTGGAGAAAGTAGGAAACAAGCCGAGGAAGAAAGTTCTGCAAGCAAAGATTAAATTTCAGCAAATAACTGGAGGCTACTACTGCCATGTACTAGTGCGATGGAGTTGATTAACAAAACCGACCAATTCTGTCAGAAAGTCATCAGTTTCGTATATCCAATGGCTGCTGCTTGTTTGTTAAACTTCAATTAGTAATAGCAATTTGTGGAAATCTCGTCTCTATAATGAAATTCATTTCATAAATTCAATTTATGTCGATTATTGACAAAATAATCTTGTGCCCAACTCGGATTTCAGTTCGAAGCCCTGTCCCTGTCCCAGTGCACTTCATTTCCAATTAAATTTGCCAACGCTGCACAATTGCCTTTGCCCCCTCGATGGTACCTTCTATCAGTAGTCACGCTGCCAGGATAAAAAATAAATATACAAAAAAAAAAAAAACAACAAATTACAGTCACATACACAGGATATACACAAGCAAAAACAAATGAAATGAAATAACATAAATGAGAGGACCGACCAGTTGGGTATATGGTATATGCTGTAAATGCGCTGAAAATTCAATGAATTTGAAAAATGTGCATTTGATTTGGTTCATATACATTTTTGCCAAGCCAATTCTCTCTGAGTTGTAACTGCATTTCACTTTACCATTTTTCGAAACATGTCAACTGCAATGCAGCAGAAATTGCAAACTGCATCTGCAACGGCAATTCAGAAATGGCAAATAAAATTAAAGCTTTCCAAAGCAAATTATCATCGCCATGTATCCTGTATCCTCCATTATACCATGGCAACCCAGATAACAATTTTCGCAAGAGTTAATATACGCCCTTACTCTCGCTGGCTCTTATTGGCTAAAATTTAATTAAACTGTCCATCGAAAGCGGCAGGAAACAGTGTGTCCTTGAGGGGTCTCTCACACTCCATTCAGTCAGTCAGTCAGTCAGTCAGTCAGGGACAATCAAAAGTTAATTAATCAGGAGAGTTAAGTGGGCGAGAAACGTTCGTGCGGAATTAATCGTCTTTAAGAGCTCCATTTCTCAATCAAGCAAGTTGCATAAATGCTGCGACACATTTCAGTAAGAGAAAATGGCTTTTAATTGGGTTTTGATTAAGGTCCTATGATTTCTTCTTTGGGTTATAGATTTTTTTTGTAAAATTTAAGGACTTTTATCCTTAATCTTTAATTTATGATGCCATAAGCTAGGAAGGAATAAGTAATGGGATATGGAATAGAAAATATTATATGGCTTGCGTTTCTGGCATCTTTGGCTATAAAATTCCACATATACTTCCATGAATATCAAGTTGATATATATTTTGTGTGGCATAATGATCCTGTAATCGATATGCAAAATAGTTATGCAACCCAAGTGCCCTCTTGAAGCCTTTAAACTGCCAGACCGCCAGACTGGCAGACTCTGCTCCGTTTCGGCGGAGCCTTTTGCGGAGCAACTGCCAAACTAATTCGATTGTCCTGCGTGGGGTGTGAGAGCGTGGATGTGGATTCGTAGAAGCATCCAACCGTGCCGCCATCCAATCCAACCAACCAACCAACCAACCATCCATCCATCCATCCATCCAGAGTGTATTACCTGGGCCAAGTTGATGCGAAGCCATTGCCAATGGCTGCCAATACAAATGCAATTTGCAGCAGCCGACAACTGGCAGCTGGGCCACCTGATTCGTTTACAGTTTACAGTTGCAGTTCCCGGCAAGGATGAGCTGGAGCAGGAGCAGGAGTAGGAGGAGTAACAGGAAGCCTCATCATGGAGTTAACATTGGATGACGATGACGATGACGTTGTGGAAACAGTTAAGCATTTTAACTGAGTTTTCTTCAAACTTGCAACGCGGCTTCGGCTTCAGCTTCAGCTGTTCCATATCCTGCTCCTGTTGGCGACATTTTTCATTACACTTCGTGGGGAGGGGGATGGGGGTCTTACTGCAGCAGCGGTTTTAAATGTGTGTATCTGTGTGTGTTTGCTATTTTTCAATTTTCACTTCCGCGTGTGGGTGTGTATCCTGTGACTGTGTATCCTGTAAATGTCTGTGCCTGACTGCTTAATGACATTGTACGAGTGTGTATATATCTCTCTCTCCCTATATATATATATATATAGTATCGTATAGTATAGTATAGTATGGGTATGTGTGTATGTGTGTTTATCCAATCGAATTTTCTGCCTTTTTCCAGATGAATTCACGTGACGAACCGGAAAAAACTTTCAAAGTTGCAATGCCCGACAATGCTTACTCGACAGTTTATCTACGTGATGCCATGTCTGTGGAGGAATTCCTCGCCAGCGCCTGCGCCCGTCGCAACCTCAATCCCATGGAGCACTTTGTGCGCGTCAAGAAGCGACGTGACATGGAGGATCACAATTACTTTGTGCCGCATCGCAACGATCTGATTGAAAATTATGTAAGTACATAATCAAAGGCAGACATCCACCCATCCCCCCACCCAATCCAAGCCACCTTTTTCCTGCATTCCTTTAGGGGGTAGTCCTCCTCCCAGTCCTCTCCCCACAAACTTCAAGTTCAATTCACGTTGAAAATTGCATGTGGAATTTGGAATGTGGCACGTGAGGTGAAGCATATTTCATGAGAATTACCAGCCAGTTAAATGCCTTGGCATTGCCTCTCTAATAAAGCTTTAATTTCATTACAATTTTAAAGGATAATGTCCTGCAGGGAAGTCTTGGAATTTCTGCCCGGCATCTCAAGCTGAAATAACATAAATAATTCCAGCAAAATGTGCATTATCTTTATTTCCCTTTAAACATTAATCTTTAATGAACTTGCAACTTGATTGTCAAAGGGAATGAGTTGGCTGTTTAATGGAAACTTTTCACAAAGTACTCTTCATATTTTTCACACCCAAAACTGATAGTTTGTTATTTCTTTCACAAATTTCACAATTAGCACATCGGTGCTGGCTCGCCTGGCTGGCCGGCCATTACTTTTCGATTTCCAAAAGCATAATGCCATAAATTATAAAGTTTCCCGTTGGCCATTTCCCATTTCCCCTTCAGTTGGCACCCGATTAGTCTAGGTGAGAGCCCAGCCAGCTGCCAAGTCGGCCTCCAGCTGCAAACTTTTCACCACCCCATTGCCCCTCAAACCTTTTGAACTTCGACCTCAACAACAAGCTAGTAAATATTGGCCAGGCCAGGCCAGGCCAGGCCAATTGACAAATGGCTGAAATGTGCAACTGCAACTGAAAATGGGGAGTAAAGTGGCAAAAAAAAAATAAAAATAAAAAGTTTCCTTCGCCGGTGGCAGTTCAATAAATTTTCGACAACAACTTGAGCAGCTCCCAGTAGCTTCACTCCATAGCCATAGTTTGGAATCATTTTGGACATAAACAGGCATCTTTTCCTCACTTTCCAAGATCTTATTTTAAAGAACTTTAATTATCCTTTCAGCTACATAATCACGAGTTTGTGGAGGTCTGCATGAAGATCCTGTACCAGGTGGAGCTGCAGCGCACCACCCTCGAACAGATGTGGGGCTTCTCCGTGGAGGCGGAACTGATCGAGAACGCCGAGCGGCAGGACGAGCTCTGCTGCTACGTCAGCCGGGTGGAGGACAAGAGCGTGGCCATGCACAATGGTAAGTGGCAAGAAAATTTTCCAACTGACAGGACTGACAGGGGACAGGATGAAATCGCATTCAGACGATGAAATCGTGCATTTAATTTTTATGCCATTAAGGCCAAGAAATGAAATAGAGTCTTTGTCTTTGGTGGCCCAAAAACGGGTAACTAGATCCTGGATACTGCTGGACTGAAGACTGGAGACTGGAGCATCACCCACTTGCTCACCTGACGCCCGAGGCGAAACAATGTGGCCCAATGTTGCCAGGAAAATTATAAAGTGCTCTGCTTCCAGGCAGACCGCCGCCTTTGCTGCCTGCTCTTTTCTGTAGTTGTGTGTGCACCGGCTCCTCTTTTATATTTAAATGATTTTCACTTTTATGTCACAGAGAAAAAAAAGAAAAAGAAAACCCCAGCAGAGAAAAGTGAAGAGCACAAGACGAAACTTGAGCAAACTCACTTTGGTCTACAAGGGAGACCGAGTCGAGTCAAGTGGAGTTTGAGCCTGAATGGAGGAGCTCCTCCTCCTCCACTTGGGATGATGTGCAATGCGAAAAGTCAACTGTCAGCGCTTGTTCGCCCGGGAAAATGGTGGTGGGGAAACTGGGCTGGTAGCTGGTAGTAGCTAGGAGGGAAAAAAGGACGAGCCCAGTATGACGATGATGGTGATGAGCAGCGCACTCGAAATGTTTGCCAGGTGTGGGCGACGGTTTACGGCGGTGCGGCTGTGGTCCTTAAAGAGTTTTTCCTTCAGTCATCTTAGCTGGTGATCCCTCTTACCGCCATCCACTCCTCTTTCTACCCGGGCTCTGTTGTTTTTCTATCACTTAAAATCAACTTAAGTTGGCATTTGCATTCGCCAGGACGACGAGGACGAGGACGACTATGACGGCGACAACGACATGGAGTCAAGTGGATGTAGTCGAAATGCCACTAGAACAGCGCCTTAAATTATGGAACTGACAGGTGCCCTCTAACCCCCCCCTTACCTGTAGTACATACATATACACCTGGTGGGAAATCTGCAATGCTGCACTTGGCAAAGTGATGAACCGAAAGAACATTTCTCGCTGCTGTTCCTCCCAGAGCCGGAAAACTCATTAAGCACGTCGAGTGCGAGTGGCGCTCATTTGGTTGCCTTCGAAGGCGACAACGAATCCGAATCCGAATCCGAAAAATCCATTCCCCGGAAGGACATCCGAAAATAAGAAATAAACACAAAAGCCAAAAGTTTTACAAGAAAATGGAGGGAACTACACGAAATATTGTGAACTTTTGGAGGGGAGAGATTCGAGGTTCATTAACTGGTAATGAAATGCAGGGAAATGGGTTTGACTTTTGACCTTTTCATAAAGTTTAAATTATAAATCTGTGTTATAGATCTATAAAGGAAACTCTTACTACACTTTGGGAAAACAATACCCCATATTTAGGAGTATTTTTATGGCCCAGCTTTGGCGTGAGCCCCGAACTCATCAAAAACACAAGAATACATTGTATTTGGACTTCTTTAAGTGCGGCTTTAAGCCGTATACGTTCTGGCGTTATCTGGTTCTCGTTTTCTGGGGGCCCCCGACAAGAATATCCCCCACTCATTGTAGTGGCGTGTGTATGCATAAATTAAGGACTCCAGGATTCGCATTTACATTTGCAAAAAGCAGAACGCAATAGGAAACTTTATCCCCACTCCGTTATCCTGCCACTCCGCTCGGATAGAGATGATTGAAGGGTCCTGTGGGGGTCGAGGAAGGTGGCGAGTAGAGACCGCTCCCCTCTGAGGTCCTGACTACAATTGAATTTAATGGCTATTAGCATGTCGAAAGACGCAACTCTTAAGCAGTAACCGCAAAACAAAGCTCGGACAGGCCCGAAGACAACATTTACGACCAAATTGCACAAAAGTTGCCCCGTCCCGCAAAACCAGCCGCCCCTCATGCCCGCATCCCTCCATCCTCCAAAGAAACAAAAACAAATCCTGACCACTGCTTTCAAATGCAAATGTGGCTGGGGAGCGGAAAATTCTGGCCACTTTTCCTTTGGCTAATTGTGGAATGGAATGAAATGGTAACGAACTGGCGGACTCGCCCCATCTTGTTAGACTCCTTAAGACTTAAAGTCTTAGGTTGGCTTTCTTCCATGAGCCACCAACTGCATCCGCAGATCCTTTGAAGGATATTCTTCTCTCTGGCGGCAAGTGCACAAAGTTCGGCACTCTTGGAGTGGCAACTTTAGCGCCGAAACAAGCGTGGCAAAGCATTTGGCAAACATGGAATAACAATTTGCTCCATCGCCGTTTCTTTTCTTGCAACAAGCCAACTGGAAACGGAAGGAGTTGGCAACAAAAGGGAGGTCCTACTCCTCTCTGTGTGGAGAACAGAGAACGTGTTGACAACGCATATGCCAAGCCAAATCGGAGCCACCGCAATATAAATAAAATTTGTCCTTTTCCCAGAGCCATAGCCAGAAATAATCCCCCGGATAAAGTGGTGGCAGCCCCAACACACCCATCCATTCATGTATATATTTGTCCACATATATGGATATATATATATATAGGGCTATATGGTAAATCGCATGTGTCATGCCTTGCCTTGCCTTGGCATTAAGATGTAAAAATCCGTTTAAATTGTAACTCTGACAGGGGCAACAAAAAATATGCTGCCACAAGGCAAGGTGCACACAACAAATGTGTATAACTGTCTATCGAAGTTTTGCCTTAAGAAAATGTTACTGCCACTGCTGCAGCAACAATGATAAGCGGCAGGAGCAACTTGCAGATGCAGTTGCATGTCGTCAACAGGAAGAAAATGTGGCCAGGACATTGGAGGTGGTACTAGGGGGGGGTGCAAGTTGAAGACAAGAAGGAATAACCAACATCATGGGTAAAATAAATGTTGTAGAAAGCCCAGGGAGCAGAAACACAGGGCATGCAACACACACTAACACACTCACATGATAGACGAGTCATGCAGACAAAGTAGAAAATACTAACGAACGTTGCCCAGATAGGTGGAGAGATAGGTGGCTGGGATAACGTGGCGTATGAACAATGCAAAAAACCACAATGCCCTTGTTGTTATTGTTTTATGGAAAAGCAAAAGCAGTAGCAGTAGCACTAGTAGCAGTAGCAGCTGAAGACATTCCGCTTATCGTTTGTTACATAAAAGATGTCAGTGGTCCACAGCAGCCACACAATTGTCAGACATTGATTCCAGAGAGACCCAAACCCATACCCATAGCGAACTACCTTGATTGCAAGGCAGTATTAGATCTCCGCCCAGAATCTATTGTCTGCCAAAGACTGCTACTGTAAAGCAACAATACTCAACCTATATACTATACTATACTGTTCACTATACTATACGATATATAGATAAATAAATATATATACTCACGCTTTTGTTATACCAATTGCAGGCATTATCAAAGGAGACGAAATAATGGTCATCAATGGGGCAATTGTGTCCGATCTAGATATGATGTACTTGGAGAGTGTCCTGCAGGAGGAACAATCGCTCAGCATGATGATGCGGTAAGTTATGTCAGCCATCCACTGTCCAGTGTCCCTCCCCATTCGAACATCATTGTTTTCCTTGTTTATGGTCTGTTTAACATCTGTTTCCACGTTTTATGTCACGGCCATTGTTTAAATTTCAGTTACACGGATTAATTAACTATTTTAGTCGCCGGCTGACAGTTTGCAGTCGCCAGTGTCAATTAGACCTCGGGCCTGGGGCCGCAGGACAGGTCTTGGACAGGTCCTGGACAGCGTAATGCAATATCCAGTTCATTGTTTCCCTTATCGCATTGTATGCTTATGTTTATGACCCATAAAGTTGAAGGAAAACCAGCTGACGGACATTTTTTTCGCCCCGATATCTGGCTTTCATAATTTCCTGTTTAATGGCAGTAGGAGTGCTGCTGCAGATGTGGCTGGTCCTGCAGCTGATCTTGTTAATTAAAAATATCCGCAATCAAGCTATCTAACCCTCTCAACCACTCAGCAACAAGCCACATCAAGTTGCCACAACCCTTACTACCCAGAATGTCAACAATCGACAAGCTTTGCCAATTTTTGATGATGTTACACCATAAGAACTTTCCCATCCAAAAGCTAAAAAAAAAAAACGAAAAATTGGAAACTAAACCAGTACCTAAAATTGTTTCGCAACCAAATCAAAAAAAAAGGAAAAACTACTGGAAAATGGGGAAAAATGAAAGGGCGAGAGAAAAGAAAAAAAAAAAGAGATGTTTGAACCAAAAAATGTTCCATGTTCCATTCTGCAACCATTTTTGGTTTATAGTTTTTCAGCAAAGTCAACAACAAGTTCAAGCCACAGCTGGAAAATGTGTGGCAGAGGCAAGGACTCGGGCAGGGGCTGGGGCAGGACCAGAAAAACGTTTGGGTAACAGGGGAAAAGACAAGCCGAAACCCAAACACGTTGCCACTTCACGTTCCACGCTCCACGTTCATGAGCGATGCCATGCAGTTTAAACGTGGCAGTCCGGGTGGTGGTATACTTTGTTCCGTTCGGTTGACCAACCTGCTCCTGCTCCTGCTCCTGCCCCTGCCACAGGTCCTGCCACCTTCAAGTGCCCATTGCTTCCACCCCACCCCCTTGTACCATTCCCATTCTCGAGCCGAACGGCATTTTGATAGCCTAATTAGCTTCTCTTTATGGCAAACGAAAACAGAAAAGCTTTTGTGCTAAGCGTTTGTAGAGCCAAATGCCTGACCCCACCATCCACCACCCATTGCCGTCATTCGTTCATTCAAATTATGCACGTTGGGAGCATTTTCCACATCTTTTACTAATTTCGCGCACTGACACAGAAAAAGGTCACGCCAGTCCACGGTCCTTTTGGTCCTGTAGTCCTGGAATCCATTCCAGGTGTTGCTATACGTTTGTTTGCTTTTTTTTCTGGTTTGGTTTTGGTTCCTCCATAAAGTCAGGAGCGGAAATTATGCAAATTCTGCAAACACGGAACAAAGTTTTCTTAAAAATGCAAAAAAAATGTAGACTTATATTTAAATCTTACATTTCTTAATTATTTAAAAATAGGATTACTTTTTATTTGAAATTTTAAAGACCTATAAAGACCATGCCATCTATTATGCTAATACTAATTTCCCTATTACCATAGGTCTTCCCGCACTGAGCCACCAGATCTAGTGGGGATCATGCGGGTTACTGACGATATGATTGATTCTCTGGTGTGCCCGCCCCCGCCCACGGATCCGCCGGTGATGAGCGAGGAGATGATAACTGGACTGATTGTTCCGGCCCCCGGTTGGAGTAAGTACCTACCTTTAGTATTTAAAACCAAAAGAATTCCCCCATGTTTCGGGCTAACCCCAAAAATTGTTTGGGCTTGGAAGGGGGCATGGGGGATTTTGGGGCATTTTTAAACATTTAAGAGAAGGGTGAACCGCAGGCAGCATTCATCAGCTACTCGCACAACAAAAGCATACTAATCACGGCTATGGTTACGGTTCCGTGTCCGTATCCGTGTCCGCGTCCGTGTCCGTGTCCGTGTCCGTATCCCTGTCTGCATTGGGCTACGGCTCCGGTTTCATGAGCCTTGACGTTGAGGTGCGGTCTCTTTTCAACACCCCCTCTATCGTGCTCTTTTTCTCTTCTCATGTGTGTGTGTGTGTGTGGGAGGAGGGGATGTGTGATTGTGGTTGTGAAGCAGGAAACGAAAAAGCGCATTTCCGGGCATGCATGCGAATTTGTAAAGTTCATTAAAGTAATTTATATTTTTTTCACATTAAATGCTGGGCTCTAGACAACAAGCAGAGAAAGAGATGACAATAGGGGAGTGAAAGAGTGAGGGAGTGTGGCAGTGAGTGAGTGAGGTAGAGCGTGTACAACAACAATTACATCAATAAGTAAAGAGGGAAAGGGATGGGCTGTCGTCGTTTCGCAACAACCAACTACATAATTACAGGATTACAAACTGCAGTTGCACATACACCCACACACTCACACTCACACTCACACACATACCTATACACACACACACACGCTGCACTGCACTCAAAAAGCCGAAGTGGCTAAGAACACAAAACAATTAAAACCAACAAACCCAACAACAACAGCAACAAATACAACAAAAAACTGTTGCAAATGTGTGTTGTACACAAAATGAAACTTTTTTGTTGCGGCAAACAATTAAAAGGCACAGAGCGAACACTAAAAAAGAATTAAAATACAAAAATATAGCAAACAAAACAAAAATTGTTGCAGAAATTAAACGACTCTCTCTCCATACAATACACCATACATACCATACACACTATATCTTATATATATACGATTGTATACGTATTAATATTTATTTCTCCTTTTTTTTTGACACACATCCTGGTGGCTCAAACATATGGGCTGGGGAGGGAGAGGAAAGTTAAAGCGGGCTCAGCGGGTCTAAAGCCTCTTGAAAAAAAATATTATAAATCAGAGGTACTTTTTCCTATAAAGACCAACAATTTTCAATCAATCGATACGTTGGCAAACGATTCTGTCCAATTAGTTGTATTAAATTACCGGAAAAAAAAGAACTTTAACAAACTGGCTGGAGTTTTCCGCAAAAACTTGCAAACATTCAAAGTATCATTAGCCCCCGGGAAACTATGCCAAAATATTTGGTATCCTGGCTGGCGTGGCATCGTTTGAAACGAAACCCTAAGAAAAAGTGGCCAAAACTTAAGGACTTCTGGAGCGTATCCTCTTGCCATAAACAAGCAGCAGGTCTTACTTTATTTAAAGCCACTAAAACTGGCAAAGTTATTTGCCATCGAAAAATTCGGCTTGGCACGTCCACGAGTTATTAGCCCGGGTTTTGGGCCAGGACCCAACGACCTAGGACTACGACTACGTGCACTCCGGCAAAGGAGACCACAAACTGAAATTTATAAGACGGCCATTTCCAATAACTACACACACACACTGGGAGTGTGTGGTGTCAGATTTTAGAGAAAACGTTCGTAAAATTTGTTGCCAGCAAATTTGCATGTCGGGAGAGACCCCTCCAGGACAATGCCAGGAGGTCTCGACTCCTGGGCGGTGGCCTGGTGTTCAAGGACATGATTTTTAAACGCTTCTCGGGTGCTGGAAAACTACTCTTCGGGCGACTACAAGCCGCAAAGACAGGCACAAGTTTATAAAAATATATTGTCATGCACTGGAAGAAAATGTTTATTGTGAATATTATCAAATCTTATAAAACAAATAAATCATTTCATATCCTTGGGAAATTATTTTCGTGATGGGATCCCTTGAAAATGGAGTTTTCCCCTATAGGGTCCACCGAGATGGCCATATCGTCCCCAATTCTCACCCGATTCACAAGCGGAGTACCTTAAACGATTTCTAGATCGATTCTCCACCATTCTGCATCAAAATCCTGACACAAAATATTTTTTAGATTTTTTGTCCATTTTTGGTGATGGGATCCCTTGAAAATGGAGTTTTCCCCTATAGGGTCCACCGAGATGGCCATATCGTCCCCAATTCTCACCCGATTTTTAAGCGGAGTACCTTAAACGATTTCTAGATCGATTCTCCACCATTCTGCATCAAAATCCTAATACAAACTATTTTTTAGATTTTTTGTCCATTTTTGGTGATGGGATCCCTTGAAAATGGGGTTTTCCCTATAGGGTCCACAGGGATGGCCATATCTTCACCAATTCTCATCCGATTCTCAAGCGGAGTACCTTAAACGATTTCTAGATCGATTCTCCACCATTCTGCATCAAAATCCTAATACAAACTATTTTTTAGATTTTTTGTCCATTTTTGGTGATGGGATCCCTTGAAAATGGGGTTTTCCCCTATAGGGTCCACAGGGATGGCCATATCTTGCCCAATTCTCATCCGATTCTCACGCGGAGTACCTTAAATGATTTCTAGATCGATTCTCCACCATTCTGCATCAAAATCCTGAGACAAAATATTTTTTAGATTTTTTGTCCATTTTTCGTGATGGGATCCCTTGAAAATGGGGTTTTCCCTATAGGGTCCACAGGGATGGCCATATCTTGCCCAATTCTTATCCGATTTTTAAGCGGAGTACCTTAAACGATTTCTAGATCGATTCTCCACCATTCTGCATCAAAATCCTGAGACAAAATATTTTTTAGATTTTTTGTCCATTTTTCGTGATGGGATCCCTTGAAAATGGGGTTTTCCCTATAGGGTCCACAGGGATGGCCATATCTTGCCCAATTCTTATCCGATTTTTAAGCGGAGTACCTTAAACGATTTCTAGATCGATTCTCCACCATTCTGCATCAAAATCCTGAGACAAAATATTTTTTAGATTTTTTGTCCATTTCTGGTGATGGGATCCCTTCAAAATGGGGTTTTCCCTATAGGGTCCACAGGGATGGCCATATCTTGCCCAATTCTTATCCGATTCTCACGCGGAGTACCTTAAATGATTTCTAGATCGATTCTCCACCATTCTGCATCAAAATCCTGAGACAAAATATTTTTTAGATTTTTTGTCCATTTTTCGTGATGGGATCCCTTGAAAATGGGGTTTTCCCTATAGGGTCCACAGGGATGGCCATATCTTGCCCAATTCTTATCCGATTTTTAAGCGGAGTACCTTAAACGATTTCTAGATCGATTCTCCACCATTCTGCATCAAAATCCTGAGACAAAATATTTTTTAGATTTTTTGTCCATTTTTCGTGATGGGATCCCTTGAAAATGGGGTTTTCCCTATAGGGTCCACAGGGATGGCCATATCTTGCCCAATTCTCATCCGATTCTCACGCGGAGTACCTTAAATGATTTCTAGATCGATTCTCCACCATTCTGCATCAAAATCCTGAGACAAAATATTTTTTAGATTTTTTGTCCATCTTTCGTGATGGGATCCCTTGAAAATGGGGTTTTCCCTATAGGGTCCACAGGGATGGCCATATCTTGCCCAATTCTTATCCGATTTTTAAGCGGAGTACCTTAAACGATTTCTAGATCGATTCTCCACCATTCTGCATCAAAATCCTGAGACAAAATATTTTTTAGATTTTTTGTCCATTTCTGGTGATGGGATCCCTTCAAAATGGGGTTTTCCCCTATAGGATCCACAGGGATGGCCATATCTTCACCGATTCTCATCCGATTCTCAAGCGGAGTACCTTAAACGATTTCTAGATCGATTCTCCACCATTCTGCATCAAAATACTGAGACAAAATATTTTTTAGATTTTTTGTCCATTTTTCGTGATGGGATCCCTTCAAAATGGGGTTTTCCCCTATAGGGTCCACAGGGATGGCCATATCTTGCCCAATTCTCACCCGATTCTCAAGCGGAGTACCTTAAACGATTTCTAGACCGATTCTCCACCATCCTGCATCAAAATCCTGAGACAAAATATTTTTTAGATTTTTTGTCCATTTTTCGTGATGGGATCCCTTCAAAATGGGGTTTTCCCCTATAGGGTCCACAGGGATGGCCATATCTTGCCCAATTCTTATCCGATTTTTAAGCGGAGTACCTTAAACGATTTCTTGATCGATTTTCCACCATTCTGCATCAAAATCCTAATACAAAATATTTTTTAGATTTTTTGTCCATTTTTCGTGATGGGATCCCTTCAAAATGGGGTTTTCCCCTATCGGGTCCACAGGGATGGCCATATCTTGCCCAATTCTTATCCGATTTTTAAGCGGAGTACCTTAAACGATTTCTAGACCGATTCTCCACCATTCTGCATCAAAATCCTGAGAAAAAATATTTTTTATATTTTTTGTCCATTTTTCGTGATGGGATCCCTTGAAAATGGGGTTTTCCCTATAGGGTCCACAGGGATGGCCATATCTTGCCCAATTCTTATCCGATTTTTAAGCGGAGTACCTTAAACGATTTCTAGATCGATTCTCCACCATTCTGCATCAAAATCCTTATACAAAATATTTTTTATATTTTTTGTCCATTTTTCGTGATGGGATCCCTTGAAAATGGGGTTTTCCGCTATAGGGTCCACAGGGATGGCCATATGTTCACCAATTCTCATCCGATTCTCAAGCGAAGTACCTTAAACGATTTCTAGATCGATTCTCCACCATTTTGCAACAGATTAATATAATATAGATTATAATATACAACAGATGGTATAGAATTTTTGAAAATCTATTTCTCAAGTTAAGGATTAAAATAAAAACTCTAAATAAGTCCTAAAACTTTTTCAATATGTAAGCCATAACTTTTGAACTTTAGAAATAGACTTTATTACGAATACTTTCTTAGCAAAGTCTTATTTTCAAGTTGGCCAACCAACTTTGTGAAACTTTTCGTTTTTAGCCATTTTACCAAAAAACAAAAAGTGTAGCAATTTTTTTACAAGACTTGTCTGGTTTTTTGGGAAAATACATCAGAATATTTGAGTGTATCTTTTTCTGGAAAATAGTTGCTGGAAGATTAAAAATTCCTAAAATAGTTGCGGTAGCTGTTGCCGTTTTTTGGCGAGTGCAAGCTGGCTTGTCTGTGAGTTGGCCTCATATGTATGGGCCATAAATTTGTTGTTGGTTAAAACGCTCCCTGTCGCTCGCACACGGACGTTGTGGCAAACACATTGCAGCAATAATCATTACGGCTTGTTGTTGCCGTAGCTTCTGGCTGTTTTTTGTCGTTATTACTTTCGGCTTTGAGCTGCCACTGGAGACGGCACTGGCGAAGGATGGTTGGTAGGAGGGGGGGTGGGTAAGTGCCATTTTTGTGCCAGTATTAAAATTCCTCCATTCGCTTTTTACAGCTTAAACATGGAATTTAAAATTAACAAGCAGCAAATAACCGAATAAAGAGCCTGCCTCTTTTTATCGATATGTGCCGCGAACGCCGACTCACAACTAATTACAAAAACCAGGCTGACACACAAAAACCAAAAACAAGAACAAAAACTAATAATAATAATAATAAAAGTAGTAATAATAATAATACTTAATCACAACATTCGCTTATCTCCTTTCCAGATGGCACTAGCAAGGATTTGTACTCGCCGGAGGCGGAAAGCTCACCGGCCCCCTCGTTCATGGATCCCGCCGCCATGGCCGCCCAGTTGGCTGTGGGCGGTGTCGGTGTCGGTGGCGGCGGTCCAGGCGGCATGATGGTGGGCGGCCTGGGCGTGGCCAAGCCCACGTCCCGGACGAGCAGCTTTGAGATTGAGAATCTACTGAAGACCGCGGAGCAAGTAAGTTAGCTGTGCCCGATGCTGGCGATGGGGTGAAGTGGGTTGGGGTGGGGTGGGATGGGATGGGGTAACCAAACGCAAAACACAACTCTCTCTCTCTCTCTCTCTTGAATCGACCCCGCCATGACCCTCAGCACTGTGACCCCCGCTCCTGTAGTCCATTTCCCCTACCATCCAACATCCCACAGGAACTTGCCACTTGGAAGGCAAATCAAATTGCTTTGAACTCGCAAAGCGGAAACGGAAACTATTAAAACGAGCACCAAACACGAAACACGAAGGGGTTGTGGGTGGGGTTGCACTTTCTGCTGCTGCCGCTGCCGCTGCCACTGCTGCCGCTACTGTTGCCGCTGCCACTCCCCAATGAGCACTTGTGATTGAAATGTGCACAAATTGAAATTTGTACAAAAAGCTGTGGCAAGGCATACACTTAGCTGGAGCTTCCTTCCTGCTCGGCTTGGCTTGGCTTGGCTTGGATTTTTGGGCCCTAGGGCGTGTCTCGACACATCTCAAGATGTCATGGCAAATTTGGCCTATTGGGTTGCCAAGAAGAGATTCGGGCAGCTAGCCAGCCAGCCAGGAAGACAGCCACCAAACAATAAACGTCCCACAGATACCAATGTGACGGGGCATAAAAATATCAAGGATATCTATATCTATACATAAACTACATATATATGAATATACAGGACAACAGACATCTGACTGAGGACTGGGGACAGATAGAACAACAAGCAAAGATGCCACAGAATGCACTTTGTTTTCTGGATATGCTTTCCCCAAGTGTGCTCGAAACTGGCAGAAACCCACTTCATTTAATGATACTTGAACACTGTGACACACAAACACAGTGAACACTGTGCCAGGAGCCAAAAGGGGGAGTGGCAGTGGGAGCTTGTGTTATATAAGGAATCCTTTTAATTCAAGTTGACATTTCACACAGGACGACGACGGGGCAAAAAGGGCGAAACAGAGGAAGTGGGCTGGTAGGCAGGCAGGTTGGCTGCCAGTCTGGCAGGTTGGGTGCTAAATTCAAGACATTTTCAAATTTTTCATCTTTGGGGCCAGGCCAGAGGCAACAATGTGGGCACTCAGCGGCGTTCAGCTCAGCCAGAAGCTGCCACACCGATGTTGCACCTGTACTGCAGCTGGCCACCACCCCACCGTCTGTGTTGGCTTTCGGGTCGCTGCGACAGCGACTGCGGCTGAGGCTGAGGCTGCGGCTGCGGCGTCGCTTATGCAAATCAGAAGCGCAGCTCGGCGGAGAGCGGCGCAAAAAAAAAAAAAAGCAGAACAATAAAACAGTTAAAAGTAGACAAGAACAAGCTGCCCGCCCAGGCACAAGGATGGGGGGAGGGATGTGGGGCTCTAGAGGGCAGCAACAATACACAAAGTGCAACTGCATAAAAGTGAAATGTCTTTACAATGCCAGCCAGCAGAGGCAGCAGCAGCAGCAGATGCAGCAGAAATAGCGGTAACAACACCAACAAACAATGACAACTGCAATGGCAACCGGGAGAGGAAAAGGGACAGGCAGAGTGGGGCTTGCAAGGGGGCTAGTGGCTAGAAAGGTTAGAGTGGGAGGTAGCTATGTAGGTCTTAGAGATGGTAGCGTGACAAGCGGACTTAGGAAATGTCACCGAAAGAGATGGACAAACTGCCCTGAAAAGTAGGCAATAACCACACGGCGTATACTTGATTTTTAGGAATACTTCAATAAATCATGTTCAAATTTAAAGAAAACTTGAACAATAAAGTATATAAATACTATTTATCGCCATTTTAAAGTGTATACTTACCGTTTCTAGTAATCCAAGTAATATTTAAAGCTCTGATGGCGCCATTTTTCGACACAAACTCAAGACCTTTTTGTTGTTTTTTTTTGGTTGTTGGTTGTTTGTTTAGGCATTTGTGTACAATGCAAATTCATTTGACGCTCCTCTGACTGAGTCAATTTATTAGAACTGCTCCATTTAACACTTTTTCTCCGTGTTTCATGTGTTCTGTGAAGAACGAGCTAAACAAATAAATAGAAGAAAAGTCAAGGAGAATCCAGGGCCAAACACCACAACGTCTTAATGCGAAACTTGTGGCAGAGCGGGGATCTTCTCCGCCCACACACACATGTACATGTACAGTCGAAACAGGGATGTGTGTAACGTGTCTGTGTGTCAGCCGTCAAGCGTCAACTGTCAGTGCCAAATGTGCTTGTAACCGCACCCAGAGCAAGCAAATGTCCTGGGTTGTCTCTGTTGGGTGGCTGGCTATACGACATGGGGCTTCAGACCCACAAACACTTTGGCCGCAACAACAGCAGCTAACGGCAACTTGGACAAGGACGTGACAGTCATTTAGAACCGCAGCTGTCTTCCCCCCTTCCCCCTAAAGTGGCCGCGAGCTCTTGCCCACGCCCTCACATATAACCCTTTACGCCTACGCCCCACCCTTTTTTATACTTATTCAACCCCAGCCCACCACCACCACCACCCCGCCTTATTCCTTGTTATTCAAAAAAAGAAAAAAAACTATCGCCTGTCTTATCTGTATCTCTCTTTCATGGCTAACTTTATTATTATTTATCGTAATTTATTTCGGTGACTCCTTTTTCATATCTTGGCATCTATTTTTGTTCTTTTCTTTCTTTTTTGATTTTTGATCCTTTCGTTTCACGAATCTCCTCATCACGCCAACAAAATCAACACATAACTTTACAACAATAACAACAAACTATAAACAACAACAACAACACAACACTATCGAAAACAACAACTACAACTTGAACCTGACCTGTGAACCGTGTTAAGGTTACCGGATTTTGTCGTTCACCCCAGGAAACACGCAAATCGAGCCCCACCGGCTCGGTCACATCATCGGTCTCGACCACGGCATTAACCCCATCACGCCAGCTGACCGATGCGGAGAAGCTGCGCAAAGTCGTCATGGAATTGGTGGACACGGAAAGGACCTACGTCAAGGTAAGTCAACACTGAGAAAAAAAAAATGATTATTATATCTCTTATAGTCTCTGAGATAAAGTCGTTTATAAAGGCAGATACTAGTAAACAGGCTCTAGTACTCTTCTCAGAATGAGAGTTTCTTTGGCGGTCTGGAAACTTTCTTATCTAATTTTAAAAAATATAAACTACTATTTATTATCAGTGCAGACAGCCTTAACTTTAATGCAAATCCCAGCATCGACCACTGACTTGTGTTCATTAGAGTTGGAGGGGTCGGGTCGGGGAGGTCCGTCTGCAATTAAAAATGCAAATTTTAATCCTTTAACTGTGTCGCTACGCTTCTGTTTGTCGTCCTGTTTTCTGTTATCCCGCTCCTGCGGATTCCTCCCTGCCCTGCCACTTTTTTTTTCCTCGTTTTCCTTTAAGCCAACTCCAAGTCTGGTTTGGTTTGGTTTTCGTTTAGTTTACTTTTGGCCCGGGCCCAGGAAGCATACAAATAATTATTATAATTTAGAAATTATGTAAAGCGCCGCTGCGGCCCAGCGACGGAGACGAAGGCTCCTGGTCTTATCTGTGGAGAGTGTGGTGGGGCCAAGCCGCCAACCCGCCATACCGCTACACCGCCCTCCTATAGCCCGGAAGTATTGTTCCAAATGAAAGCGCGCGCCTGTGGCTATGCTACAGTATTTCTCGACTCTTTTTTGTTTCATGTCCTGGACCCAACTGGCACAAAACTAAAAAGTTTCCTCCAACCAAGCAGAACTGCCGGCCAACTCCGCCGGGAATTGTTGTGGCCAAGATGGGCCAAAAGTGGGCGTTGGATGGTCGTTGATTTTTTAATTTAATTTATGCATTTTGTGTTGCTGGCCGTGGCCAGTGCCAGTGCCCGAACCGGTCCTGTTCAAAGTATTTCCGCTATCCAGCCATAAAGAACTTGTATTTTGACTTTATTGAACGATGCGACGGATATTTATGTATGTATTTATTATGGATAATTTTTCAGCACCTGAACAACTTGCTGGAACACTATCTGGAGCCAATGAAACGCGAGACATTCCTCTCGAATGCCGAGATAAACGCTCTTTTCGGAAATATCCACGAGATTGTAACATTCCAGCGGCAGTTTCTGCAGAATCTGGAGGAGGCCCTCGATCTGGAGCCGGAATTCAACAAGTTCGAGCATTGTGGACAGTTCAGGGTAAGATATCCATTTCATGAAAGATATCCTTAAGCCTGTTTTCAACAAAAACTATTATTTGTCTTTAAAGAATGTACTGTTCGCGATTGGATCGGCCTTCCTGTACTATGTCAACCACTTTAAGCTATATTCCTCGTTCTGTGCCAGCCACAGCAAGGCGCAGAAGGTCCTGCATCCGAGTGAGTATTCATCCTTGTCAGCTCAAATCCCCCAGACAAATCAAATTCCGTGCAGAAAGGAATTCATTTACATACATCAGGCGAACGACAGTGGTGTCCAAAATCGAGAAATACCCACCAAAGCCAATATACCAAGGCCAGGATTAGCACCATTTGGGGGGGGAATTCATTTGCATATTTGAAAATAGGCAGCCGGATATTATAATTGGCCTTTAACACTATCTAGCTAGAATTATATCATAGTTTTAGCTACAGTTAGTACCAATTAAAACTGACCGGCCAGAGACATTAATTAAAAGTTCTTTCATTGTGAAAATTGAAATTATCCAGGGCCTTACACTCGCGCCACGCACTGTACATACATACTTGGGCATATATTTTCAACTATTGCAATTCGCAATCAGCGTCAAGCGTCAAAGTCTATTTGAGTTCTGAGTTTTGAGTTGAGCGAGAAACTTGTAAAAGTCAAACAACCGAAGCAAACCGAACTGAACCCACAGACCGAACAATTGGCAAACTATTCGCTTCAATTGTGCCACGCCACCGCCACCTTGCCACACCCCTGGCCCACACTTTAAAATGATTTGCAAGTTAAATGAATAATTACAACCGCAAATGCCGACGACGACGACGACGACGACGAGGAGGACGAGGACGACGATGATGACGACCCCCGTGGAAACCGCAACTAAAGGCAAATTTTCATCGTAGGCGAGTGGCTTTTCGGAGCGAGGGGTTGCACAAAGTACGAGGGTGGGGGAGTGGGGGAGAGTGGGTGGTGGCAAGCTGGCAGCAGCATATTCATATTCATGCCAAGGCAGCAGCGGCAACTGTCAAGTATCTTTTGTTAATTAAACTTGTAGAATTATGACACGCTTACAAATGGCGACCCAAAACTATGCCAGAGCTTCACAACTTGATGGGGCAATGGGTGTGGGGGGAAGCACTACCTCCAGGAGGTAGCAGGCGGAGAATGCTCCACCCCACTAAGCTGCTTGCAGTGAGGCGGATAAAAGGCTGTGTCGTCGGTTAGCAGAGCTGCCACAGCGCGACAACATGTCATAATTAAATTAGACTTAGTCTAAGCTTAAAAACACTCCAGCAAACAGATGGGAAAAGGTGGCCACCAAAGCCCACCCACACCCACACTTGCCACCTGCCACCTGCCATCCCAGCAACGCTTGCACCCTTTTGCCAGTTTGCCACATTGATTGATGCTGCCGTGGATGGGATTGTAGCTAATCAAAAGCGTTGAAGGTAAAAAATGTATGCGCAATATTTGCAATCAATGAGTTAAGCTCAGCTGCAGTGGCAGTGGGGTAGTCAAGGTAACTCGGGACGAGGGCAGGACCCATAGCAGGAGCCGGAGCAGGAGCAGAAGCATCATCCACTTGAGGGTGGCTCCACGCCCGGCTGTTGCATGAAATTTTATGCAAAAAGTTGAAAGGATAATTAATTATAGCAAGAAGTGCACTTAAGTGCCTTCGTTACGTGCAAGAGCAGGAGATTCCATGGCTAGGGAAGGAGGAGGGGATAGAAAAAAAAAAAATACCGTTAGAGGACGAGACGAAGGAGAAGCTTGTCAGGCTGGCAGAAGGACAAGCAGCCAACGACAGACGCTATTAGACGTAAATCCGTTCCATCCGCTCCATCCACTCCTGTTGCAGACAGGCTATGCCTTTGCCTTTTTATCAAAAGCTGGTACTGGTACTGGTGTTGGTGCTGCATCTCGCCTGACAATAAGAACAAGTTAATGACATTTTCTTGTCGTAACGGCATATCCTTGTGCCTGTCCCGTGCTCAAATCTCTAATGGGCATCAACGTAGCAATTAATTACACCGACTCCAACGACTTCAACCGATTCTAGCGAACAATACGAACGTCCATTGAAATCGAATCATTTGGCAAATGTCTCAATTTGCATTTCAATTCATTGCAATCCCTCAACCCCTTCCATCCCTTGCAGATGAAGGCAATCACGCCCTGCAGGAGTTCCTGGCCGCCCGCAATCCCAAGCAGCAGCACAGCAGCACCCTGGAATCGTATCTGATCAAGCCCATTCAGCGCATCCTCAAGTATCCATTGCTACTCCAGCAGATGCGCAATCTCACCGATTCCCGGGCCGACGAACACGTTCATCTATGTGGTGAGTACAGAGCGGTGGGTCATCCCACGATGGCATCTCATCAGCTCCATCCTGTTCCCTTGCAGAGGCACTCAAGGGCATGGAGAAGGTGGCCGAGCACATCAACGAGATGCAGCGCATCCACGAGGAGTACGGCGCCATCTTCGATCACCTGTTCCGGCAGCACCAGAAGTCCTGCAAGCAGCCCATCGACCTGAGTCCAGGTGGGAATACATTGTAAACCCCAATCCTTACATTTCTCACTCCTGTGGCGTTTCTTTAGGCGATCTCCTGTACTATGGCGGCGTGGAATGGCTTAATATTTCTGATTTTCTGGGCAAGATCAAGAAGGGTCTGGAACTGCATGCCATGTGCTTTGTATTCAAGTCGGCGGTGGTGTTCCTCTGCAAAGAGCGACTGCGTCAAAAGAAGAAGCTAATGGTGGGTTTGGAAAAACAAAAACTGGAAACTATAATTACTAATCCTCTTACTATCTTTGGCAGGGAGTTTCCAGCAAGAATGCCACTAATGAGGTGGAGATCATACGCTATCAAGTGCTCATACCGGTTACCGAAGTCCAGGTCCGCGCCAGCTCCGCCAAGGACATGGACTCGCACTTCCTGTGGGAGCTCATCCATCTGCGCTCCCAGCTGCAGCGCCGTTCCGAGAAGGTCTACGTGCTGTCGAACAGCACCGCTGACTTTAGGAACGCCTTCCTGAAGACCATACGCCAGATAATACGGGAGAGCGTCCGGAATATGTCAATTCCGATGAAGAACTTTGGCGGCAGCTCTGGCTCCGTCTCCGGCCACTCTTCCCAAGGCGGCATGGGTGGCTTGGGCGGCTATGCCGGCAACTCACAGACCCTCGAGCGACCCAAGCAGCAGGTACGCATCGGAATAATGACTTCTCCATGTGGAGTATCCTTTAATGGACTACCTCTTATATCCCTTCGGTAGATCACCATTGTGCATGGATCGCACACTCTGGGCAAGCCGAAAAAGAAGTCCGGATCGCAACGCCACTCGGCTGGGAACATTGACTACGACAACTTGTCGGGCAGCCAGGAGGCGGACGACTTGCCGCCCAGCGTGGGCGTTGTCCACTACGGCGCCGCCCACGTCCAGCAGATGCCGCCCACGGGCTTCCGAGGTCGCAGCAAGACGGTGGGCGATGTGACAGGTAAGTGATGCCACTGGTGCTAACGGCCTTTAGTGCTAACTATATACTGATCCTGTCCTGATCCTGTCGAGTTAATGGCTAACAATGTCCCCGCTATGTCACCCCACATTCCGTATCATCCAACGCGTTTTGCCATAAAGAAATCACTTGCTCCTCCTTAGATCCCCATCAGCAGCAGCAGCAGCAGCAACATCAGTTACAGGCTCAGCCAGATCACGCCCACCCCCGCCCCCATCCACATCCAAGGGAGCCACCGCCGCCACCCATCCGGCAGCCGCATCTGCACCACCACAGCACGGATATCGAACGGATTGATCCGGGCACGAAGTCGGAGGGCGAGGAGGACTCGCAGCAGGGCACAATCAGGCCCAAGGCCACCCTGGGGCGCACGCCCAATCACCTGACACTGAGGTGAGTCCCTGCAGTCCTTGTGTACTTTTTTATTAACTGGTATTCTGCTGACTAACTGGATTAACTTTTTAAAACAAGTACTAATATGCTTTTAAGGAATTACTAAAATATAAGACAAGAATCCTGACCTGAGTCCTTAGTGATTCCAGTCAGTCAGTCAGATACCCAGTAGAGTGAAAGGAGTAAGCTCGACTATTGCTTGACCCTGTGTATTTTTGCATCTCTCCTCCTCTCTGCATCCGACCTGATAGCACCACATCCACGCTCTCGGTGGGCAGCACCGGCAGCCAGGCGCGCCTGATACAATCGTCGCACCCGCCGGCCAGCTACCAGCCGGTGCTGATGAAGGACCTAGGTAAGCCCAGCCCGGATGAGTCGGAGCTCGAGAACGAGAATCAAGTCCAAGTCGAGATCGATACTGAAAGGCAAAATAGGAAATACGATACCGAAACCGAGTTCGAGTCGGAGTCGGAGGTGCATGCCGCCCAAATGGCGGCCTCCTTTAATTTAAGTCTAGGCAGTAGTGGTAGCTTGTTCGCCTCCGATCATAGAGATAGCCAGAACCAGAACCAGAATCAGACTCAATCCTATAGTCGTATCCTAACCCATACCCTACATCCCTCCCCGCGCCAGTCGCCGCGACAATCGCCGCGGCAGTCGCCCAAACAGGAGATCGAGGTAATCGAGATTTTCGAGAGCGAGGCGGAACGAATGGCCGCCTCCCAGCAGGTGGCCGTTGTCCACCAGCATCCGTCAGGGATCCAGGCCAGGGAATCGTCTCATAAGTCCCGACGTGACCGAAGCACTGACCCGACCGAAACGGACGCCACTTCACGGTACATGGACAAGCACCTCAGCGACTTGGAGCAGGAGAATCTGGTGGATTCGGGAACCTGCGACATAGTTGCCTACATGGCGAGTCTGCGGGAGAAGACCTTTGACCCGCAGGACTTGGCCGAGGAAGCTGCCGATCAGCAGCAGAACGACTCAAGTCTCTCCCCGGAACCGCAGACGGTGGTGGAGAACACCCAACAGACTGTGGTGGTGGACATCGAGTCGCCTTCTCGGCCTGCCACGGAATCGGACAGTACGGGCACTACGACTGGACCCTCTGAGAGGTCAGGAGACGATACGGAGGAGGAGGCCACCAGCTCCTTGGCGTCGCACATTGTCGTAATCGACAAGAAGGTGGACAAGATCTTCAAGGCAAAGTCGCCAGAGCGACCAGCCTCCACCAAGGTCAAAGGGGGAAGGCGGCAAATATACATCTCTCCAGACCGCTGCAAGTCCCAGGGCAGTTCCCCAGTACGGATCATCAAGATAAAGTCGCCCAGGACGAGCGTCAGTGAGCAGGGTAAGAGACTGAGTGTTTCCTCCTCTTCGAGGGACAACTCGCAAGATCGCCTGTCGGCCGGGAGGAGGACGCCCAGTCCGCGACGCTCCTCGGAGGGTGGGGGCATCTTGAAGCACACAACTGCCCCGACTTCGGGCATCCTGAAGCCTCCATCCAGCCCGGCCAAGTCCAAGAGTCCGGACAGGAGTTGCCTAAAGAAGGGCGGACCCTCGCACGTGTGCAGTGTGGAGACGCTGTCGCCGCACATTTCTCCCAGGAGCAGTGTGGATCACCTATCGCCGGACAGGGCCTCTTGTTTGCGCCACTCGCCCCGCAGCAGCTTCGACAGTCACGGTGGTTCGGATCACAACCTGGATGTGCCGCATGGCAGTCGCAAGAGGAGCATGTCTGCTCACGGAAGCTTCGAGACGGGAACCGTCAGGTCAAGGAACCAGGAAACCTACCAGTATTATCCGGTTTACGACAACCAGACCTGCAGTGATCACTATGTGGCTGCAGCGCCTAGTGGCCGGTACGGAGGCGGTGGTCACGGCCACGGGCACGGACATGGGCGTAGCAGGCTGAGCAAGTCCCTCGAGCGCTCGACATCCAGGGACAGCACCACCACTAGCAGCTCGTACGGGCACAGGGCCTACGGGGTGTCGCCCGATCGGAGCTATGTGGTCTACAGCTCGGGTCCGTTGAGGTCCCAATCGGCGGAGAACACGTTCTCACAGCCCATCTATGATCCCCTGCCCAGACATCCACCCCAGCCCATATCACAGCACCACCACCAGCCACCCCCCATGCAGCAAATGCAACAACAGCAGTACATGGGCTATGCCCCGGAGATGGGCGGCGGCGGCTATGGAGGCGGAGGTTGTCCGCACGAGCCGCAGGGTTCCGGGTACCAGCTGAGCTCCTCAGCCCCGGAGTACACCACATGCATTGACTGCCTGTACCAGAAGAGACCCTCCTAGCATAAGTCCCGCGTGCGGCAGAGTCGCACGCGGAAGAAGACACCCCGGGGCATGGTGGTGGTCAGCGCCCAGCCCACGGCCACCGGAGGCATTGGCTTCGTGCCCGAAATGGGTAGCACAGACCCGCCCGGCGGGTGTGTGGACTGCCACGACTACTTCGAGATTCATGTCTAAGGAAGGGAATGAGACTAAAGCTATTTGAAACCAAAGATAACAACCGAAAACTGATTAACAACAACAACCCGAAATGCCTCAAGAAACTAATTTTAAACCAAACTCAGCTCAGATATACGTAAAGTCATACACAAAGCCAACACGTAAACCGAAACGAAAATGAAAACTATAACCAAAAATAATCAAATCCAACACGAACTTCCAAAACAAGGGATTGAAATTACTACCTAGCCTACAATATACATGCATATAACTATATACAAAATCTACACTAGAAAAAAAAGCATCAAATTAGTAAAGCAAAAGAAGCACTTTAACAGAAAATAATAATCCATATAACTCGTTGTATAAATGTTAGTTGTAAGTCACCCAAAAACCTGAGGATAGTTAGCTCTTTCGGGGAAAGAATAGTTTTTACTGAAAAGTAATCACAGAGAGAGAGAGAGAGAGAGGAAGAGGAAAGGAGAAACCCACTTCCAGGTTACGTAATGTATGTGGGTGTATGAGTGTGGATGGTGGGTGTATGCGTGCCACCATTTCCAGTTAATTATTTAAGTTGCAACGCGAACATTTCGCCGTGATTTACACACATGCACACTCAAACATTAGCAAACAAAATGGCGGAAGTTCCGCTCGCCTGGGGTGGCAAGTAGAAATATTACGTATACGCCGCGTTGCACACACAATACTCAAGTGCCGTAATTACGAGGGCAAACAACAGGAGGCAGAAAAGAGCAGCTAGCGCAACTGAAACTAAAGTTGAAATTCATACTCGCACTCAAGTAAACTACTAAGAGACATGCAGACACAAACAACAAATGGCAAACTCAACTTGAAACATAGATGGGGGGAAAAATAAGACAGCCAGGAGCAGAAGCACCATCCGGAAAAACAAGAAAAAAAACCAAATAGGAATAGACCTAGAAAAAGAAAAGCACAACTCACATGCAGCTAGAAGAGTTGAGGGGAAGTCTCTAACCAAACGCGAAACTATGTCACTTATGCCAGTGCTGCCAATTTTCGACACAAAACTATGTCACTGGCAGTCCCATTTCCGCATCTCTGCTCCTGATGAAATCAACAATTTTTAATTACCCACTCGGAACAAAATCCGGGTAAATGGATCTGCAACTGAGCTGAACACTTCATGGGTTAACATAACATTTACCTAAATAAAAGAGTATACCTAGAGCGGGGATTATTTACACACATAAAGTAAATCTAGAGAAGGAATATTTAAAAACAAAAACGGAAAATTAGTTAGAAAATTTTTGCAAAAAAAAAAAAACACTAAAGGAGATTAGCGTGGGGTGGGTGTATGTGTACCAATAATGTTGTGACAAATAATTTGCATATATGCATATGGTTTTTTATATGATTTTTGTAGATTTTTTTATAGGTATAAAACAAATATACATAAATGCATATACAAGTCGACAGGACATTTTACGCATGGGTTTTCTGACATTTCCGATTCACAATCCAATTAAATCACAAAAAACTAATGAAAAAAAAATACAATAAAAATACTGAAAATGATAATCGTAAGTCGTACCTCAATGTTCAGTAAATGGGTAATCAAAATATAATATATACATACATACATACTAACTAAGGTGACAGCAGAAAATTCCATATACAAATGTGTAACCATTTTCCTCCATTTTAAAGACAAGGAAAGGTTAATCGAAAAGCTCGCGCCAAAAATTTCAGGTTGTTGTAACGAAAACTCAAAGCAAACATAGTCAAAATAAATACGATTAAGCTTCAAGAAAAGTTTACAGTATAAACAATATACAGTTATACAGTTTACACTGGGCTTCATGGCAGCAAAATCAAAATACTACAAAATACAAACAACAAAAAATCAACATTCTCGTAAAATCAAAATATACATACATCGTAAATATGGAATATGGACAAAAAAAAAATACAATTACTATATACATAAATACATATGCAGCATAAATGTTGAACGAAAAATGGTTATTCTCAAAATGAAAATGAAAATCGAAAAAAATATGTTATGCAAAAATAAAGGCAAACTAAATAGAGATAAGCGGCGACCGCAGCAGAACCTAAAACAAATATCAAAAATAAAATTTAATCGGTAATCCATGTGAGCGCAGACAACACACAGGAATCCACTAAGCAAACAAACCAAAAATCAACAAACTAACTAAAACTGAAAACTTGAAAATCAAATGCGTGAAATCTAACTAAATCGTGCACACAACCACACTCACACACATAACTAACTAACTCTAAACTAAAACGAACGACTAAAGCAATTCAAATGCAATTAAATCAAATGGAATATGGATATATAGGCAAATAAACCAAATATATATTTAACGAAAAACACTCAAATAAGTATGCTATATTGACGGACAAGAACGGAAACTGTTAAACTAATCGAGTTTATGCACCGATTTCCTGGCCCAAACCCCTTTTAAATTCTCGCATAGCCTTTGATCCTTTCTCCCTCCGACTAGGACCCCCTCCCCTCAATTAGTTATGCATTTAAATTTGTTTAGTAGTTGCTAAGCAGGTAAGTGGTATACTTATTTGAAATTAGGCAAACGAATGCAGCTTGTTGTTGGAGCTAAGTACTTGAATTGAATTGAATTATTCATAAAACAATTTAACGGGTGATATTCGGTTATCTTAATTAATTATCTTAAAGATATATTGAAAATTATTTAAAATAAAATTAAAGTAATAATAATAGCAAACAACTATACTATTCAGTTAGAGATAGAATATACATATGTGTATGTAAATCGGAGACGAAGCTACCTTAGGCATGTTAAGTTTGGAGGATTTTTTTGTTTTTCCGCCTATTCGATGTGTATCTGTTGTCTCTGTTACAAACACTTGATATTATTAGTTGGCATCGCTTGATAAAAAAAAATAAGATATTAAAAAAACAACTAATAACCAAAACAAAACCAACAACTTAGCAACAAGTTTTCCTTTCAATTTGAACGTTTTGCATTTTCTCAAAGATTTATGAACAAAAAATAATGGTAAAGAATGCAACTTAGAGAGTGCTCGAGAGATCTATTGCCAAATCTTGTACTTCCAAACGAAAGTACATTATAATCGATCTATATATATATATATTTATATATAACTATATATGTCTTATGGTTACACACACGTGCCCCACAAAGATCAACCATCCTGCCACCAGACACTCACTTTTTATCCTTCCACCCAACCAGAATTTATTCGGCATTTATTCACACATACATAGAAATGCAATTATTTTTCCAGAAATTTCATTTACTCTCTTTCTGTACAACTTTTCAACAAACAAAAACAAAAATGTATAAAATTTAAATAAATTGAATTTTGTGAAACTCTCATCGACGCACAACTTTACCCATCGTTTTGAATTACGCTCTTTGACTTTTGCATCTGGAAAACTAATTTCAAAATTAGAGAGTGGGTTAACCGAAACGCGAAACAATTTTAATTTCACCATCGAGGCCACTGCATTTTTCAAAATTCAAATATATAAATCCCACGCCACCCATATCCCATGTACATTTACGAGAATATTTCGTTTTTTTAGTTTGTTTTTCGAATTGGATCCCTTTGCAATCAAAGACACAAGCAAATTAAGCATCAGAGGCAGAACGGAAAATGTTGGCATAAAATGCAAAACTCTCAATTGAAAATTCGGAAACTTGAATAGATTGTTAAACCGTTAAAAAAAAGATAACAAAAAGATAAACTATAAGAATCGAATGAGTTGAAAACCAAGCGATGTCAACATTTTAGCCAACACAACCACCCCGACCCCACTCACCAGTATTAGTTGTTGAATTAGATTAGTTAATCACTCCTACTACCCAATCAAACGAAAGTTCCCCAAATGTATCGTATAGCTAACCCGCCTGAAGTAGTGCTCATTTAACATTAAACAATAATTAGTTTTGCTTATATTTTTTATCCGAATAAAGCGTCTATATTGCCAGAAATAAATCAAGAATTGAGCAATCTGGACGCTTTCGATTGCATGCTTTTTAATCTAAACCTAAATTGGCCGCAAATTACTAATTTAGAAATCTGTTCGACACTACTTTTGTATATAACCAACTGGATAGAGGACCCATTTCCCGCACTCGCTCTCTATCTCGCTTTCTAAACTATCTTTTATCTGAATCTATATTTTATTATATGAAAACCAAACAAAGAAGAAAAAAAAAATACCAAACTATTTACAAATTAAGTTCTGCAAAACCAAAGCCAAAAAAAAAAGAAAATATTTCATATTTTTTCATATATGGTTTCCATTGTATCTTTTCTTTTCTTTCATTTATTGTAGGGTCCCCGGTGTGGAAACCACGAGACATGATAAATTTAGGCACAGATCCACAGTCAACAACCCGCAAAGACGATGTGAAAAATTAAATCAGAAAAAGCAAAACAAAACATTTAGTATCAAGCTAAGCAAGCATAAGAACTCTTAACCCAGCAACTTCAATACCTTTGTTCAATTTTCTCAATTTTAACTAATCAAGTGTAAGGCAACAGCATCTGCAAAAAAAGCAAAAAGCTAAAACCAATACCAATACCAAAAGCAACAGCAACTGTTTAAAGTTCAAAGCAAAGCGAAGCGAATCCAAAGCATTTTTCAAGCTCAACTCGACGATACGACGATGCATTTTTGAATCATCATCGGATCAGGCCATCATCGGTGAATGGATGGGATTGGCTTTTGAAGAATGCTTGGCTTCGGTTTGTTTCCTCTCTTTTAAAAAGGATACAACATCGAAGAGTTTTTTTTTGTCGTACTTACGTTTACATTTTTAACAAGAAACAAAGTGAATCGCATAAAAAGATAATAGATATCTTTTTAAAAACAAAATAAAACGAAACAAAAATATTTAAAATAAAATAAAAAAACCCAAAAGAGAAGACTTTGATTTATATTGATTGTATTTAAAGTGCAAAACGTATAACAAAAGCATAATTAAAGCGAAGGATTTTGAGCAGATTTAATATGAACTAAGGAAAAAGATTAAACAAGATTAAGAAATACGAGAACAAATTCAAATGCATTTGTCGCTGAAAAGACTTGAAAGTAAATTTCGATTTAAATACATACATTTATTGAGACGTAGACGATGGCGAATCTGTCATAGAATCGAGAAGGGAAACCCGTAAACAAATTGAAAACATTGTATCTAGGCTTAGAGAATTTAAATTAAAAAATAAAAAAAAATAATAATAAAAAAGAAGAAAACTAAAACAACAAAGAAAGCAAAGAAAGTTGCAAAAAGTAATAATGTCAAATGCAAAACAAGAGAAAACCACGAAAAAATAAAGGTTACATAAAATCGTTAGAAAATTAAGTCAAACACACACTGACAAACACTGAAGAAAGCCACACTGAAGAAAACACACTCGTAATCGTAATTAAACACAGAATTAAAATGAAAGCAGCAATGAAAATGTTTAGTTTGTAGGAAGTACACTGAAAACAATGCGTACGATACCATACAAAAACCACATACACAAAATAGCAAACATTTAGTCAAAATGTTAAATGGTAAACAAAACAAACAGACAAACTCAAAAAAAAGGAAAATGCTAAAAATTCCAAACAATTCAATTGGGCTGAGGCCTTTAAGCAAAATCCAATCAGTAAGTCAGAGAAACACTAAAAACTAATTCAAAATCACGTTAAAGGGGAAAAACACACACTCACAAAAAGTAAATTAAAAACAAAAATTATAAAAAGAAGAAAATATTTAAGCAATCACGCAGATCCAAGGCAAACGACAAAAACCCCTCTAGAAGAATTGCAATAATAATTAAGAACTTCACTCCAAACACTTAAACAAAAACAAAAAAGAAAGTCAAACCACAAAAAAAATGAATTATAGAAAGCCCCAATATCCCGACCCACGTCCCATAGACAAAGGCACACTTCTTGAGAACTCAATTACAAATGCGTTGGATTTATCTCAATCTCAGTCAATACACTATGGTTTTCATCTTTTGTGAACGAATTTTTAGCAAATGAAAATACAAATAACTAAAATTTGTAGTCAAACCACACTATAAAAATTCTACCGTATGGGAAATAATAATTAATTGGTTGTGAATGCAGCTTGTATGTGTTAATTCGATTCAGGAACAAAGAACTCCCCCAATTGCTGAACATTTATTTTATTTCAATGACGAGTGCTAGGAGTGTTTTTTTTTACATATTTTGTCAGTGCACTTACAGACATTATTCGCGCCCATTCATAATTCATAATTAATTCCCGAAATTCCATTGAACCATATAGCAACAAATCGAAACATAATCAAAAACATTTTTTAGGTTTCCAATCAAATTGAATTAAATATACAAAATGAAAACCTTAATTAAACAAAACGAAATTTAACTAATAGGAAGATTAACAATTGAAACTACAGACCATAGTAAGATAAAAGATAAAAATAAAAAAGTGCAGTAAATAGAAATTATAAATGTATACAACTGTCTAATGATAGATTTTCGTCCTCGGATGAACGCTAATCAAACACAGGACGAACCAGGAGAAATTTACCAAATACCAAATCACAACATTTTAACATAATTTTTACAGTTTGTATAAGTTTGACAGAAGTAAAATAATTCATAATAATTAATAAAATGAAACAAAAAAAAAAGGGGGAAAAAAATAACAGAAACTCACCCAGAGACGAAACAGTCTGTTGGAAGACTTTAGCAAAATGAAATAGTTAAATTAAAAAAATCATTTAAAGGCGAATGAACAACAAACGAAGGACATTCGAAGCGGCGTGAAACTTTTTGTACGCATTTGACTATTTTTAATGCATTTTTATTAAATATATTTATATATATACATAGTCACTATTGTACGAATGTTTGAGAGCCAAACAAAGTGTAATTACTCAATTAAGTTCACGTGCACACTGATTGCACTGAAATCTCTTTTAACAAATTGTTATCGTATGTATTTAATTTGTTTGAGAATAATTGTTAGTTATCTCTTATCACACTTTCCTTTTGGCAAAAGCAGGCAAGACAGGAGATTAGGCAAGGGTAACGATTGCATATTAAATCCCATTTACAAGTCAGCGATTTCATAATAAAACAAATTCAATAACAAACCAGCAGCAGCACTGGAAGCGCAGTCTTGTTATTAAAAATAAAAATCAGTAAAAATAAAATCATTAAAAATCAATTTTTAATGTAAAACATAATTAGCAGCTGCATCAAGGACACAAAAAAAAAATCATGCAATGGATGTTAATACTTTTTGAAAACAAAACAAAAATAAATGAAAATGCAACAAATACACAATGATTATACATACATACATACATTTGCGAAGGCAACTTAACACACAACGTAAGGATAGTGAAAATGTGTGACAAACGATTAAATTACGACATCCTTTCGAAGTGAAAACAAAACCAAAAATAAATTGTGAAATTTAAAAACCATTTGTTGTCTTTTTATTCATATACTTGGGCAAATTATAAATACAAAACTTCATACTGATTTCTTTATAATTTTTAACTTTATGAACATTTTTTATAGTTTTCACAGTATTCTTAATTTGTCGTCTGGTACATATATTCGTATTTTTCCTCAAGTGTGAGCAAATCAGACTTTCCAACTACATCGTAAAATTCATGTTTCGTCATATTTTTATATTTTATGTTACTTAAAAGCATATTAATATAGTTCTTGTCTTCCGTTTTCAAATCATGAATTTTAATATATGTTTGGATTAATTGAAACCATTTAACCTCTGATAAACAGTATTTTAACTCAGTTATATACTTATGGAAGGCATTACGCGTTAGCGACATGACTGCAGAGCTATCCAGGGAATCCTTAAAACAGCGAGCTATGGCCTGCAAACAAGGTTAAAATACAATTAATTTTGATATAAATAAATACAAAGTTTATTAAAAAAGCACTTACATAAACGATTTTTTTTAGATCCTCGTTTGAGTTGTGCAAATTTTCAAATAGCACGATGAGATCCTCAAACCCAACACTGTCGGCACGACTTAAGAGTTCGCTTGTAGCATTGGTTGCCACCGATGGCACCAGCAACCTGGTAGCGCATTCTCTCAGTTCCATTAGACTTCTAATAGTGAGCTTCTTTAACTTATTTGTGTCGTGGGTGTATACTTGCTCTAAAAATACAGCAAACGTTTCCGGGTTAACGTCGCCCAAAATATATTCTCCAGAATTGGACTCCTTAAAATCGCTTAGAAACATGCGTTCAAAGAATTCCGACGCAGAAGCTAGAACGACTTTGTGACAGTCAAAGTCCTGGCCATCAACCATGATGCGGCAGTCCGAGAACTGCTTGTTCTCAAGAAGCGCATATAATTTTTGAAGGCTAGAAAATAATATTTTACCGAAAAGTTTCTTTACCAGTCTAATAACAACTTTTACTTACCAGTTGTTCATTTTAACGGGTGCAATCGACTTTTTTGGAATGATATTTCAGTACGATGTTGAATATATGAATGAATGCTTCTTTACAAGTTTAAGCTTTACAAGTTTGTCTAGGATTCCCCTTTTTATTTCTCTTCCCTCTGTTATCGTTCTGACTGAACAGCGTGACTACACCGATAACGATAAAAAATACTTTTTTAAGCAACAAATAAATTTAAAAAAATACCACCAAAGTTTATAGTCCTTAAGCGTATAATTCATAATATCGACTATTTCGGTAAAATACTCCTACCTTTTTATCGACAATGCTAAATTAAAAGATTTTATTCTATAAACTAATTTTGTCGCTGCCATTTCGAAGAAAAAAGCTTTTACAGTATAATTATTTCTTTAATTTACATACGATGTTTACGCGAATAACACATATCGATGTTTGATTTTTACATTTGCGTTACCCATTAAACATTTCCACGCCGATTTAATTTGATAAGCAGTTGGTCTCTCTTCATTCAGTTAAAAAATTCAAAAAGTACAACAAAATCAGAAACATTTCATTTTCCTCAGACCCAAAAAGAGACAACGTTGTTTCGTATTAATAACTTTATTGTTAGACCGAATCAAATTGGTACTAAAACGTACACTATTTAGTTTGCTGATAAAGACTATCGACATAGCAGTATTTTGTGTGGGGTGGGGGAAAAATTTAATTGGAATGCCAGAGATGCGATCTCTACAAAAGCCGTGAGCTTCATTCAACTTATAATACATTTTTATTTGCAGCTTAGTGATATATAAATATCAGGAGATTTAAAATACCGATTGCATAATCGGGCGGTAAGGTAAATCTGGAATCGGGGTACTAGGTGTAATAGTAAATAGTCGATCAGTCTCCAACAGAACGGGGCGCCGTCTGTTGCTTGTGTGTTCTCTTCCCTATCTTATCTAGCGTCTGTATTCTCTACATCTGTATCTACAGCAGTTCGATCTCTTGGCACACTGTCTCCGTGCTCCATCGGTTCTGGATAATGGTTAAGTTTCTTAAAGTACGTAAAGTAACTAAACTTAGGCCTTAACTACGAGGCTAACATATGGATGATTAGTTGGGCAGCAACTCCGCCAGTTGATTCCGCAGGCTGGGCGGCAGTGTGTCTGGGAACTTGATGTCAAAGGCTACGATCAGATCGCCGCGACGCGATGGTTCTTTGGGGAAGGGCAGGCCGCGCCCGCTGATGCGCCGCGTTGTGGTGGGCTTGATTATCTCGTTCGAGGTGTTTACAGAAATCCTATCGCCCTGCAGAGTGGGCACATTGACAGGTGCACCGCAGAGTGCCTGTTTTAGGCTGACCTGAGCCGTATAGCGCAAATCGCTGCCCTCGCGCTTAAACTGTGGGTGTGGCTTGTCGCGGATTATGAAGATTATGTCTGCGGGAATCTTTCCCGGTGCCTGATCGCCTTCCTTGGGGAATGTGATCTTTGTGCCGGCCTTCCAGCCTGGTTTTACTGTGATGCTTAAAACTTTTTCTTCCTTTTGGGATCCAGTGTTGGTAGAGGCCATGCGCGATATCTTCATTTTCTTGGTACAGCCCCTGTCTACCTCCTCCAGAGTGACATACAGGTCATGCTCGATAGGCGGATCCTGTGTTTGCTGGCGCTTACGGCTAGGGGCCTGCGCATTGAACGACTGTGATCGGAAAGCTCCTGCCATAGGATTGCCACCAAAACCTCCGCCAAACATATCGTCGCCTCCAATATTCATAAAGATCTCATTGGTGGCACCGCCACCTCCACCTCCTGCTCCGAACATGTTGTCGCCGCCGCCAAAGAACACACCAAAGGGATCCGAAGACCCGAAGAACTGGGCGAATGTTGCTCGCGGGTCGCCGTGGAACTGGAAAGGAAAGGTTAATCGAAAAGCTCGCGACAAAAATTTCAGGTTGTTGTAACGAAAACTCAAAGCAAACATAGTCAAAATAAATACGATTAAGCTTCAAGAAAAGTTTACAGTATAAACAATATACAGTTATACAGTTTACACTGGGCTTCATGGCAGCAAAATCAAAATACTACAAAATACAAACAACAAAACAAAATCAACATTCTCGTAAAATCAAAATATACATACATCGTAAATATGGAATATGGACAAAAAAAAAATACAATTACTATATACATAAATACATATGCAGCATAAATGTTGAACAAAAAATGGTTATTCTCAAAATGAAAATGAAAAACGAAAAAAATATGTTATGCGAAAATAAAGGCAAACTAAATAGAGATAAGCGGCGACCGCAGCAGAACCTAAAACAAATATCAAAAATAAAATTTAATCGGTAATCCATGTGAGCGCAGACAACACACAGGAATCCACTAAGCAAACAAACCAAAAATCAACAAACTAACTAAAACTGAAAACTTGAAAATCAAATGCGTGAAATCTAACTAAATCGTGCACACAACCACACTCACACACATAACTAACTAACTCTAAACTAAAACGAACGACTAAAGCAATTCAAATGCAATTAAATCAAATGGAATATGGATATATAGGCAAATAAACCAAATATATATTTAACGAAAAACACTCAAATAAGTATGCTATATTGACGGACAAGAACGGAAACTGTTAAACTAATCGAGTTTATGCACCGATTTCCTGGCCCAAACCCCTTTTAAATTCTCGCATAGCCTTTGATCCTTTCTCCCTCCGACTAGGACCCCCTCCCCTCAATTAGTTATGCATTTAAATTTGTTTAGTAGTTGCTAAGCAGGTAAGTGGTATACTTATTTGAAATTAGGCAAACGAATGCAGCTTGTTGTTGGAGCTAAGTACTTGAATTGAATTGAATTATTCATAAAACAATTTAACGGGTGATATTCGATTATCTTAATTAATTATCTTAAAGATATATTGAAAATTATTTAAAATAAAATTAAAGTAATAATAATAGCAAACAACTATACTATTCAGTTAGAGATAGAATATACATATGTGTATGTAAATCGGAGACGAAGCTACCTTAGGCATGTTAAGTTTGGAGGATTTTTTTGTTTTTCCGCCTATTCGATGTGTATCTGTTGTCTCTGTTACAAACACTTGATATTATTAGTTGGCATCGCTTGATAAAAAAAAAATAAGATATTAAAAAAACAACTAATAACCAAAACAAAACCAACAACTTAGCAACAAGTTTTCCTTTCAATTTGAACGTTTTGCATTTTCTCAAAGATTTATGAACAAAAAATAATGGTAAAGAATGCAACTTAGAGAGTGCTCGAGAGATCTATTGCCAAATCTTGTACTTCCAAACGAAAGTACATTATAATCGATCTATATATATATATATTTATATATAACTATATATGTCTTATGGTTACACACACGTGCCCCACAAAGATCAACCATCCTGCCACCAGACACTCACTTTTTATCCTTCCACCCAACCAGAATTTATTCGGCATTTATTCACACATACATAGAAATGCAATTATTTTTCCAGAAATTTCATTTACTCTCTTTCTGTACAACTTTTCAACAAACAAAAACAAAAATGTATAAAATTTAAATAAATTGAATTTTGTGAAACTCTCATCGACGCACAACTTTACCCATCGTTTTGAATTACGCTCTTTGACTTTTGCATCTGGAAAACTAATTTCAAAATTAGAGAGTGGGTTAACCGAAATGCGAGACAATTTTGATTTCACCATCGAGGCCATTGCATTTTTCAAAATTCAAATATATAAATCCCACGCCACCCATATCCCATGTACATTTACGAGAATATTTCGTTTTTTTAGTTTGTTTTTCGAATTGGATCCCTTTGCAATCAAAGACACAAGCATATTAAGCATCAGAGGCAGAACGGAAAATGTTGGCATAAAATGCAAAACTCTCAATTGAAAATTCGGAAACTTGAATAGTTTTTTAAAGAGTAAAAAAAAAAAGAGAACAAAAAGATAAACTATAAGAATCGAATGAGTTAAAAACCAAGCGATGTCAACATTTTAGCCAACACAACCACCCCGACCCCACTCACCAGTATTAGTTGTTGAATTAGATTAGTTAATCACTCCTACTACCCAATCAAACGAAAGTTCCCCAAATGTATCGTATAGCTAACCCGCCTGAAGTAGTGCTCATTTAACATTAAACAATAATTAGTTTTGCTTATATTTTTTATCTGAATAAAGCGTCTATATTGCCAGAAATAAATCTAGAAATGAGGAATCTGGACGCTTTCGATTGCATGCTTTTTAATCTAAACCTAAATTGGCCGCAAATTACTAATTTAGAAATCTGTTCGACACTACTTTGTATATAACCAACTGGATAGAGGACCCATTTCCCGCACTCGCTCTCTATCTCGCTTTCTAAACTATCTTTTATCTGAATCTATATTTTATTATATGAAAACCAAACAAAAAAGAAAAAAAATACCAAACTATTTACAAATTAAGTTCTGCAAAACCAAAGCCAAAAAAAAGAAAATATTTCATATTTTTTCATATATGGTTTCCATTGTATCTTTTCTTTTCTTTCATTTATTGTAGGGTCCCCGGTGTGGAAACCACGAGACATGATAAATTTAGGCACAGATCCACAGTCAACAACCCGCAAAGACGATGTGAAAAATTAAATCAGAAAAAGCAAAACAAAACATTTAGTATCAAGCTAAGCAAGCATAAGAACTCTTAACCCAGCAACTTCAATACCTTTGTTCAATTTTCTCAATTTTAACTAATCAAGTGTAAGGCAACAGCATCTGCAAAAAAAGCAAAAAGCTAAAACCAATACCAATACCAAAAGCAACAGCAACTGTTTAAAGTTCAAAGCAAAGCGAAGCGAATCCAAAGCATTTTTCAAGCTCAACTCGACGATACGACGATGCATTTTTGAATCATCATCGGATCAGGCCATCATCGGTGAATGGATGGGATTGGCTTTTGAAGAATGCTTGGCTTCGGTTTGTTTCCTCTCTTTTAAAAAGGATACAACATCGAAGAGTTTTTTTTTGTCGTACTTACGTTTACATTTTTAACAAGAAACAAAGTGAATCGCATAAAAAGATAATAGATATCTTTTTTAAAAACAAAATAAAACGAAACAAAAATATTTAAAATAAAATAAAAAAACCCAAAAGAGAAGACTTTGATTTATATTGATTGTATTTAAAGTGCAAAACGTATAACAAAAGCATAATTAAAGCGAAGGATTTTGAGCAGATTTAATATGAACTAAGGAAAAAGATTAAACAAGATTAAGAAATACGAGAACAAATTCAAATGCATTTGTCGCTGAAAAGACTTGAAAGTAAATTTCGATTTAAATACATACATTTATTGAGACGTAGACGATGGCGAATCTGTCATAGAATCGAGAAGGGAAACCCGTAAACAAATTGAAAACATTGTATCTAGGCTTAGAGAATTTAAATTAAAAAATAAAAAAAAATAATAATAAAAAAGAAGAAAACTAAAACAACAAAGAAAGCAAAGAAAGTTGCAAAAAGTAATAATGTCAAATGCAAAACAAGAGAAAACCACGAAAAAATAAAGGTTACATAAAATCGTTAGAAAATTAAGTCAAACACACACTGACAAACACTGAAGAAAGCCACACTGAAGAAAACACACTCGTAATCGTAGTTAAACACAGAATTAAAATGAAAGCAGCAATGAAAATGTTTAGTTTGTAGGAAGTACACTGAAAACAATGCGTACGATACCATACAAAAACCACATACACAAAATAGCAAAAATTTAGTCAAAATGTTAAATGGTAAACAAAACAAACAGACAAACTCAAAAAAAAAAGGAAATGCTAAAAATTCCAAACAATTCAATTGGGCTGAGGCCTTTAAGCAAAATCCAATCAGTAAGTCAGAGAAACACTAAAAACTAATTCAAAATCACGTTAAAGGGGAAAAACACACACTCACAAAAAGTAAATTAAAACAAAAATTATAAAAAGAAGAAAATATTTAAGCAATCACGCAGATCCAAGGCAAACGACAAAAACCCCTCTAGAAGAATTGCAATAATAATTAAGAACTTCACTCCAAACACTTGAACAAAAACAAAAAAGAAAGCCAAACCACAAAAAAAATGAATTATAGAAAGCCCCAATATCCCGACCCACGTCCCATAGACAAAGGCACACTTCTTGAGAACTCAATTACAAATGCGTTGGATTTATCTCAATCTCAGTCAATACACTATGGTTTTCATCTTTTGTAGAACGAATTTTTAGCAAATGAAAAAACTAAGAACTAAAATTTGTAGTCAAAACACACTATAAAAATTCGACCGTATGGGAAATAATAATTAATTGGTTGTGAATGCAGCTTGTATGTGTTAATTCGATTCAGGAACAAAGAACTCCCCCAATTGCTGAACATTTATTTTATTTCAATGACGAGTGCTAGGAGTGTTTTTTTTTATATATTTTGTCAGTGCACTTACAGACACTATTCGCGCCCATTCATAATTCATAATTAATTCCCGAAATTCCATTGAACCATATAGCAACAAATCGAAACATAATCAAAAACATTTTTTAGGTTTCCAATCAAATTGAATTAAATATACAAAATGAAAACCTTAATTAAACAAAACGAAATTTAACTAATAGGAAGATTAACAATTGAAACTACAGACCATAGTAAGATAAAAGATAAAAATAAAAAAGTGCAGTAAATAGAAATTATAAATGTATACAACTGTCTAATGATAGATTTTCGTCCTCGGATGAACGCTAATCAAACACAGGACGAACCAGGAGAAATTTACCAAATACCAAATCACAACATTTTAACATAATTTTTACAGTTTGTATAAGTTTGACAGAAGTAAAATAATTCATAATAATTAATAAAATGAAACAAATAAGGGGGAAAAAATAACAGAAACTCACCCAGAGACGAAACAGTCTGTTGGAAGACTTTAGCAAAATGAAATAGTTAAATTAAAAAAATCATTTAAAGGCGAATGAACAACAAACGAAGGACATTCGAAGCGGCGTGAAACTTTTTGTACGCATTTGACTATTTTTAATGCATTTTTATTAAATATATTTATATATATACATAGTCACTATTGTACGAATGTTTGAGAGCCAAACAAAGTGTAATTACTCAATTAAGTTCACGTGCACACTGATTGCACTGAAATCTCTTTTAACAAATTGTTATCGTATGTATTTAATTTGTTTGAGAATAATTGTTAGTTATCTCTTATCACACTTTCCTTTTGGCAAAAGCAGGCAAGACAGGAGATTAGGCAAGGGTAACGATTGCATATTAAATCCCATTTACAAGTCAGCGATTTCATAATAAAACAAATTCAATAACAAACCAGCAGCAGCACTGGAAGCGCAGTCTTGTTATTAAAAATAAAAATCAGTAAAAATAAAATCATTAAAAATCAATTTTTAATGTAAAACATAATTAGCAGCTGCATCAAGGACACAAAAAAAAAATCATGCAATGGATGTTAATACTTTTTGAAAACAAAACAAAAATAAATGAAAATGCAACAAATACACAATGATTATACATACATACATACATTTGCGAAGGCAACTTAACACACAACGTAAGGATAGTGAAAATGTGTGACAAACGATTAAATTACGACATCCTTTCGAAGTGAAAACAAAACCAAAAATAAATTGTGAAATTTAAAAACCATTTGTTGTCTTTTTATTCATATACTTGGGCAAATTATAAATTCAAAACTTCATACTGATTTCTTTATAATTTTTAACTTTATGAACATTTTTTATAGTTTTTACAGTATTCTTAATTTGTCGTCTTGTAAATATATTCGTATTTTTCCTCAAGTGTGAGCAAATCAGACTTTCCAACTACATCGTAAAATTCATGTTTCGTCATATTTTTATATTTTATGTTACTTAAAAGCATATTAATATAGTTCTTGTCTTCCGTTTTCAAATCATGAATTTTAATATATGTTTGGATTAATTGAAACCATTTAACCTCTGATAAACAGTATTTTACTCAGTAACTCAGTTATATACTTATGGAAGGCATTACGCGTTGGCGACATGACTGCAGAGCTATCCAGGGAATCCTTAAAACAGCGAGCTAGAGCCTGCAAACAAGGTTAAAATACAATTAATTTTGATATAAATAAATACAAAGTTTATTAAAAAAGCACTTACATAAACGATTTTTTTTAGATCCTCGTTTGAGTTGTGCAAATTTTCAAATAGCACGATGAGATCCTCAAACCCAACACTGTCGGCACGACTTAAGAGTTCGCTTGTAGCATTGGTTGCCACCGATGGCACCAGCAACCTGGTAGCGCATTCTCTCAGTTCCATTAGACTTCTAATAGTGAGCTTCTTTAACTTATTTGTGTCGTGGGTGTATACTTGCTCTAAAAATACAGCAAACGTTTCCGGGTTAACGTCGCCCAAAATATATTCTCCAGAATTGGACTCCTTAAAATCGCTTAGAAACATGCGTTCAAAGAATTCCGACGCAGAAGCTAGAACGACTTTGTGACAGTCAAAGCCCTGGCCATCAACCATGATGCGGCAGTCCGAGAACTGCTTGTTCTCAAGAAGCGCATATAATTTTTGAAGGCTAGAAAATAATATTTTACCGAAAAGTTTCTTTACCAGTCTAATAACAACTTTTACTTACCAGTTGTTCATTTTAACGGGTGCAATCGACTTTTTTGGAATGATATTTCAGTACGATGTTGAATATATGAATGAATGCTTCTTTAAAAGTTTAAGCTTTACAAGTTTGTCTAGGATTCCCCTTTTTATTTCTCTTCCCTCTGTTATCGTTCTGACTGAACAGCGTGACTACACCGATAACGATAAAAAATACTTTTTTAAGCAACAAATAAATTTAAAAAAATACCACCAAAGTTTATAGTCCTTAAGCGTATAATTCATAATATCGACTATTTCGGTAAAATAATTCTACCTTTTTATCGACAATGCTAAATTTAAAGATTTTATTCTATAAACTAATTTTGTCGCTGCCATTTCGAAGAAAAAAGCTTTTACAGTATAATTATTTCTTTAATTTACATACGATGTTTACGCGAATAACACATATCGATGTTTGATTTTTACATTTGCGTTACCCATTAAACATTTCCACGCCGATTTAATTTGATAAGCAGTTGGTCTCTCTTCATTCAGTTAAAAAATTCAAAAAGTACAACAAAATCAGAAACATTTCATTTTCCTCAGACCCAAAAAGAGACAACGTTGTTTCGTATTAATAACTTTATTGTTAGACCGAATCAAATTGGTACTAAAACGTACACTATTTAGTTTGCTGATAAAGACTATCGACATAGCAGTAGTTTGTGTGGGGTGGGGGAAAAATTTAATTGGAATGCCAGAGATGCGATCTCTACAAAAGCCGTGAGCTTCATTCAACTTATAATACATTTTTATTTGCAGCTTAGTGATATATAAATATCAGGAGATTTAAAATACCGATTGCATAATCGGGCGGTAAGGTAAATCTGGAATCGGGGAACTAGGTGTAATAGTAAATAGTCGATCAGTCTCCAACAGAACGGGGCGCCGTCTGTTGCTTGTGTGTTCTCTTCCCTATCTTATCTAGCGTCTGTATTCTCTACATCTGTATCTACAGCAGTTCGATCTCTTGGCACACTGTCTCCGTGCTCCATCTGTTCTGGATAATGGTTAAGTTTCTTAAAGTACGTAAAGTAACTAAACTTAGGCCTTAACTACGAGGCTAACATATGGATGATTAGTTGGGCAGCAACTCCGCCAGTTGATTCCGCAGGCTGGGCGGCAGTGTGTCTGGGAACTTGATGTCAAAGGCTACGATCAGATCGCCGCGACGCGATGGTTCTTTAGGAAAGGGCAGGCCGCGCCCGCTGATGCGCCGCGTTGTGGTGGGCTTGATTATCTCGTTCGAGGTGTTCACAGAAATCCTATCGCCCTGCAGAGTGGGCACATTGACAGGTGCACCGCAGAGTGCCTGTTTTAGGCTGACCTGGGCCGTATAGCGCAGATCGCTGCCCTCGCGCTTAAACTGTGGGTGTGGCTTGTCGCGGATTATGAAAATGATGTCTGCGGGAATCTTTCCCGGTGCCTGATCGCCTTCCTTGGGGAATGTGATCTTTGTGCCGGCCTTCCAGCCTGGTTTTACTGTGATGCTTAAAACTTTTTCTTCCTTTTGGGATCCAGTGTTGGTAGAGGCCATGCGCGATATCTTCATTTTCTTGGTACAGCCCCTGTCTACCTCCTCCAGAGTGACATACAGGTCATGCTCGATAGGCGGATCCTGTGTTTGCTGGCGCTTACGGCTAGGGGCCTGCGCATTGAACGACTGTGATCGGAAAGCTCCTGCCATAGGATTGCCACCGAAACCTCCGCCAAACATATCGTCGCCTCCAATATTCATAAAGATCTCATTGGTGGCACCGCCACCTCCACCGCCTGCTCCGAACATGTTGTCGCCGCCGCCAAAGAACACACCAAAGGGATCCGAAGACCCAAAGAACTGGGCGAATGTTGCTCGCGGGTCGCCGTGGAACTGGTAACTGTAACCGTCAGGCTGACTTCCACCGTCCGGGCCGGGCATGCCGCCCTTGAGACCCTCCTCGCCATACGAGTCGAAGATGTCCCGCTTTTTCTTGTCCGAAAGAACCTCATACGCTTCAGCGATCTCCTTAAACCGCTCCTCAGCCTGTGGACTCTTGTTCTTGTCCGGGTGGTATTTCAACGCCAGCTTGCGGTATGCCTTCTTGATTTCATCGTCGCTGGCCTTTTTGTCGATGCCAAGAATTTTGTAAAAGTCCTTACCCATCTCTGATATTTATTATAAGCTGTAAACGAAATAGAATAGAGCGTACGAAAAGATTAGAATGAGAACGTTTTGTTGTACTGTGACAGTTTTCTCGATGCCACGGTGGAAGCAATGGAATTTGCTAGAAGCACGAGTTGTGCAACGACAATGCCCAGTGACGTAGCCAGCGGATTTCGCCCCCTTGTCTCTGCTGTTCTCGAATGGAATTCGAGGGCGAATCGCTAGCCGAAGCTTCCAGCCCACACAAAGGCATCAAAGTCATGAAAATATGCTAATTCCAGATCCAAACTTACCTAAAATGTATGTATTTGTAGTTTTAAAACGGATGTCACCGCTGCTGCTACTTCTTTCGCTGCGTTTCTATGTTATTTTCTTTCTTTTTTTTTGCCAACTTATTTATCTGTACTTGATCGGGCAACGTTATTCAGATTAACAAAATTGTTTATAGCGTTTAATCAATTGTTTTTTCCACTCGTGTGGCTCGCCTTCTTTCACTTGCTTTCTTTCAATGAGAAATTTTTGAGTATGAGAAAAAAATATCGTCACGCACCCTTTATATAGATTTTCTCGGTCTCATCGAAGCTTCTCGTCGTTTCTCGTGATTTAGGGTATTATCGGGAATCCAATGCAACTATCGATAGTTTTTCAGTGAGACCTTATTTTGTGCACCGTGGGCGAAAACTAACAAATTGTGTAATTTTATCTTTTATAATTTAATTTCTTCTGTTGTTGTTCCCTGAAATATTCTGGGATTTCTCCCTGAAATTTATACCCGATTCTTGAGCGGGATAGCACGAATGAACAATTCTCTATAATTTCTCTGTAAAAGTTTTTTGTTTTTTAGATTTTTGTTTTATGTTTTGGAACGCTCTCATTGCTGGAAATTCAAATTGATAATTGTTTAAGTGAACTATTATTAATTATTATTTCGTAAAAGAAAACCAAAACATCACTAACGGCAGCCGAAGAAACGAACGCGATTTGGCAACTCATGGGTATTTTTGCATCGCGCCACAACGGTCACACGGACACACGAAACTCGCAAAACAGCCGCAGCCGAACAACAAAAAAAAAACATTTGTAAAAATGTCGCGTCAAGCATTTTAATTTAACCGGATTCGAACAGCACCGAGTGGACGTGGACGCCAGGAAGCTGAGCAGTCATCCGTACCGCCATCGCCGCATTTCCCAGCACCGCTCCGCCGCATATATCATCACAACCACACAGAAATATACCGCAGTATTTTCACACTTTCGAGGTAAGCTGAAGGAGGTACACACACACACACACACGCCCAGAGCCATATAGGAATATAGGTGGAGCGAAAACACAATCCCAACCCAAGTCGGTGGCCCTTTGGGTTGTGGGCTTGCGACATATGGACGCTCCTTTGCGTCCCCGAAGGACGGCCAGTGGGAGCGTATTTGGTGCCAAAACAGACACGCACACCAGCCCACTGAGAGGAGCAACCACACATACGTAGGCACATTTGCGTGTCACGTTCCGAAGCAAAGCCTTGACCGATCGTCCCGCCCACCGCCCTCCATATACGTACATATGTACATAGAGGTGTTGCGCAAACGAAAGTAGCTACCCCCTCCACTGCTCCACCGGCAGTGGTCAGTAGCTAGCTAGCACTTAGCCTTAGTCATGGCGCTTGGGGAAAGGATGTCTCAATGCGGCAACTACTGCTGCATTATAAAAATAGTCATTCATTTGTGCAAACAGACTGGCGGACGGACAGAGCGAGCGAGCACCAATAATAGCACTTTCGCTAAATGTTCTCAGCTGCATCGCCTATATTCATTGAGTAATCCCCCTGGGTCTGAGGCTCGGCGGTGTCTTGCAGTTTCCAAGTGCTCGCCCTCCTCTCTTATGGCCACCGATAGTGGTTATCAGTTTTAGTTCGGTAGTGATACATCGTTACTGGGATATGACTGTTCCCAGCTGAAGAGCTGGAGGTATGCATCGGTATTCTGTTGAAAAATAATAAGACATGATTCCTCAAAGACGCAACCAACCAACCTCAACAAAACACAAGTATTTATATTTCATTATTTTGCATAAAAAAAGAATATTTAATTTGAAGTCATTGCATTTTTACTCAGATCTTCCCAGCGATTACTCTCCAATTCTCTCCTTAATATCTACATATATTTGAAAAATTAAAAATCCGACGCAATACTATAATTTTGACCGCCAGTGCATCTTCGGAATACGAATCGGTAACCGAATTTGAATCCGATTGGGCATTCCGATGCCGAGAATATGGATCTGAATCGGGCAGTATACGCGTGAACGATGTCGTGCGTTGACGGCGGATTCTTCTAGCCCCGGAACGAATAGATCTCGGCGCCAGCAGACACGGTAAAGCAGTCAAAATATAGACCGATGTATAGATAAACCTATAGTGGATATACATATACATACATACATATGTATACAATAGAGTCGACTCCAACTGAAGTTGGTCTAAGAATAGCGAAGCTATTTCGTAATGAAGATTGTGTGGGCGATGTGCATTATGTGACTTGTTGGATTATTGCGGAATCCTGCGATTTCCGGCAGCTGGCGCTCTAGCGGGATGGATAGTTTCGCAGGCCACACGATTTCACAGTACCGAAATAGTTTCAAAAATAGCACAAATCTATGTGAGACGATGAGCTCGAGATCTACATAGTACATATAACGAATGTCATCATTATGGCAGCAGCATAGATAACCACCAGCGGTATTGGTTTCTGTAATTCTTGTCAATATAGACCACCACAAACCTCGTGTAAATATTGGGAGGGGTGGCCAAGGAGCACATCTTCGAAACGGATTCGAAAACCTTCGCATTTACAAATAGCCCGATATACGCGTATTTCAAAATGCTCCCCAAACATGCTCCCGCCCCTGCCACAAGTCTCTTTGACTTTTTCACGTTATTTTGTTGTGTGTGGATGGGCTTTCTCTAGCCGTCGATGTGTAGTTGTCGCCGCCTGTTTTTATTTTTAGCAGCACGAGCTTCTTATTTTGATTTCTGCTGGCCGACATGTATTAGCATTTTTGGATCCTCATCTCCGACCGACCGTATGTTGGTGTTTGGTGTTGTCCGTCCATCCAACATGTGTTTGAACGCCAAACTGCAGTACATTCACATCAACCCAAGTATATGCAAGTCTTGTGGTTATTTTGGTGCATCGAATTGGAAAAACATTGCAAATATCGCAACCACAAAGTGAAAGAGACACTCAATTAGATGCCAAGCCAATTTAAATATTTCTTAAATTATTTTCAAGATGGGCATTTGCTGAAATATAATTTTAGATTCAATCGGCAAGCATTCCAATATCTATAATCCACCATTAATTAACCCAAGAAATTGTCATTCTTAATGTCCATCTGCTTTACCCAAATCTGTCAAGCTCTCCTCGTAGGCTTTATCGACATATATATAGTATATATTATATATATGTGGGCGGGACACGCCCCCTTCCACTTTCAATATGCGCACTGGCGCCAGATATTCGGTCTCTCGGTATAATCGCCATCACTTCCGTTACAATCCCACAAAGAAACCCAGCCCAGCCAAGAGGGAGTGACATTTGCACAGAAATTTATGCATCGAATGGCTGCGATGATGACTATGACGTTGGTCTGATGGTCCAAATAATACTCGGCATAGCCCCAGAGCATCCTCCGGAGCTGGACGGGTTGTTTACGAAATTCCGTAGCGCGTTAGTCACTGTGTCGATTTTTGGTGTTCTGTTCTCGTTTGGGGCCACCGGACGATGCGATGGGCAGTCGATGCTCGATTCTCAATTCTCGATTCGGTGTACGTGATTATATATAGCAACTGGTGCTGGCCCGTACAAATAAGGCGCGAAAAGCGGTCCGGAGCACGTCAATTGCGGGCAGTGTCTCTGGGTGGGGGGATGCGGGACTTTATTTGCGAATCAGGTCGAAAACAAGAGATTTTAGCAACATCGAATATTGCTGGACTGGATTTCGCTTCCTTATTTACTTGGAAAGACCCAAAACCAGCACCAACATCATGACCAGCAACTAGGCTGGGCTAGATACGTCAAAGGCATCGTGTCACCGTGTGCGGCTCCTTTATTTTATTCTAGAATCAAAAACTCAAAAAAAAAAAAAAAATTAAACCCAAATTTATGTGTTTAGCTCACCATCTTTCTGTCGCTTTACCCGCAGGACCTTCTCTAGCAGCGCAGCCAGGATATGACGGACAAGGAGAGCGAGCAGTGCACCGTCTCGGTCTTCGACCAGACACCCGGTTCCGAACAGAAGAAGATCAATGTGGTGGTGCGCTCCCAGTATACCGTGAAGCGTGTTATCGACCTCATTGCCACCCAGTTCCCATATGGAAAGTTTGAGCTGCTTCTCCAGCCCCACGACAACAAGGACCTGGTGGGTATAGTTATATATTTTACTTGAAACGAAGTACTAACTTACTCGCCCCATTAAAGGTCCATCTGAATGCCGTGGACTCACAATTACTATTCGATGTCGAGGGCTTTGAGCGTCAGTTGAAGAACCACTTGGTTCTCCTGCCCTCCGGCAGTTGGGACGGCGATGTGGCCAAACGGTTCGAGCTGCCCATGAAGAAGCACCAGGTGTTGGTCAGCCTGCGTCCGAAAGAACCCAAAAAAGACGGCGAGGCAAAGGCCAAGAGTCCAGTGTCTGGCGAGAAGAAGAAAGTTAAGAAGAAGGTGGTAGCTGGTTCGGGATCGTCGTCGCCGAGCAAAACAAAGGTAACCAGTGACGACCCCAAAGCCAGCAGTAGTTCAGAATCCAGCCCAGAGAAGAGTGCAAAGGCTAGTTCTAAGATCGGCACTCCGAAGACCTCGACGGTGGAGGTAGCCAAGGCTACACCTGAAGAGGTGCCTCAAGCCAGTCCCACAATAGCACCAGAAGCTAGTCCCAAGATCGCGACAAAGAAAAGTTTGAAGCTGTCACCGGACTCCCCGAGTCCAGTGAAGCCGTCGTCGCCGAGTCCAGTGAAGCCCTCGTCGCCCATTAAGGAGATCGAGTGCGAGCCCATTGACCAGCTGACCAATACCGGAATATCCGAGCAGCTGCAACAGCTGCTTCACAGCAGAAACCTTGCCTCGCCGGTGGACAATCCCCTTTCGGGCCTGTGCGTCTCAGATGTGGAGCAGTTATCCGACGATGACTTGGCCCTGGGCGCCTCGGCCAGCCCCACGATGATGGGGCCCAGCTACGATTTCGGAGGACCGACCAACGACATGGACGGGGAGGGAGCCATCGGTGGGGGAGATCAAACGACTAGTGGACCGGACGATGGCCAAGACCCAGTGCTGTCAAACTTTTATCGCCGCAAGTACGGTGGCGATGAGCTGCCTTCGTGGAAGCGGATAGACACCACGGCAGCGGACTTTGTGGCCTCCGCTACCACGGAAACAGAGACGGGATTGAGTAAAACCAATGGAGGTCCCCGGGGCTATGTGGGTCTAGTCAACCAGGCCATGACCTGCTATCTGAATAGCTTGCTGCAAGCCCTGTACATGACGCCCGAGTTCAGGAACGCTCTGTACCGCTGGGAGTTCGACAACGACAACGAAGCGAAAAACATACCCTACCAGTTGCAGAAGCTGTTCCTCAATCTGCAAACCTCCCCCAAGGCGGCGGTGGAGACCACCGACCTGACCCGCAGCTTCGGCTGGGATTCAACCGAAGCCTGGCAGCAGCACGACATTCAAGAGCTCTGCCGCGTGATGTTTGACGCACTGGAGCACAAGTTTAAGAACACCAAGCAATCGAATCTTATCTCGAACCTGTACGAGGGTAAGATGAACGACTACGTCAAGTGTCTGGAGTGCAATACGGAAAAGTCGCGGGAGGACACCTTTCTGGACATCCCGTTGCCGGTTCGACCCTTTGGCAGCAGCTCGGCGTACGGCAGCATCGAGGAGGCCCTGCGCGCCTTTGTCCAGCCCGAGACGCTGGACGGCAACAACCAGTATCTGTGCGAGAAGTGCAAGAAGAAGTGCGATGCTCACAAGGGATTGCACTTCAAATCCTTCCCCTACATCCTCACCTTGCACCTGAAGCGCTTCGACTTTGACTATCAGACCATGCACCGCATCAAGTTGAACGACAGGTGAGTGCCTGGGAGTTTCTGGGAAGAGTTGGAACTGAGTTATATATGGTATTCATGTTTCTTGTAGAGTGACCTTCCCACAGACGCTTAATCTGAACACCTTCATCAACCGGAGTGGCACTAGTGGCGACCAGAACGCTCAGATAAATGGAACCGTGGACGATTGCAGCACGGCGGATAGCGGCTCGGCCATGGAAGATGATAACCTGAGCAGTGGCGTTGTGACCACAGCCAGCTCCAGCCAGCACGAGAATGACTTGAACGACGAGGACGAAGGCATCGATATGAGCAGCAGCACCAGCAAGAGCACCAAGCAGGGATCCGGGCCGTATCTATACGAACTCTTTGCGATCATGATCCACTCGGGCAGTGCTTCCGGCGGTCACTACTACGCCTACATCAAGGACTTTGACAGCAACGAGTGGTTCTGCTTTAATGACCAGAATGTCTCCACCGTAAGTTGTCCTTCAACCCATTCCATTGAGAATCATCTAAAAAAAAGAAACCTATTGGGATTTGGTCCATACAGATAACACAGGAGGACATCCAGCGCTCCTTTGGTGGACCGAATGGCAGCTACTACTCCAGTGCCTACACCTCCAGCACCAATGCCTATATGCTGATGTACCGCCAAGTCGACTCCAAAAGGAACGAGCAGGCGGCAAAGGTGGCCGACTTTCCAGAGCACATCAAGAGTCTGCTGCCGAAGCTGCACTCCGAGGACGAGAGCCGGGGCACGCGCCTGGGCCGACACAACACCGAATCGGACTTGGCCCTACCTGACTTATACAAGCCTCGTGTCTACTTCTACAATCCCTCGCTGAAGAAGATGAAGATCACAAGGGTCTACGTTTCGCAGAGCTTCAACATTAACCAAGTGCTGAGCTCGGCTTACGACATGCTGAATGTGGAGGAGTTTGCGCCTCTGTCACGCTGTCGCTTGGTGGCGTACAACTCAACCATGGAGACGATCATCCAGTCTCTAGAGAACTGCTCCGATCCAGCCCTGACCGAGCTGCGAGCGTCGCAAAACTACAGCTTGGACTTCCTGCTGGAGTACAGGGCGGAGGACCAACAGTTCGAGACTTATTCCCCGGACGGAATCACGTGGTATGTGTTTGTGGTAGATCTTTCGACCATGGCGATGGACGGTCCCTTCCTGGTTTACTCAGCAGCGAGGGAACGCGAGCCCAACGACGTTCTCCGTCGCTCCATCGCCGTCCGTTTACACATTAGCGAGCAGCAGTTCCTGCTTGCCACGGTGCGGGGCGCGGTGCCGAAGGCATTTGTCGCCTATGACCCCCATCCGACGCCCGAGGCCCAGCTGCAGCTCCAGAACTTGGCCAACAACCAGTTCAAATCAATTACCTATTTCTACTTGAATGTGCCCAACACAGACGCCGCCACTCTAGAAATGCTGGGCGTTCCCAGCATGGAGACAATAGAGGTACGTAACGAGAGATCTATATATATATGCGGAAGATATGAAGTGACTTTGATTTCGATTTAGACTAAAAGTGGAGGGGATGTAGTGGACGCCGCCATGATGAACGGACACGAGGGCTCCGGCAGCAACGGCCTCAACGATAATGATTGGCGGCGTTTCAAACGGAATGTTCTCGAGCTATTTTCACAAACGGAGCCAAGTCCCAGTCACGGCCATGAGTCCACCTCAGAGGATAGCAGTCTCAGCGATGGTGATCGCACCCTGGTAGAAACGGAGAACATCGCACACCGCGGAGGCGGTGACAGCCAGGTCAGCTCCACCAGCCACTCGCCGCAGTTGTCCAGCCCGGAGGATGAGGCGGCATCACACGATGCCATGATGCGGGTACATGCCTACTGCAACGGCAACGGAAGCTATGCGGCTGCCGACGTTGTGGATCCTCTGTTGTTGCCTCCCAGCACCTCGTACTTCTTCCACGCCAGTAAAATAAAGTGCGTCGACGTGCTTGGCAGTAGTTCCAGTTCGGCCCTTCAGTCCGATGAGGAAGCCCAGCTGCGGAAACCCACACAGGCCTACAAGCTGCTGGTAGGCACTCACATGCGAATGGCTGCCTTCAAGCGACACATCGAACAGCTCATCCAGGTGCCCAGCGCATACTTTAAGCTGCAGCGCAAACACGAGAACAACATCCCCAACAATCAGAACAACTCCCTGGTTTTCCTCACCGAAGGCGAAACTCTAACTGTGGAGATCGGAAAGAACCTCCAGGCGGATGAGTACAAGGCCAAAATCCACTTCCTGCGACTGGGCGACTTGGACAACGAGACGTCGCGTCTGCCGTGTGTCTGCGATTGGGTGTACAATGCCAGCACCACCACCGAGCAGGCCAAGCAGGAGCTGGTGGCCAAGCTGCATCGCATGGACGCCAAGTACGCCACGCTCACCGTTGACAACTGCCGCATCTGGCTAAAGGGCGGACGCAGCCCCATTAAGATCCTTGCCAACGAGGAGACGCTCTACTGCGATATGCGCTCCACAGTCGCTGCAGAGGTGGGTTGATCTTACAGGATAGAGCATCACTGTTTCTAATTAATTTCGTTCCACGGTCATAGTTCATTGTGCAAGAATGCGAGAGCGGAGTAAACCCCCAGCCCAAGGACGACACAATGACCCTATTCGTGAGGCGATGGTGTCCGGCCAAGTTGGAGTTTGGAAAATTCCAGGAAATCACATTAGACCGTAAGAGCTACTTGTACGAAATTATAGAATTAGGTGTCTAAGATCCTTCCAATCTTCCTGTTGCAGAGGACACCGACATCCGATACTCATTATCCCAGATTAGCGACATCACCATGGACAAAATAAGCTATATGAAGGTAATTCCAAAGACCTCCTTGCCATCCAATATATATATATAATCCCTCGTATGTTTGGCCCCCAGGTGAACAGCAACTTCCCCTGCACAAGCATATCGGCGGTGAGCGTGAACGAGTCATCCAGCTGGTATGCAGTACCCTGCACCGTGGACAAGTACCCACTGAACACGACGCAGACGGGCAACATCTACTTGTACAAGTAAGTGTAGGGATTCCATGAGCTTAATCCTTGATACTAACATGATTTCGACCGCCAACTCGCAGAGATAAAAGCATACCCGTTAAGGATCTGACACTGGAGGAGCGACGGCAGTTGAACGCCAGGGAAAAGGCCAGACTGGACCGTGTCGGTTGCGTTTCGACGACGCGGTATTCACAGCGTCGGGAACGCGCCCTCAAAATTTACCTGGACTCGCCGGAGAAGTCGAGCACCGTGACCGCCTCGGCACCCATGGACGTGCATGTCGACAACTAGGACAACTAAAGCGGCCGCCAGCCAGCAGCCAGCAGCTACTAAAAAATACACCAAAAACCAAACGATAAACGATTGTATTCAATTAAATCCCAGATCCTCTCCCGCATCCTTGTCGGCTGCAACTGCTGGTCCTTGTTTTGCTATCATTATCCTGTAGGGTGTTGTGAGGGAAACTAAGGGCTCTGGAGGAGGTTCTTGGTGGCAGCACTGGCAAAGCACTAACCCATATAACGAAGTTATTCTTGCAACTTTCGTAACACAAGAGTTCAAAGATGAGACTGTAAAATTTAAATTAAAAACTAAAAACTAAAAAAACTAAAAAAAATGCAAGAAATCTAAATTACAAATTGTATAATGTGAATGTGAACATCAAAACTAAATTAAAAGTATAAAATAAACAAATCTTAAAGTGCATTTATTACAATCAAAAGCGTCTGAAATTGGAAAGATTGAAATTTCTAAAAAAAAAATTATCAATTGATGTTTTTTGTTTTTGTTTTTATAGAAAAATGTTAATTTTTATTTAATACCTACTACGCAGCGTTAATAACGTTTGTTTTGTTTCATATTTTTTTGAATTATATTTAAAGATCATTTTAGCGTTAAAATTGTTACAATTTGACGACAGTTCTGGCTTTGCTATTTTTTTCTGAAAAAATAAAAACTAAACCAGCAGCTTAATGGTACGGGGGAGTACGGGGAATAAAGAGGTAAAATTTCTGTTGCTGATTCATCAGAGGAGGATTTGATTTTTTAAGGGGGGTGGGGGAAAGAGAAATGGAACTGCGTTTCTTTCGCTGCTTAGCTTATGTGAACAATAGAATCCTCAAATTGTCACCATGTTCAGTTGTCAATAGATGGGGGTATTTGATAGTTTTTGGAATCTACATCGCAGCGAAATCCGATAGTAAAAACCAGTGGAGCGGCAGCAGTGGGCAGCGCAATTGTTCGAATCTGCATCTCTGCCAGGGTCTTGGCAGAGATTATGCCTTGGTCTCAACGGCCGGCGCCGATTCCACCTTTGTCGCCGCACCAGCGGCAGCCGCCTTCTTTCCCTTTCCTTTGCCCTTGACGGGTCCCAGGGGCTGCGTGACCAAAGTCTACAACAAAAACATTAAGGTTAATCCTAAATTAAGGAGAAGATATAAGATGAGATACCTTCAGTTCCTCCTGGGCAATGCTGTGCTCGCTGACAAAGTTATCGGCCTCGAATGGGATGCCGGTGACCAGGTTAACGCCATTGGGCATCAGCAAAACGGTGTGCTTGAACTGCGCCACGATTTCAGCTAGAAATGGAGGTAAAAAGTCGGTTATACTGCCCAAGATTCATTATAGAAGGAGTACTCCTTTGAGGTGATATTGTAGCAGTGGCATGTTCAGACAGAGGCCACAAAACGGCAACTGCTGAAGACGCCAAAGCCTGGGGTTTGGTCTGGCAAAATGTCTGGCCGCATTTAGCACCCAAAGGTGTACCAAATCCGGAATTAAGTTCTGCCATCAAATCATGCAAAGAGGTAAAGGCTATAAACCTACTTGGCTTCTCGTAGAGGACTTGGAAGGGTTCAATCATCTTGTGCGAGACGCATTCAACAACGCCCATACGAGCCTTGGTCTCCTCCTCGAAGCTGCGGATGTTGAAGGGCATGGTTCCGTATTTGGTCTTCACCTCTGCCAGCAGGGCGCGGGAAGCCTTCAACTTGAGCATGTAGTTCTCGTCAGACTTCTTGTAGATTGAGACCTTGGTGTCCTTTTCGCGTCCCTGTAAAGATTCGCTTAGAACAAGGATCAAAGGAAAAAGCACTAATACTAACCACTCCTTCTCCGGTGCTCACGATGACATCGATGGCATACACTTCGTGCTTGTCGAAGGTGCATTTTTCGTGTTCCTTGCGCTGCGCCTCGCTGGGATTCTGTATGATCGTCTTCTCACCATCGATTTTGAACTGCTTCAGCTCGTGGCTCAGCATGCCCTCAATGGGCTTGCACTTGTACGACTCGCTGATTTGTTGCACAGCATCGGTAATGGAGTAGTTCTGTACCAAAGACACATAGAGTCAATAATGAATGGATAAGCTCTTAAAATTAGTCCCCATATTAAAGCAATTCTTGTAAAGAGTGTGGACAACTTTAAAGACCGAACATTTCTTGGATCTAAACATGCTCAGTTCACGAAATTGACACATCTATTCTCCGCAGACTTTGAGATGAACTAAGCCAATGGTATAGCATTAGACAATCCGTTGCCTGCGAATTGGCATTACTAATTATCCATAACTGTGGACAACATTAAAGACCGAACATTTCTGAGGAATTTTAAACTTGTTCAGTTCACGAAATCGTCACTTTTATCTCTGCAGGCGTTGAGATGAACTGTGCTACGGATGGGAGCCACAATCAATCCGTTTCCCGCAGTAGAAGCTACCATGTGGATAACTGACACAATAGTCCAGCCCCAATATATAGACCAGACCAAGTCCCAGCCACCACGACTGATCTCTGCAAGCGTTGAGATGTCCAGTCTCTTGAGAATTGTGACAGACAATCCGTTTCTTGCATGACCCATAGGAATAATCCCTAGTAAGATACTTACATTAGCTCCGGCTTTCAACAGGCGCAGGGCAGCCTGGACAGCCCAGTAAGCGGCGAGAATGACATCGGCTTGTCGGCCGCTGATCTTCTGGTCCGCACTGGCGCCAACTACGACTGTGTGGGCGGCCACTGCAATGAAGCCATCGATATGAGCGCCCAAGTCACTTTAAGAAAATCAAGAGACATTTATGAAATACCTATGGATGATAAGTAAGAATTACTGGCTTACATTTTGACGACGTCGCCGGCCTTTAGTGTGTAGTCGGCGTCATTCTTGGCTGGAGAAAAGTGGCATACACAGTTGTTGACCGACAGGCAAGTGGGGAAGGCGATGCCCTTTTTCAGGTCTTTCTCCTTTTTGTATACCTTAAAATGAAGATCGAGTTCAGTAAAGATGTTCCAATCATGGGCAACCTTTCAATGTGCTCAAGGCGTCCTCAGATCTCATAATCTGTGAATCCTCGGGACCGTTAGCAAGCACACAAGCCAGGCACGTGGGTCTAGGAGACCAACGTGGGAATTGAATCCCAGCCCAGCACATGGCCGCCTCGAGTCCCTCAATTGCGTAGTTTTTAATCATTGGACAATTGAAAAACATTATAGCAACGTGCCAAGTGAAGCAGCCACTTACTTTGCCGGTCTCCTCGGTGAGCAGATTGTCACCCTGGGTGCAAATATCCCGCACGGAGGCATCAGCCACACAGAGTCCGATTACCGTCTTGAGGGTTTCTAAAATTAAACATAGCAGGGTGTCCAGAAATAGGCAAAATTCTCTCGAGTGTTACCGCGTGGCAGCGGCGAAGCGGTGAAAAGGAAAGCAAAGGTAAAGGGGAAAGTAAGCGTGAGCGGCAAGAGAATTGTGTAAGCGCCACGTCGCAGGCCCTGGAACCATTCGCTTTCACTTTACCACCATAATGGCAAATCCAAAAACTCACTGTTGACGATCTCGCCGGCCAACTTGTATTTGGTCACCACCAAATCCTCGGCGATGGTCTTCTCGGGCTCCTTTTCCACGTCTGTCATTGTGTACTCGGCGCTGTATATTTTTAAAAATGGCGACTTTAATGAAAATGCGACACGCACGACCACGAGGTAGATTAGCAGTGTGACCCTTCTTGGGCCGATTCTTTTTACCGTCACTTTTTCCAAAATATACCAGATCAACTTTCCTTTGGTGGGACCAACCTCAAATACACAACGAAAGCTGACAACCCTAGGCGATAACCCAAATAATTAGATGCCAGTCATCTTATTTTTTGTTTGTCGCTTCGCAAATTCGCATTTAGAGCTAATATTTCGTAAAAATGTCGGTTCGAGTAATCAACGATGAGTCCCACTTTCAGGCGGAGCTGGCTCAAGCTGGTGTGCGCCTAGTGGTGGTGGACTTCACAGCGACCTGGTGCGGTCCCTGTCAGCGTATTGCACCCATTTTCGAGATGTTTCCCAATAAGTATCCAAAGGCTATCTTCCTGAAAGTGGATGTCGACAAGTGCCAGGACACAGCCGCCGGTCAGGGCGTATCTGCTATGCCTACATTCATCTTCTACAGAAACCGCACCAAAATCGACCGTGTCCAGGGCGCCGACGTCAACGGGCTCGAGGCAAAAATCCAAGAGCACATCGGCACCGGTGGTGGCGAGGAAGCGGGCGAGGACTATGGCCAGGGCTTGGTATTGCTAGTAAATTTTTTTTTTAACGGATAACTAAACTTCAATACCATTTAGATGGAGCTCAACACGTTCATCTCCAAGCAGGAGTGCGAGTGCCTCAACGAAGCGGATGACCACAATCTGAAGCACGCCCTGGTTTCCGCCGGTGGTTATCTGCAGTCCGACTGTGATGAACAGCTCATCCTGTCCATCACTTTCAACCAGGCTGTGAAGATCCACTCGCTGAAGTTTAAGGCTCCGTCAACACTGGGTCCCAAAGAAGTGAAGCTTTTTATTAACCAGCCACGTACCATTGACTTTGACATGGCCGAGTCAATGACCAGTGTGCAGGACTTGACGTAAGCTACTGAGTTTTAGTACTGAATTCTATCGGCTAATGCTTGTTTCTCCTATTAGATTGGGAGAGAAGGAGTTGGAGAATGGAGCACCAGTCAATCTGCGCTACGTGAAGTTCCAGAACGTGCAGAACATTCAGATATTTGTGAAGAACAATCAGTCAGGCGGCGATGTAACGCAGATCGACTACATCGGTTTCATCGGCTCCCCCATCATGACCACCAAGATGACCGACTTCAAACGTGTAGCCGGCAAGAAAGGCGAGAGTCACTAGGACATCCCCGATTCCATAGAAATTTCAACGTTTTCCCCTTGATGTCCCGAATCTATTCATCAACTTTGGACTTACAACTAAGCAATGTACAACAAATGCATAAAGAAATCATTCAACAAAACGTGGCTCAACAATGTTTACAGGTAATTTTACATTTTAAAGGCTGCTCTGGTGAGAGTCCAGATCCTTGGTGAGCATTTTCCAGGCCCGCTCAGCCTGCAGCTTGGTGAAGTCATAATCCCACTGCGAGCTAAAGATTACGTGTGACTTTTCCACAATTTCGGAATTGGGCACCTGGCTGGCCAGGCGCTTCTTAGCTTCGTCCTCACTTAGCTTATTGCGTTCGATGATCCGCCTAACGGCCTCATCCGGTGGCACAATCATCGACCACACCTCGTGGCAATTGGTTTCCCAACCGGCCCGCAAAAGTATGGCCGCTTCCAAGACAACTACTCGAGGAACCTCAGTCTGGGAACGCAAAACGTCCAGTCGTCTATTAACTTCTGCAATAAGCTCTGGCCAGACGATATTATTGAGAGCCTGCAATTTATTGGGATCACTGAAAACCAGAGGACCCAGCTTAGAGCGGTCAATGCGCCCATCTGGCGAAACGATATCAGCTCCGAAGTATTCCACAATGCGACCGTGGCACACCTGACCAGGTTCATAGACATCATGGGCCACTTTGTCGCAGTCGATCACATGGGCTCCCAAATTTCCTAGTCTCTCTGCCATTTTGCTCTTCCCAGAAGCAATGCCTCCAGTCAGACCGATAATATAAGGTCGTGCCGGTAGCTGTGGTCGCAGCTCTGGCCTCTTCCACCGTGTGCCCAGCAGATCGATGCGGGTGTTGCTAGAGCTGACCTTCGCCTCGTGGATACCGTCGTGCACATTGCTCTCCACAATGTCAATCACAAAGATCTCCAGATTGCGCAGCTGCCTAGCCTTGCGGATTTCGTTGACCTTCTGACCGCCACGCAGTGTCTCGGCACTGACCACAATCATGTCCAGGTCTGGATCCGTCTGAGTTGGACCGAACGGATCGTCGATGGGCACGATTTCGTAGTGCAAAGTATTGTCGATGTCCGTAAGGAACTCCCTCAAGCGTTCGATGCGTTCCTCGACGGGTAATATCAGGTCCGGCAGCGTTTTTCCTGCAGACGGCGATAGTAAGTAGTAGTTGAGATAAGAATCTTTGTCAAGTCACCCAGTTCTTACCCTTAGTCATGGCGGCCGTCGTCACGCCCACTACCAAACGTTTACGACTACGCAGCACTGCTTGCGTAAGGAATATCTTGTGGCCTACATGTATGCGGTCAAAAGTGCCGCCCAGGACAACCGAGGGATATGTTTTAGGGGTCTCTGTAGTGTCTTTCTGGGAGCTTAGATCTGAGGTAGCATCTTCCTCAAGAAATATGGTGGGCTTGCTTATTTTAAGATCGGCCCGCAACCGATCGCACAAGTCTGGGTAGTGAGCATCCGAGAAGATAAGGTCAACAGGTTTGCACAGCCTCAGGGCATCACTGGCTCCTGGTCGGAGTGGCGATACGAGTATCCTTAGGTCCAACTGTTTGCCTACGTAGCTGCTGCTGTTTGCATACACCTGGGATATGAGCCGACCCCAAACTGGAGGCGGTGGAGCTGTGGCTGGTGCCCATGGACTCAAGGAGGACGTGGACGTTGACCCCGCGACATTCAAGTGGATGTACAGGGAGTTGACGTACTTCTCGATAGCTCGTAGGGATTTTCCCAGCTGCTTGATGTTGGATACGACCAGGAGACCCGTGGAGGCCATGCTGAGTTGCTTGAGGATCGGAGTTTGGACTAAATTAGCCTTAACCGAATAATTGCATTCATATTAGTGGTGGAAGCATCACTGATAACACCGATTATCGATAAAAATCCGCAAATCCAATTAATATATAAGCGTTTTAATTTAAAAACTTTAAATTTCGGTTAAATTCATCTATTGTTTAATCTTCCAGAATTAAATATTAATATGTAGCTTTGAATTTGAAATATATACGGGGTTTTAATTTTCTTAATTAAAAATCAAAAGTGAGTTGTTTAATCAACATTATAATTTAACATTACAAAACATTAAATTATTAGAGACATTGGGTACTGGTTGGACTTAAAAATATAACAGTTGCTTCAAATTCACAATTTTGAAAATCAGAAATTCAAAATTTCGACAGAGGTGACAGCTCTAGTTACACGGCAATCTTCGTTGCATACTTGGAGGGATATATTTTTTTTAAATTTACAATTTAACAATTATATATAAAAAAAAATAACAAAAACTGTAACAAAAGCCAACTGTTTTATAGTTATTTTCATAGTTCTTTATTTTCTGAAAACGCGTTAGTACATTTTGCCACGCCGCATCTTTCAATCGCGTCTCTGGGAAATCGAACCGAGTTGGCAGCCCTAACGAATGTGGTGCGAAAAGAGAATCCGTTGTCGGAAGAAACACGAGGGAAGGAATCGTCATTATTTTTGAAAGTAAACTATTCATCGAAAAATGTGCTCCCGCCGCAATCGAAAATCGAGAATTGATTGAAAACGTCAAGGCGACTACCGTTATGTTCAGTTTGCCAATTAATCGCAGCCCGGACGTATCGACAGAGCCAGAAAAAGAGTGTGTCCGTGTGCGTTTGCGATTGCGTTAGTGTGCGTGTTGTGTGACGGTAGGCAGTCGGTGCGAAAGAGGAGCGCAAAGAGCAGTGTGGAGAGAAAAGAGCGGCAACTGAAGGACGTGTCGCGGTCGCGGGAGGAGTGCCAAAGGATTATAGTACCTGGGCTGATCGCCTCCCAATGCACAGCAATTAGCTGGGCATCGACACCGGAGCCGGAGCCCGAGCCCCACCTCCCCCGCAGTAAAAACTTAACCCGGTAGGCGCCACCGCCCACCACCCCTCAAAATTCCACCTCAAACCCCCAGGAGCATCGACATGCCCGTCTCGGTGGCCGTCTGCGAGACGACGAACGTCGTTAACGCTGCGCTGCGCGAGTCGCTCGGCGTCGGCATTGGTAGCGGTGGCGGGAGCGGAGCGGCAGCCAGTAGAGCGGCTGCTGCTGCCGCCAGTGCTGCTAGCGATGAGAAATCCGGGGCCGGGGAGGATTCGAACAGCCTTCAAAATCACATCGTGGCCAATGCCAAGCGGATTCTGATGGCCAAAATCGAGTACGAGGAGGTGCCAAACTATCAGGAGTCTGTGCTGGAGAACCTCAAGTCCAAGTACATCGTCATCAAGCCGACGACGAATCCCACAAATAACTGCAATCTTAACGGCAATAGCGGCAACGCCACCTTTCCGAATAAAAACAACGCTGGCAAAATTGTGGGCGCAAATGGACATGGTAAGTAGCGATGTGGTGGAAGAAGCAGAAGAGAATACAAAAAAAAAAAAGAGAGGAGAGTGGGAGGGGGAGGAGCACATGAAGAAGAGAAGCTGCCTCGCGTTGCTTTTCTTCGTCTCTGTCTTTGCCTGTGTTTCTTTGTGTCGCAATTTGCGAAATTTTCCATGGGCCCTGTCCACCGACATGATGCCCGTGGACATCTATAGGCTCCTCCAAGAGCTGCCTGGTTATATTTCCCTCCCAATATACTCAAAATCACGTGTGTTGTTTTTCCGCCAACACCATCCACTGCTAACTGCCGCTGCAATCCAGCGACAGCGGCTTCTCGGCCACCGCCACCAGCATACCTGTACTTTTCATGCGTGTCTGTGTTTGTCTGTGCTTGGGTGGTGTTGGTGGTGGTGTATGGTGGAGTACGTGTAAACAAAATGCAAAGAAACACAAGCGAAAAGCAAAACAAGTACAACACCGCAAAGAGTGAGTTGGTGGAGAGGCACACCAGCACCAGCCAGCGCAACTTCTGAATCACACAGAAGTGTTCGAACGGAACAGTGGGCGAAGAAAAACGTGCTGCCGAGCCAAAAGCCCCAAAGCACGAGGGTCCCCCCCATATGTCCGTCTCTTTCCCTCACACACATGGCAAAGTGGATTGCGCCAGCAGCAGCGGTACATATGTATTAGCTCTTTTTTTTTTTATTATTTTCTTTTATATTATTATCGGTAAATGCGTCGCAATCTGTTTTCTTAAAAAAAAAAACAAAAGAAGATATCAAGGTGTGATTCACAGCTGCGCTTGCGGAGCAGGAAATGGACACAAAGCCATGTCAAGACACTGTAACCAGATGAGCTCTGGTGGTCAATGCCTTTGAGATACGAGTACGTACGAAGTACAAAGGGGACACCGCAAAACACCTACAACAACCACTGTTAGTCGCGCCAAAAACGCAGTTGGCAACACCACACTCAGCCCACGTTCCCCATGTTTCTGCGATATGGCCAATACGGTCCGAGTCGGCGCAGTATCTGCTTTGTTTATTGTTTTCAGCGACGACGAGTCCGGACTCGCTCTTTATTTTTCCACCAGTGCTGCCCAGTATTTTATATTTTTTAATTTTAAAATAATAAATATAATTGAAAGTTAGTTAGTGGCTAAATAAAATCGATAATTGTTTTGATTTTTCTTACAAATTATCGCTAGTTTTTTTTTGTTTTTGGCTATAAAACGGCTAGAAAAATCCGCTCGCTCGCCTCAGGTGTCAGTGTGTTTGTGTGTGTGTGTGTGTCTGTGTGTGCGAGTGTGTGTCAGCAGTTTCCACACTCGTTCTTGTTGTTTTGGTATCGGGCTCGTTTAATTTTAGTAGCTCAGAAAGGCAGCAGAACTAGAACCAGCACCAGCACCAGCACACAGCACGCAGCTGGAAACAAAAATATTCGATAGCTCCTCCACTCCAACAATCAATGCATTATGACTGCGATAACCGTGGACGGGTTCACCTTGTGGCTGATCTACAAGCTGCTCCTTGCGCCCTGCTTCCTCTTTCTGCGGCACGTGCTAAACCTGGCCATTCTTCTCTGTCCCATTTCATCCGCAGACAATAACGGCAACGGCAACGGCAGTCGAAAGCTGACGGAACACCCCAATCAAAATCACAATCATGCGAATCCCAATCCCAATGAGCTGCCCAAACCGAAGAGGGTCCTGTATCCGCGAGAGAATATACGCATCGGCTGGAAGCAGTCGGAGCGAAAGTGGCAGGTCGGCTCTGGGATGATCAACGCCGGCAACACCTGCTACCTCAATTCAACACTTCAGGCGCTGTTCCACATCCCGGCGCTGGCCAACTGGCTCGTCTCCGAGCAGGCGCACATGGAGAACTGCACCGTCTCGGAGTCGGGCAGCTTTTGCATCGTATGCGCCATGGCGAAGACGTTGCTGGCCACCCAGACCACCCAGTCGGCGGTGAGGCCATTCCTCATATACACCAAGCTGAAACAGATCTGCAAGCACATGATCGTGGGACGGCAGGAGGATGCCCACGAGTTTCTGCGATTCCTAGTCGAGGCCATGGAGCGGGCGTATCTCATGCGCTTTCGCAACTACAAGGAGCTCGACCAGCTGGTCAAGGAGACCACGCCATTGGGACAGATCTTCGGCGGCTATTTGCGCAGCGAGGTGCGCTGCCTGAGTTGTAACCACGTCTCCATCACGTTCCAGCACTTCCAGGACCTACTGCTCGACATCCGCAAGTCGGACTCGCTGGAGGAAGCCTTCGAGGGGTACTTCTCGCGTGAGAAGCTCGAGGATTTCGGTTACAAGTGCGAGGGCTGCAAGAAGAAGGCAAGTCCACCCCTATACTATATCCTATATCCAGTCATATTAACAAAAAAACCCTTTCAGGTCTCGGCGACGAAGCAGTTTCGTTTGGAGCGTGCACCCATCACGCTGTGCATCCAGCTGAAGCGCTTCTCCATGATGGGCAACAAGCTGACCAAGCAGATAGCCTTCAAGCCCCGCATCGATCTGAGCAAGTTTGCTGCCCGCTCGCCAGCGGCGTCTGTACAGCCGCTCATATACCGCTTGGTCTCGATGGTGACCCATCTGGGAGTCTCCCAGCACTGTGGCCACTACACGGCCATTGGATCCACGGAGGCCGGGAGCTACTACAACTTCGACGACAGTTATGTGCGACCGATAGCGATACAGAGCGTTTGCAACACAAACGCATACATCATGTTCTACGAGCTGGACCCCACCCAGACCTCTAGTCCGGCGGCGGCCCGAGCCAACGGCCTGCGGCTGACCAACGGCCATGGTCCTGTGCCCGTGGCAGTGCCAGCCACTGTCTCCTCGCCTTCACCCTCGCCTGCCAAGTTCATTGGACCCCAGCTGCCGCCCGGCGGCATCAATGGTTACAGCAACGGTCATGGCCCGAAAACGACCATCCAATTCAAGCCCCATCAGCAAAACGGTCTCCTGCTGGGAGCCGCAAAGTCTCCGTTGCTTAGCGCACACGTTAAAGTGGATACAGCTGGTACAGCTGCCACTGCAAATGGTAACAAAAGTTCCTCCACCAGCAAACAAAACTATCTGCCAATTTCCTCGGAGGACGAGGACAGCGAGGATGATGTAAGGGCGAGGCCCACTGTCCAGTTGCCCAGTATGCCCAAAATGGACGACACCATGGACAGCAGCAGCAAGCCAAAGTCGCCGGTCAAGACCCCAGTCAAGACGCCCTTGAAAAGCCTGGTGCCTTACGAGTCGGCCTCCGAGGAAGAGGAGGTACCACTGCCCAATCCCAATGCCCGAAAACGTTCAAGTGACTCGAGTGACTCCGAGCACGAACCGGCCCCGTCGGTCCAGCTGAATGGCCATAGTAAGACCAACGGCACTCTCTCCAACGGCTCCACGTCATCGGCCCTCGCCAGCAGTGGCAAATCGACTGATGCCATTGACGAGATCTTCAGGAGCCTGAAAGGTTACCAGGCCAAGCAGAAAGCCGTCGAGAGCGAGGACGACGACGACGAGGAGGGCGACGATGAGGAGCCAAACACCCAGCTAACCAATGGATGGCATCCTCAGAAGCAATCCCAGTCACAAAGCCGACAAGCACCGCCCTCGCCAAAGACGCCACCATCCCCTGCTGTTATCAAGTCCAAGACTGGCATCTGGAAGGTCACCCGCAACGATGATGACGACGAGGACGATGACGACGATGAGGAGGAGGCGACGACGGCGGTGGTACGAACGCCCGTCAAGAATCATCGCAATCCATTCGCCAGCAGTAAGACCTCCACGGACTCGCCCACCACACCCGGAGCCAAGCGCCAAAAGCTACTGAACGGGAGTGCAATGAAGACCCAGCAGCAGTTGCCCAGGGCGGGCAATGGCTACCAGAGCGAGGCCACCTCGAACGGCAGCACCGTAAACGAACTGCTGAAGCAATCGCACCGAGGATACAGTTCGTCGTCGGTGCTCAGCTGGAATGGCAAGCCCGCCGAGCTGGAGAAGGAGGTGAGTTTCTCAGAGAGCAGTCATGACCCACTATCGTCTCTCTAACTGGCTTAAGGGTGCACCTTTATACTCCTCCATAACCACTACCATCACCATCCTTTTGGTTTGGACTTTCTTCCTTCCTGTTCCTGTATTTTATTTCCGTTCTAAGCTTGGTTTCTCTCGAAAGCGATGCGATTGTGTTGATTTACTAAACAAAACTTATTTGTAATTTGCATTTGTTTCCACATTATCCCCATTCATTTAGCCTTTTGAGTTGGTTTGCGCGAAACGGAAAGCCGGTCACGTCAGTTTGGATGGCAGTGGCAGTGGGAGTGGCAGCGATATCCTCCTCCTCGTCGATAGAGAGAGCCGTAGCCCGGCAGCAGTCAACTTCGCCAGTGGCAGTTGCAGTTTCACTGGCAGCGACTTGGCAGCCAATCCGCCCGATCCGGATCGTCTGACGGACGGCCGATTGGAAGCGGAGGCGTAACCACTGCCCAGCCGGTTCACAACACATACCCCAACACACAAAGAATATCTAAAATACAGTAAACACATAAAAAAAAAGAGTCTGTGATTGCCATTGAGGATTGGGATGCGTCCTCAGTTCGCGGCACCGTTCGCCAAGCGTTAAGTGTATAGAAAGCGTTTAAAGTCCATGGTGTGTCTTGTCTGTGGGAGCGAGTGTTTTGGGAGCGAGGGACTGCAGCACCAGAGAGAGTCTAGGTAATGAAGAAACCCGTGCCCCATGAAGCTTATGATTTGACTGCCGGATGGCCGTTTCTTAATTGTTTCTCAGCAACTGTAGAATTGAATGCCAGATAACCTGTCACCGTGAACCGAAAACCGTAAATCGTAAGCCAAACCCATATCATACTTTAATCTACCTCCCCGTGATCCGTTGTGCTACCACATCTGCATAAGCTTCATTATCGAGCGCATGCCCATCCTTCTTCCTTCTACGATCTTGACAATAATTCTCATAATATATTGGTTTCTTTCCATAGCTATTGGCGGATGCGCGGGAACAGCGGCAGCGGGACATCGCCGACGACGAGGAGAACGATATGGATCGCGGCAGGCAGCGCAAGGTCAAGTCGGGATCGGCGAAGATCAGCAATAGCACTCCCGGCTATAATCCGTTTATGGAGTTTGAGAACCAGAAGCGCTGGCACAAAAACGGAGGAGGCGGTGGCTTCCCCCGCTTCTACCAGAACCAGAACTTTCGCCAGGGCTTCCAGCAGCGCAACAAGTTCAAGTTCAATCGGTTTGGCGGGCCCGGCAGCGCCAAATTCCAGCAGCAGCGAGCTCTGCAGCGACACCTTGCCGCCGGCGGCGGTTTCACCCGGCGCCAGCCGACACACGCTGCCCAACAGCAGCAGCAGCAGTCCTAACTGGATGCGGATGCGGATAGACCATCAGGATCAGGATTAGGATCAGAATCAGGATCAGGAGGTGCATTTGTTATTGGATTTCGATTTCGAAAGAGTTTTGTAAACGTTTTTTAAATGCTAATGAACATATTAGTGTAGTAATAGGAGTAGGCGTAGGAATTTTAAGCTGTAAGCTAGACTGTAACTGTTGCCCCACCCTCCTTCCTTCCCCCCCAGCCTGAGAAAGCACCCCTAGACCCCCATTGCCCCACCCCCAGCCCCTAATAAAGTAAAGACTATGATTAAGTTGTAAAAGAAGAGGATGCAAGAGTGTGTTTTGCAAAATTAAGTTTACAGTGGAAATACTACACGAAAATTGTACCATTTTAAAAAAATGTTACCCCTAACCCCCCCTCCCCAAAAAAAAAAACAAAAATAAGAAAAAACTTAAAGCTTAACAGCTGCGCGCATTATGAAAATAAAGCAAACCAATATATTTAAGAGACTAAAACCAAGCAAACATGTACATAGAACTTCAACCCTAGACTTAGACGCAACCCCCCAACCCCTCCCATGAAAAGAGTGTATTTTTAACGGCGCGCCCCCCCCTTTTATTTATAGAGCATTACCCTAAATCCACGACCCGATTCGCAAATGTTATTAAACCTATATATGGAGCATATATATGTTCTAGGGATGAATATGTGTGTGGACATCCGGCGCATTAGCAAAATTACTGTACAAGCCAGAAATAAAACCGTTTATTTGATCAACTAGAGTAATAGTAAATAAACCGTAACACAAACTACGATCAATTATAAAACTATACGCATGTCTCAGTCGCCTCCGCCACTGCGTTTCTTGCGGAGCTCCTTCTTGTTCATCATGCGGCCCTTGTGGTAGCGTGTCTGCTGCTTTTTGAATCCCAACTTTAGCTTCTTGCGCTGATGCTTGGGCACGCTCTTGATGGTATGGTAGCGGTCACGTTTCGCTTTCTTCTGGTTGTTCTTCTTGTCGAGTAGCTCCTTCTTCTTGAACAGCTTGCTCTTGTGCATCTTGTTGAGGGTCCCCGTCTTCATTAGCCGGTCGATGTCCTTTTTACTCTTGATGTCTGGATCGGATTTCTTTTTCTTTGGCTTCTCCTCTTCGTCCTCCTCCGCCTCCTGTGTGTCGGGTTTCCGTTTTCGGGATGCTTGGGGATCAAAGTCCATGCCGGGTATTCTGTTGGCTTGGGTGGATTCGTCCTCCTCGCTCTCAGACTCCTTCTCTTCCTCCTCACTCTCCTCGGCAGTGTTGGCGCCGAGCATGTTCCGCTGAGCTGCCAGCTCGTTGGTGGTCAGTTCCACGATCTTGACCTGCACCTCTTCGTCTTCGTACGATTCCTCCTGTGCCTTTGGCTGGCCATCTTCGGTCTTGTCCTCCTCGGTGAGTTCGCGCAGCGGCTCATAGGACTTTTTCAAGTGCTTGAATCCTTCTTTCACCTCGAGCCGGATGCGTTTGCGTTCCTCCTTCAGTTCCTTCTCCAACTGAGCCTTGGCCCGCGATCGCCTCTCGTTTTTCCGCTTTCGAAATCCAGTCAAAAATTCACTGGAAAATAAGGAATGCGGTGAAAAGGAATACTTTGCGACAGGATCTTTACTTACCGACGATTCTTTTCGTCAAAGACTATCTCCAACTTCTTCTTTGGGGCCTTCTTCTTGGTCATGTTGTCGGGAGGATGTTTAGTCAACTTTCCACTCTCATAAAATGCCACGAAGCAGAAATTAAGAAAATCTATTGAAGAATTTTCCTTGTTTTGGGTTTTTGTTTACCCGTGCGAACCCATGTGCTCATCCAGTGTTGGAAAACGGACCAAAGCAGCCAGTGATGCCCATAGAAAACTGGATTGGCATTGTACATCTACGCGCTAGATTTAAAATTTGAAAATGTATTTTCAAAGAATAGAAAACATGAAATCTTAACTTTCAATTACCTGTTTTATTTTTAAACTTTTCAAATCGCAATTCGTATATATATCACATGATTATATGTTCAAGTTCAACAAGTTCTTCTAAAGAAACATTAACATTACACAATTGTGGGACTAAATCTAGGGAACTTCGTAAAATACTACTGTCTAGCACTAAACTAAATATATATTTAACGATATATTCGGTTGCAATATGTATCTGGTGTTTGTTGCATAACTGATATATACTATTTGTATGATAAATTCATTGCGTTCATTCATGTTCACTCGTCGTCGTAGTCCAGCACGAAAAGTTTCTTACGTCGGAATGAAGATGTGTCCAAGACTTTTGGTGACGGAAATCCCGAGTAGGGACTCTCGAAATCGTTCAACACGGCGCTCCTACCCAATTCATCCATGCTGAAAGTAGTGGTGATTAATAACCATGTAGGGGGATATCCATATTCTTTAGAACTTACCTCACTTCCCTAAAGTCCAGTTTGGATTTTCCGTGATTGTGATTCAGTGGCGTGACGTTCATAACAGGTGTACAGTGCTGAGACAGGTCAAGGAAATCGTCTGGCTCAAGGCCGGATAGGAAATCGGAGGCATAACAGTCGCGGTTGGCAATTGGCGTGGATCCCACAAGCTGGAATTCCACACGCGGAGAAGTAGTCATGTTTGCCGACGACGGTGAGGAGGGGGCTATTTTAATGGAAGGTGTGGGCGGTGTGATGGGCTTGTACAGATGCAGAATCTCCAGAAAGTATAAGACATAACGACAAGCGGCTGCTTTCCAATTGCACATTCTTCCCCAGACGGCGCGACGGGATCGTCGGAAGCTCCGCGACTGAAATAAAATTAACAATAAGATTTGGTTGACAGTTTTCTGGGAGTCTTTCTTACTAGATGATTGAAGGAAATTAGCGACTTGCGCTTCTGCTGCATCTTTAGCAGCTTGGGATGTGAGAGTAGCTGGTCTGCTGTTGGCCTTTGCGTTGGATTCGGGTTCATCATACCCTTTATTACTGCCTGGAGTTCCACGGATATTGCTGTGGTGGATTAAAATGAAATTATAAATGGAACAACAATAAATTACTATACTTACTATTTATGAATTCTTCGGGCAGGAGGCCTTGACGAAGCTCGTGCCATAAAGGACCATTGGCGGGAAGATCCATGTAGCAGGCCAGCTCCAGCATGGCTATTCCCAAACTGAAAATGTCGGCTGCCTTGGAAAAGTGGCCCTGTAGAATTTCCGGCGCCATGTACCTGGAGTCACCCTCGGTTGCATGATGGTTGTTCGCCTTGTCCACATCTATGACTAGTCCAAAGTCCGCCAGCTTGCATGTTTCGTCGTCCTCGCTGATCAGCACATTGTCTAGCTTGATGTCCAAGTGGATGAGATTCCTATCGTGCAGTGACTTCAGACCCCTCAGGAGTTCCAGCAAGATTTGCCAGATACGCTCCTCGGGTACGCGCCGGCACCGCAAAAGATACTGCTCCAAGCTCTCGCGGCACAGCTCCATCTGCATGTACAGCCTGTCATACTGCTCCCATGCGCGAATAAAACGAATGCAGTTCTCGTGTCCGGAGAACTCCTCGTACCTCCGGACCTCCTCCAGTCGCTCAGCTCTGTATTGTTCGCCTCGGAAGAGCTGTTTTGAAATCTTTACTGCATACAGGCGACCGTCGGACCGGTCCCGCACCTGGAATACCTCTCCGAAGGATCCCTCGCCCAGCTTGGCCAGGCGTTCGAAGCACTGCTCGAAGTGGCTTCGGTCGCTCACTTCCGCGGATCCTGGCGAGGATGGAAGCATGCTTGCATCAGGACACTCTAATCCCATGGAACCTGAGGAAAACACAGAAAATTGAAGCATAAATAACATTCCATTGATGCCCCAACTAGCGCCATCCATTGGCATCAATAGGAGGTGCTTGTTCCTGCCGCAGAGATTATCGATGGCGAAGCTTTGAACTATTGCGTATTGTGCTAGCACGCCTTGATTTTTTAGCTAAAGCTAAACAGGATCTAGTATCCTTACCCCTTTCTGTTATCCCTCGGAAGGAAATCGCGTGGGCGATCTGGGAACTGTTTGCACTGCAGGACCCTAGCGACTGGCTTCTGTTCAGATTGTTGTTCTCCGCGGCCACATAGCTCCCTCGCGCCTTGTACTTGGGTGGCCGGAAGCGGTTGCTGTTCTCCCCATTGCACTGTTTATGGCGGTGTTTATCGTCGTGCAATTCGGGGAGCGGCAAGCGATGCTTTTCCATTTTCAATTTGGGTGTCTTTTAGTGTTGGCAAGTGTTACTGAATTTCGACAGTGCTGGATAGCGTAGTATAGAATGTAGGTGGAACACATGGAAACGGGCCATCGGTTTTTTTTTTTGAACTGTTTTTATTTTACCAATTTATACTTTAACTTAGGAGGTGTATTAAAAATAAAAAATAAATTAGGCTTAACAATGTTCTTAAAACTCTATTAAAACAAATAATTGGCGTGCCATAAAATATAGAATGGTTACAGTATATACCGCCCGCGAAACGGTATTAATTTGGCGCTCCACATGCAGCCACACTGCGGTTTATTAACAAAATAAAAAAAAAAAAAACAAAAACTTTGCGAAAATGGTTAGCAGGAACATAGAAAGGTAAATATTGCGGACGAATTGGAACTCTAAGATACAGCAGTGTAGATTATGCAACGTACTTTTCCTCAAGCTGCAAGCTACTTAAGTCGGCGTCTGGCTTAGTGCACCTGATCGGGTTATGCAATTTTTTATGCGGCTTTATTTATCTGCTCTGGACAGCCGGACAATGACTTCTTCACTGCAGTGGGGCTTAATCTCAGAGGGCGGCCATGAACTTAACCTTGCTCCGCAGTCAGATAGCCGTGATTGATGGAGTCTTCTTTTCTCTTGTTTGCAGCACGAGTAAAGTTCCGACTTTCCATGTAATCCGAGAGGTATACGACAGCTCCAATGCCCACGAGCGGTTCGAGGCGGAACTGGACAAGGCGCTCGAGGCCAAGGTTGATTTCATTATCATAGAGCCCCCGCGCTTGGGTGACGAAACCGGTAAGTATTTCCAAGTAATTCTGTAAGAACTATTCTAGTTTTCTAACCGATTAGGGCGCTGGATTTGGGTCGGCAACTGCTTGCACAAGACAGCCGTGGCCACTGGAGTGGTGTCGTTGGTGGCCAGTCTACTTTGGCGTGATCGTCCGGTCATCGCGGCACCTGCCTGCGCCTTGTCCCTCTTCTGTACCGGGCTTTACACGGTGTCCTGGAACTACGATCCATGTTGTCAATACCAGGTTTGTCCAAGAGCACTTTTCCAAGCAGTTATACCTAATCCTAATACCTAATTTATATCTTTAGGTGGAGAACAACGACACCGTGCTGGAGAAGCTTCCGTTGACAGACGTCTCCTCGCCTGTGATCTTGGGCTACTCGCCCAATTGCAAAACCAAATACTTGCACCGTGGTGTCACCTTCCTCTCGGCTGCGTTGTGCGCCTGGCAAATCTGGAGATCCTACAAGTAGATAATGCACACCAATCTTCCCCAGTTTGGAAGCTAATGGAATGGGCCACGCTTCCACGGAGGCGTGATACGTAATAAGTCTAGACTAGTCGTCTGAGCGAATGCATTTTCTTTTAGGTATCGAGCGATTTAAGCTTGCAATCGTTGTGTCATTCTTTGTAATGTTTTTAAATGGTTCCAAATCGTCTTTGTATCGTGTCCCGGTCATTTTATGTATTTCTGTGGCTTCTAACTTATTACGATAATTATTTGAAGGCCGGAGTTAGTCTTAGGGCGGCTGGTTAGGACCTCCGCCAGCACTGTAAATTAAGCAAAGCCAACTTCTGTGTATAGCAAAGAGCAAACCCCTTTGATGATTGTTATTAGCATCTAGTAGAAGATATCAGGAAGTGAAAGTAAATAAAAACAACGCGAAATATATTGTTACAAATTCAGAGAGTATGCGATAAGAACTCACTGTTCTCGTGCAATTATGGAGAGGCTTTATGCGGGCTTACGCTCTTATTCTCGTTGTCGTCGCCGTCAGTCGGTTTATGTATTCGGATGGCAGCGGATTGATCGATCGAGTGGTGCTTTCCAGTGCGATCCAGTAACAAGCTGATCCTCGCACGTACACCACCTTCACGCCATGGACTCCAGCCATATTGCCGTGAGATCTGGTAAGCCAGTCGCAGACAGATGATAGCGCTCCGATAAGATAGCACTTTTTGGACATCATCAAGCATCATGGCATATCGGAATCCCAAGAATTAGTCTTAAAATGGCCATCTTCGTAAGTGCCTACAGCTTGCGGGCGATTAGCAAATATTACGAGGAGCAAGACCAGAGCGGTCTCGACAAACTGTGCCACTTGGCTAATCATCTGCGCACTTTTATCTTGGCTAAGCTCCATCATGTGTTGTTTGCTCTATATTTCGCTTCGCTAGCCCTCCATCACGTTCCCTCCGAGGACTTGATCTCCCAGTATGGCAGTCTGGGCTCCACCGATGATATCTTCATATGTGTGCCCGAGGATGGCGAAGTCAGCGAATCCACTCCGCTGTTGAGAGCGGCAAACTCCTCCACAACTCCCGCCCTTGCCACCGCCACCGCCTTCGCATCCAGGTCCACTTCAACGAGCATCACAAAAGACTGTCTTAATTGGCGCTCGGTGGGACTGCTGGCTATGTGTTCGTCCGCCATGGCTCTGGCCATCTATTTGCTTTGGAGGCAAAGTGAGTTATCCATCTGAAGCATGGGGGTGCATGTGTTTGCTCAATTCTCAGAGTTATGATAAGAAAATGAGGGGATTTTTTGTGCCGAGGCGGAAGCTTTCAATGATCGCAATGAGAAATAATATTATTAGCAAGCTAATCAAAAAAATTAATAATAAAAACAATACAAAAGACAATAAATATTAAAAACAAATACAAGTCTTTGAAGACGAAGGACTTTTAGTTTTCCTATCTTTAATCTTTATTTAAATAAGAAATTGTATAGTTATTCTTCAAAGTAATGCAAACTACAATAAAAGAATTTAAAATCTTAAAAAAATGTTTACAAAATAAAGTTAATAAAATCATCTTTGTAGCTTATAAATTACTTTGTTTTTAAGCAATAGAATTTGAATTTGAAAATCATCAATGAATCATGCCATCATTTTAAAGTTTCCTCTGTATATGAATATATATTTTTTTGTAGTGTGACAATGGAATTAAATAGCTGAATCACTTTGCAGCTCAACTGCCGGACTTTGGGTATCGTCTCACTCTCGTCGAGCATGATGTATGGTCGGATATAGATGTCCAAGATCAGGGAACTCTGCTGGATCCTCTCAAGGTAGTGACTGTCTTCTTCACACAGACCGATAGTCCAGAGTGCCTAGACGATTGCTTGGAGTTGCTTCATAAACTGCAGGTAATTAAAATTAATTAATTAATTAAATTAATTAACTCTTTAAATTTTAAGAAAACCCGTAAAGAGGAGCTACCGTACAATTTTCTCATCACCGGCGACTGCCAGGCTTTCGAGGCTCGCGGCTGGCAGTACGAGAGCTTCTTCTCCCAGGATCTGCCCCTGGCCAGCTCCCTGGTAATAGCCTTCGTGGGGCAGTTCCATCGATTACCCCCCAATCACTGCCAGTTGAAGGTAGCCCAGGCCCTGCTACTGGAATCCTTAAAAAGAAGGAAACTACAACCGGACTACCAGCTATATGTGCTGGGAAGGAATACAGGAGCTGTGGAGAGGGAATTGGAGCTTTGGCCCAGGTATGCTGGACACAGGAGCATCGAGTGAGACAAGGAAACGAAAGGATTCCAAATTATTCCTCATGTTTATTGTACGTCAAACACAAACAGTATACAAAGAAGCGCAGGATGAGTAAAGCGGGTGCCACCGAAAAGCAAAGCGGAGATCCCCGGGATCAGCTCTTGACGGGATCGGGGTACCGGACCAGCGAAGCGTTGCGCATTGGGGGTTACGGATGATGCCTACGACTATAAACTAAAAACTAATACTAGATCCCGACGGCTAGTCGAACTCCAGCTTCCGAAAGCTGCCCTCGATGGACTCGATCTGTGATACAAAGTTGGGTCCGCCGGTGGAAGCCTTCTCAGCGTTGAAGCTGCTTCTCCGCTGGATGCCGCGATCAGAGAGGAGGACACTCTTGTCCAGGCCAAGGATGAGATCGCGCTTGGCCGCCAGCTCCTGTTTCCACAGCTCGATCATCTCGCGCATGGGCATAGTACCGCCCATCTCCAGGGGCAAGCAGCCCGGATCCATGCCCTTCATCAGCTCCTTTTCGCTGCCGTAGATAATGAGGCGGTTCTTCATCTTCGAGCTGACGCGGTTCTTCACAAAGTCTATGAGCCACTTGAGGGTGGAGGGCACATTGATCAGGTGGATCTCCTTGTGGCGCATCGGCAGCGACTGTTCGCCCCACTTGAAGATCCTGGCGAACTCCGTGGGATTCCAATTCGTGACATGCGCAGTGGAGACGCCAGCAAAGTCACCCACGTGCGTCAGGCCGGTGATCTGTGTCTCCTGATCCTCCATCAGGCACTCGTACGTGAGGAAGTGTGCCTTGGCCTGATCGCAGCTGGTGTGGATCTTGGGGTTCAGTCCCTTGGCATTGATTACCACCACCCTCCGTCCGTGCTTATCCCGCTGTGGAACCGCGAAGATATATCCCTGATCGATGAGGTCGCCCAGTCGCGGCTCTAGGTAGTCCAGTTGGGTGCTCATGTGCGGGAAGGTGCGACGAATGTTCAGGTACTTCAGCAGCGTCTGCTCGGCCATCGGGACGCTGAATTTCTTGGCCCGCAGGAACCTCAGCAGGAAGGTATCGTCGCACCGAACATTCTGAAGATCCTCGTTTTTGGCCACCCAGTTTCGTAACTGTTCCAGGCTCTGGTCACGTGTGCAGCGATCCTCGCGCAGCTCCCGCTTGGCAATCTTCAGCAAGGACTCTGGCAGTGGCTTGGTCTCCCCCTGTTCCTGAACCATCTTGATCTTGGTGGTTGGTACGGGTATGGATATGGGTCTGCGGTGGTGGTCAGGCGATGGATTGCGGCAGCTGTAATAAGATAGGTACTTGAATAAGTTGATATCAAGGAAAGTTTATGATGCATATGGGTTTTTCAGAGAGATATGTATAAGAATATTACAAGTTCTTGATCATTTTTCTTTTGTTTAGTAACCAGAAATGTATTTAATATTTAAAAAAAATAAATATATAAGTATAATATCGAATATTCTTCTAAAGAATCCCTAAGGTAATGGTCCTATAGGTCCTAACAAAATAAAATAATAATCCTTTATCTAAAGACCAATGATTCATCCAAATAAATGGGTTTTTTTGTTATTCTTTGAAACCATAGATCATCATAAACCCATTCATTAAAAGCAGATCTATTCAATAAGCTTCTCCACAAAATTAGTTCAAGGTCCCATAGATCTCAAGGCAAACGCCACCGGATCACCACGGATCGCTGTAATTTGCAAATATTTGTTAATTAAAACTCACAAGAGTCGCGTATTTATTAAAACGACCAGCCAAACCAAATGCAAATGGATAATATATATATGAAGTCTTTTTTCTTTTCGGGCGAACTAAAATCTCGAAACCGACGAAATGAAAAAATGTATAAATTATTTTCTCGCCTGGGTTTCTTATTCAGCTCTTTGTTGTCAGCTGGGTTGTATCCATAAAGCCACAAATGCCATTATGGACACACATAAAAGATGGCAAAAAGTCCAAAAAAAAAAATAAATATAAAAAAAAATGCAAAACCTCAGATGCGAATTGGTTCAAGTTCAAAAAAGCGGGTCACCCCATTGGGATATTGAAAATGAAAGATACATATATGTATGTACAAGAGGTAATAATAATTAGCCCTGTACTGGGAGCGGATGCCCAGAAAGAGTTCCACTGTTTGCCAGATTTCGAATGGTTGGTATGGGCTGTGGTGGTTGCATAAGCATCGGTATCGGCGGAGGAAAGCTAATGAACAATGCCCCCGATTGCCAGATTCCAAATGATGATTTGTTTGTGCCGGTCGAGCAAACAAAACTACAATCATGGAATGCACTAACAAGAGTCGAGTCGTCGTGGCCCTATCTCAATATTTGCACATAATTTGTGATCCGATGTGATGGAGCTCAGTCTCAGTCTCTGCCCTTTTGTCTTTTGCCGTAAAAGCCCCACCATGATGATGATCGAACTCCAATTTGAATTCCGTTTTCCCATGACACACAGACATATGCAAATTGGATTCGATTCGTTGCGAACTCTGTGCCATTTAATTGATTTCTTTTTTTTCTCTCGATTTTCGATCAATGTGTGAAATTTGCATTTGTCGGGTCGGTTTTTCAATTTTTATTTTCCAATTTTTTTTTTTCGTTTTTCTCTCAACTGGAAATGCAATTTCGAAAATGTCATTGAGCAACGTACTTCGGGATCCCGCATTCCCTCTCTATCGATGGCCTATCTAGCCCTCTCTTTCACTCAGTTTCAACATGAGGAGCTCGGAGGCTCGGAGTTTGTTGTGGGTTTGCGTGGCTTTTGTGTGGTTAACTGGCCAATAATAATGCAACTGGCGGTGCAATGGTGGTGGCTTATTTGGCAATTCCTCAGCTTTTCAGCTTCAAATATTGTTTTGGCGGATTGATTTGACGAGGGTGGCACATTCATCGTAAAGGTTAACAGGGTTTGAAATTGCTTTTTGATTACAATCTCGGGTTTTGTGGTTTTTATGATGCATTTAATACCACTAGCTATAAAACTTTTGTTTAATTGGAAGGGGTTTTTATCTTTTTTGATTAAAAAATTGAAGATTTTAAGGATTTAAGACAAAATATTTAAAAAAGATTTTCAAAAGAAGGTACTGTTATTGTAATCCATTTCTATTTTCACATACGGGCACACTGTAACACTTACACCCTTTTTGAAATCCCGTCACACGCTGCGTATGAGCAATGCCAAACGCCCGTTTTTGCAATCCTTGACTCAATCGCCTCCTAAAAACACGACTTTGGCTATCTTCTCCTCGCAGATAGATCGAATTCGCAAGATACGCGTTTAAGGTGGAGGAACACGTCCGAACAACGCGACGTCCAAACAACGAATGTTCGGTTAGGAAAACAACGAAACGCTCGGAACAACGGCGAGAAACAAAAATTGTTAAAGAAATTAACTGGATTATATAATGGCCCACGCATACATTGGAAACTTTTGGAGCTACGATGGAGCGCCGGAGCCGAGCTCTAGAGTCGCTGAGCGGGATTCGAATGCAATCTGATCGGTTCGGTTTGTAAATGCTGTTGATGTTGCTGCCGGAGATGCTATTGTTGTTGTTGTTGTTGTTGTTGCTGTTGCTACTGCTGCATGGAACATGGAACAAGTTTTTTTTTTTTTGGACAACCGAAACCGAAAGTGCTACGTCGCTCTAAAGTACACGAACCTTTTTTTTTTTAGCCAGGCCGAGATCCGAGCCTGCTTCCAGCTCCCAGCTCCCAGCTCCCAATCGGCTATCAAAGGTGGCCCATAAAGCATTCAAGAGTTGCTGCTGGTGCTCTCGTTGGGCAATCCCATCCATTCCATCAGTCAGTCAGTCAGTCAGGCGGTCACTTGGGTTGTAAATCAGGTTCGCTAGCGGTTCATTTTCAGTTTTTCTCTCTCTCCTCAATATCATTTTTTTTATATATATCTTTTTTTTTTGCCTTTTCATGCCTATTTCACTCATTAAGTTTATTGAAAAACATTGCTCACGGGGGGAATTGAAAAAAATTTGCATTTTCATGGCCCGAACCGACTTGGCTCTCCATCTCCACATGGCAGTGAAGCGAGAATGGCCACCAACCTTGAAAATGCAATCCCCCGATGATGATGATGCTGTTGCTAATAGCCAAACACCTAATGATCTGCGCTGCTCATGCCGCTCCTCCAGCTCACCTCACCTCACCTGACCACCACCTCCAGATACAGCTCTAGTTTCGATTCAAATCGCAATTTGGACTGCAGTTTATGGCTGGGAAAAGAAAAGCGTTGGCCCCAGATTGTTATGGCTACGGAGAAACTCTCGGAATCTCCAGGGCCGTGACGTGGGCTTGGATACATTTTGACATTTCCCAACCGACAAACGGCGTAGGTCTGGTCCACAAAGTGCCCCAGTGTCAGTCCATTGATACCAGGTACCAGGTGCAATCAATGAGTTGCGATCGTCTGCATGCTAATCTAATGATTCGTTTCCGTTCGCCAGTGGGCGGCGGAGAGGCCCGGGCCCGGGCCCGGAGAGCTCCATCTCCAGGCACGCCCAAAGTGCTAAATAATCATTAGACGGCAGTGTGAAAACGTTTTTGTCCCTTGATTAATGTTGATCTCATTATGAGGCTTTTCTCAATGACATTTTAGTTAATTGATTGCCGGCAGAAGGCCGTCCATTGGAGAGAGGGCTGTGCATTCCCAACCTTGGCATACACCTTGGAAAACAGATTCTGTCCGATTAAAATCGGACGAGATGAAACACTTAAATAATTCCCATATCTTTGAGATTTATGTTTCAAAAACATCATGTGAAAAGTATTTATCGATCTGAAGGATTCATAACTTTATAGGTTTCTCTTTGGTTTGTTTTTGGAGAAGATATAGCGCATCCAAGCGTTTTAACCATTTTTGAAGGAGACCCTCTAAAAAATTTGAAAAAAAATCTAAAAAATAGTTTGTTTGTAGATTTTGATGCAGATTTATAGAAAATCGATCCACAATTCGTTTAAGGTATGCCGCCCAAGAATCGGATGCCATTTGACAAAGATATGGCCATCGCTAGGGGCCATATAGTGGGTCCTTGCATTTTTTGGCATTTTTAAAGAGGGTCATCCAGAAAAATGGACAAAAAATCTAAAAAATAATTTGTTTGTAGATTTTGATGCAGATTTATAGAGAATCGATCCACAATTCGTTTAAGGTATGCCGCTCAAGAATCGGATGCCATTTGACAAAGATATGCCCATCGCTAGGGGCCATATAGTGGGTCCTTGAATTTTTGTGGATTTCGCAGGGGGTCACCCAGAAAAATTGACAAAAAATCTAAAAAATAATTTGTTTGTAGATTTTGATGCAGATTTATAGAGAATCGATCCACAATTCGTTTAAGGTATGCCGCTCAAGAATCGGATGCCATTTGACAAAGATATGCCCATCGCTAGGGGCCATATAGTGGGTCCTTGAATTTTTGTGGATTTCGCAGGGGGTCACCCAGAAAAATTGACAAAAAATCTAAAAAATAATTTGTTTGTAGATTTTGATGCAGATTTATAGAGAATCGATCCACAATTCGTTTAAGGTATGCCGCTCAAGAATCGGATGCCATTTGACAAAGATATAGCCATCGCTGGGACAAAATCCTGTTCTTGACTGTATTATTTTTCGTTGACCCGGTTATTCCCCGATTGCACTGCTAACCTTCGCCATTGTCCCTGACCAGAGACAATGGAGTGACCTACTCCACCTAGCCGGGCCAGGCTGGTGGAGCCACATTTTTTAAACACATCTGTTATGTTGGTAATAGCCGTACTCGCTCCGCCGTGTGCTCGGTGTAATGTGCCCACTCATCGTTGGCACGTTTTTAATTTCTTACTTTTGAGCATTTATTTTTTATTTTTTCGTTTCTCTGCTTCCCGTGGCTTGACGCATAACGAGTTTACTGCCGAGATTCCGATGCCCCAACAGTGGAGTGGAGCTTCAAGCCAAGCCCGAAGCCCGAAGCTCGTCCAATTGCTCCACATCAGCTGGTGGCCGTAAAGATGCCGCCACCTCTCAATGCGAACAATAATAATTTTTAATAAACACATTACATGGCGCAAAGCAGACGAAACAGTTTGCAATTTCGGTTAAACGGGAGGTGGATGGGGGTCTTGTTGGGTAAACTGGCAAGGGGAAATCCTACATATTACACAAAGTCTCAGCCACTGACTGTCTCGACCCACCAGATTTTGTTGTTTCCTCGTTTTGGCTTTATTGCCAGTTTGGTCTTAGCCATAATTAACGAATTAAAGAAATTCAGCAGCATGGCTTAATTATCGTTCCCAAAATGACCCTTGCCTAGCATCCAAATGGTTGTTTATCCATAAATTCTCTTTCGTGGCCGATAGCCATCCGAGATGGTTTCTTGTGCCACCGTAAATGGCCGGGGTCAGGTTTTCAATTGGAAAAATTTGCATACAATTTTTTGGTGATTTACAGAACATAATTTATCATCTTTGCCATTTTAGGGCATCCGTGAGGGGGAAGTATAAACACGGGCTAGGAAATCCATCCATGTGTTTGCCCAATACGCAGTAAATAAACGTAGTTGGGCTGTTGACACTGCCGCATTACACCTGCCCAAGACAAATAAATTATTGGCTTACTTTTGGGCTCTCGAGTACTCAGTATTGCGTCAATGTTGTTAGTTATAATTGCACAAGACAATGTCGCTGCTCTTGAGCCGAGCTCGGAGACTATTGTTATGCCAATACGAATGCCAATTAGTGTAATTGCAGGAGAACGGTAAACTGGGGCTGTTCTGGCCAATTTGTACCTACCTGGGGTCCGATTAGACTTGATTTGACTCCAAATATCGTATATCCGTTTTGCTTTTTTTGAGCGAAACTCGCGAGACTTTTACAAATGCGTCTGATCCGGGCAAAGGTTTAAACTAGAATCAGCCAAAGAGCAGAGTTTAGACTTGGCTTAGAAGCAAAATATTGGTAATCGGTTAGAGCTACCTTATAAGCTTAGTTTTATATTATAGTTTTAAAATAGTTTGATTAAATTTAATAAAATAGTGACATAATAGTATAATTATGACATAGTTCTTCCCATTTGACTATAATACATCTTTTATTTAAGGAATTACATTAAATTTAAGCAAATTATAATAATTCATAAAATAGGGGTTTTTTGAATTCGATAAGCCCCTATTTTTAGGGCCGCCATTGCCTATCGGATTGTGTCTTTGCCTATCGCTAGAAAGGTCACACTGAACTAGGCGGTTCGTTTAAAAGCAACTACTTTATTAAGCTTTCCATACTGTTTCTGCCACATTTATAAATAGCTTCTTAGAAACCAAAGTAACTTTTCTTACGCTAAACATAAAGTTTTTAGCCATTTATTAGTTTTTCGTACATTTAGTTTTCAAATTAAATCATTTAAAAATAGTTTGATTTACAAAAACTAGAAGCTAAATAAAAAAACCGCGACAAGTTCCCCGCGGCACTCATAATGAGATGCTTTCTTTTTTTGCTTGGCGATGCAATGAACAATTTCAGATTATTGCCTTAATTATGATCTGCAAAGTTATTCGGGAGCTACTTAAACGAGAATTAGTACGTAGATATATGTTAAATGAATAATCCGGCATGAATGTGTGGTATGGGTGTGTGTGTCCGCCCGTCTCCTTTTTTGGCGAGTGGCTAGTGGGAGGGAGTGTGTCTCTGTGTCTGTGTTCATTGAGGACATTACCGGAAAGTACCTAAATTATCATTACGGGTTTTATCGCTTATCTACTGCAGATATAGCCTATGATAATCATTGGCGCCAAAGGCGCAGTTGCATTTGGGACACTTCCGCTGGCGCGTCTCGTACCGCGTTCGCAGGCAGTCGTAGCAGAAGACGTGGAAGCACTTTGACAGCACTGCGTCCTTCCGCTTCACCTTGCACGAGGGACATGTCAGCGTCTCCTTGTACTCGCGGATCTCCTCAATCATCACCTCGTCGATCGTGGTGCCGGACATCTCCATCTTCTTCATCCGTTCCGCCTTTCGCTTGAACTGCGCCAGCTCTTCCTGCAATCGCTTGGTTTTGTAGGCTTCGGCCTCCAACGAACTAGTTTTCTCTGCCACCACTTGTTGCGCCTCCTTCATCTGGGCATGGTATTTCTCCAGATGCAGCTTCAGATCGGCCGCCGACTGTGCCGATTCAATCGCCTTGCGTTTGTGCATCTCCATTGCCTGTTGCCGCAGCATCAGCTCCTTCTCAATAGAAGCCACTGTGGCCTGAAGGCTCCGCTCCTTTTCTTCCAGTTTTCGCAGCACAATATGCATTGCTTCGATCTGTGTCGTAGCCGTGGCCATCTGGTCCTCCAGCACCGTCTTCTCTTCGCGCAGCAACTTGTGCAGTTGGTTAGCCTTGATCCGCTCCGACATCAGCTTAAAGTTAGCATCGTCCTTTTCGCGTAGCTGCTGTATTAGACGAGAGTTCTGCTCCTGCATGTCCTCGAACGCTTGGCCGGTCACCTCCATTTCGTTGAGAAGCGCCTCCTCCTCGTGGGAGCCAACAAAGGGTCTTGTATAGTTCGCACCCCCTGGAGCACCGGCGCCCCACGCATTGTCCGACGGTTTGTGATTCGCCATCTGCTTTTGCAGCTCGTATTTCTGCTCCTCCAGCTGCTTGATCTTTCGCAGGGCTTCCTCGTCGGCCAACTTCTTTCGCTCCTCGCGTTTGCTCTCCTGGAGTTTCTTCAGCTGCTGGCGAAGCTCCTCGATCTCGGAGCGTAACTTCTTTTCCGTTGCCATTAGCTGGACCTTGTCGCGCTGGTCCTTGGAGACACCTTTGTACATGTCCAGCAGTAGCTTCATCTCCTTCTGGTCATTTAACGCTTTCCTAAAGATCCACGTTCGATAAAATGTAGTTCTTTTTAATATTGAGAAGAATACTTACTTTAATTGTGCTTTCAGATCTCGCACCGTTTCACTCTCCACAGTCTTAACGTCCTTGGCTTTAACACCATCCTTGGAATCCTTTTCGCTCTTCACTGCCCCTCCCGAACTGGAATTTGTGGCAGTTGTAGCGTTGCCTGGCCCTGGTGAGTCCTTTTTCTCGGTTGTACCGGTCTCGCCAGAACTGAGTTTTTCCTGTTTGATACCATCTTTAATGTCCTTGCTGGCTTCGTCATCCGCATCATCGTCGGCCGAGCCAGAATTCTCCTCCTTGATGGCGAGATTAGTTTCACTGCCGGAATTCGTTTGGTTTGACTGGCTGGATGCGGAGGCATTGTTGGAATTCTCCTCCTTGACGCTAGTGGAATTCTCCTGTTTGATCTCGTCCGCAGCAGACCCTGTCGCCGACTGCAACTTGTTGCCCTCGAGCGTGGCCAGAGCGTCGTCCAGCTCCTTACGTAACTTGACGTTGTCCGTAGAGGTGTCTTTGTACTTCCGCTTGTAGCGCTGCACCTCTCCCTTCAGCTGGCCGTTGTGGTTCTGCAGCGAGGTGATCAGGTGTCGCATCTCACGGTTTATGGGCGCTGTCTGCTCGTTTGCGGCCATGTTCTGTTCGAACTCTATCCTCAGCGCTTCGTACTCCTTCCGAATGAGCGCCAGGACATCCTCCATTTGGATCATTTCGCTGCGAACCTTTTTCTGAGCTATCAGCTCCTCACTCTCCATTACCTCGATTTGCCTCAGGTGTTGATTCTTACTCGTCTGCAGCTGGTTTCGGGTTTCGTCCAGCATCGTTTTGATTTGCATGGACTCGTTATAGAGCACGGAGAATTGGCTCTGCAAGCACTTGTACTCCGTCGTCTCCACAATCACCGATTCTGGCAGTTGCCGTATCTGAAAATATAACAAATATTATTGTTTTGATAGAAATATGTCCTAAAATACTTAATTATATTCAATTTCTTTCTATCCTATCGCCTTTTATGGGCTTCCTGATTCAAACTTACATCCATTTTGAGTTTCTCCACCTCTTTAAGAGTTTCGCGATGCGTGGCATGTAGTTTGTCGAGTTCTTGCAACCGATTATTGGCCAGTTCCCGGTATTCCTCGAGCTCCTTTTGCAACTCCTCCAAGTGTTGGCTATTGACGTTTGTAGTTGTGTTGCCAGTGCCCGTGGTACTAGGAGTTTTGGCGCTGTTGCTACTCTTATTGGGATCTCCGTAGATTTGATGGTAGGCCTTTAGCTTTTCGATAGCTTCGGCCAGATGGTTTTCAAGCTTGTCGTTTCGGCAATGAATCTTCTCCAGGTCGTATTGGAGCTCGTCGATCTGATTCTTCAGCTCGGCGTTCTCCGTCTCCTTAGCAGTGTGGGCGTCCTGGTACTCCTTCATCTTCAGCGACATGGTGTGGAACTTTTCGTGCAGCGATGTGTTTAGATTCTGAAGCTTGTGGTTCTCGCTCATGATTTCAATGTGGGTCTGCTTCAGAGTCTCCTCCAGGGCCTGGACCGCTACGCTTGCAGTGTTTGCCGCCTCGGCATCCCCGCTGGACTGCTGCTGCTCCTCGTCAGTGGCTCCCGAACCGGAACCGGACCCCGCCAAACTATCACCTTTCAATACATGAGTTATCTTCTCGTTGCGTTGCATTAACCTATCAATAACCTGTACGATCTTGGCCACCGCCCTCTTCGACACCTGTACGCGATTGGCCAGCTTCTCGTCCAGCTCCTCTTTGTCCCAAGTGGAGAGCTGAGCCAGAAACGACGTTGTGACCTCGTTTTCGTTCCTGTTTTCCAGCTCATCCGCCGTCTCGGCGTCGAATCGCTGCAACAGGACACGGATGTCCTCGTTCAACTGGTTCCAATACCGATTGACAACATTTAGCACGGCATCGTCCTGCGTCTGCCGCTTCTCCAGCTGCTCGATGCGGTGCCGCAGCTCAGCCTCCGTCCGCATCCGCTGCTCGATGCGCTGGGCCAGTTTCTTGTTTTGAAACTCCAGCACCTTGATGTCCATCTCCTCCAGGGTGGACACTGGCCCAATTAGGTGCGGCTCAAAATGAACCTTCTTTATGGGGGGCTGCCCGGCCGCAGCTGCCGCTACCGCCAAGCAGCTGCTTCCTCCCACGCCGCCACCGCCGGCGCCGCTGGCGTCCTCGGCGCTGCGTTTTGACATCTCTGCACTGAGGAAGATAGAAATAATGTTAAATTGAATCTAAATGATGAAAAATTAGAACCCCTCGCATTATTGATTTGCCATTCGTGGCTGTACTCCATTTTTATCGTGTGCGGTGGCAGAGGTTGCAGCGGAAGCTGCATTTTAACGCACATGCTGACGCCGACCATTTGCTTGGGTGCCTGGAAAAGACGGCGGATCATTGCACTTACCTTAATCTCAGGGTTTTACACTTTTAGCTTAACATTAATAAAGTTTTTCTGTGGGTTTTCTACGTTTTGTCAGGCTTCATTAGTGTGCCCAAAATTTTTTCGTGTGATCGCGCCAAAACGCGTTTAACAGCCGGAAAAGTTTTAGTGCTGTAAAAAACTTTTTTATTTCAGTGTTGCAAAATCCATACAGAATAAGTGGATATTTTTCACTCTTTTCAAATAATTTTGAAAGACTTTGACTTATTTATTAAACATTTTTAGCAGCTTAAAATATACTTATGTTTATCCAAAAATTAATTAATTAGTTAATTCAAAAGGCTCATGTAATATTTTGCCTCAAGAAGTTTTAGCACTACCATACCTATGAAAAAATACCAAAAGTTTCTGTAACTTACCCGGTAAACTCAAAATTTTGCCGTCGTTGATAAAAGTAATGACTAACCTAATATTATCTTGCATAAATGATAATGATTTACCCTCATTTGAATAGAATAAAACTATAAATCTTGGTAACTGGAAATCGAAAGTGAATTTCAATTTATTAAGTAATTTGGGATCGAACACGAAATGCACATACATGCTGCATCTAATTTGATTAATTGTGGCTGACTGCGTGCAGGACGCGAGTGTGACTGCAACTACTGGTGCGAATCTGGGACTGGTACTGGAAATGGTACTGGTGGAGTCGATCTGGTGGCCTAGAAAGTCTGATATTTGAGGGCCTGGCGCAGAGTCATGCAGTCGACTTCATCGATTTTGCAGGTATTTGCCTTAATGTTAATCTCCTCCTCCTGCATCACCTGGACGTGCATCAGGTAGCGCATGGAGGCCTTGTTCTCGTTCAGCTTTTGGTTCAATTTGCAGACCGAGGCCTTCAGAGCCTGCAGCTCGTTGTACAGCGCGTCCTGAACCATATCGCAGGTCAGCTCCAATCCGGGACGGTGGGCGCGATTGCTGAGCCTAGTCTGGCACAGGGTTATGGCCCTCTGCTTGTCCATCATCTCCTTCTCCAGCTCCGTCATGTTGCGCTGCACCTGATGGATGTGGTCCATTGTGTCCTTGTGCTTGTTCTCCAGGCATTGCTTCACGTGCTTCGTCTCGGCGATGCGTCGCTCGAAGGACTCGTTGGTGCGGTCCGTCTGATTCTGCATATCCTCGCAGACCTGCTTCAGGAGCAGGTCGATGTAGGCTCGGAGCTGTCCGGCGGATACCAGAGCCTTGGCATTTGCCTCCAGGTTCTCGTACGTCTGCGCCTGCCACTCAGTCAGAGAGAATTGGCTGGGGGAGGCGGGGTGGTGGACAGGAAAATAAGTAAAAGTCAAGGAGTCATGGAAACCATTGCTCCAAACGGGGGTGGGTCGATTTAGGAGAGTGATAGTTAATCCATAGATTTATGCCATCAGTATTGCCTTGGAAACTTTCGGTTTATTTGGACAGACTGACCTTCCACAATCGACCCACCTCCACTTTAGGAGAATCTTAGACCTACCAGTGCTGCTTGGAGAGATCCTGACCCTTGCCCAAGTCGTGCTGGAACTCCTTTAGCTTCAGATTCTTCTCATCGATGGCCAGCGACTTGTCCTTGGCAGCCAAATCCTGATCAAGGAGATAGATGGCAGCACGCAGCTTACGAATCTGCTCCTCGGCCTCCTTGAGAGCTGCATCTGCCAATCCCTGACAGCCCTTGATCACCTTCAGCTCCCGGCGCAGCGACCGATCCACCTCGTCGTCGCAAAGATCGACACCAATGCGGCCCTCTCTCAGGATTAGGCACTGCTTACATATGGCCAGGGACTTGTCCTTGAGGAACTCGATACAGTTAAGCACCCGATTGCGATAGGTGTTCAGTGCCTCATCCTCCAGAGCGGCTGTCTTCTTTTGGCGATTCAACTCGTCGACTAGAAAGCGGATCTCGCTGGTGCGCTCGCGCATATGGTGTTCCACTTCGCGTTGCCAGTTCTTGGTGGTGTCCTTGGTTTCGTCCACCACCCGCCGCGATTCCCTGGACGAAGAATTCCAATTATGTAATTGACCCTTCACCCTGCACCATCTCACGTTATACTTACTCCACAATTCGTTCAGCCAACTTCTCCTGGTCACATGTGATGCGAAACTTGATCTTGTTGTTATAATCCCAGTCCTCCTCGGAGTAGCGGGGCGGGCACTTGGCCACCGGGCCCAGATGCTTCCCGGCCAGCTGGAGGCCCGTGATGCGGCGCGACTTCAGATTGGGCAACATCTTTCCTTCTTGCGTAAGGAATCAAACAAAAAATATATATATGTATAGGGATTTAAGGAATGTGGAACTGTCGATTCAAAATCTGTACACTCGATTGGAAAATGGATTGCCCCCACCTGGCACACTTCTCGAGCCGAGCGGGGCAGCAAATAATGTGTACCTGGCTGGCTGGCGGCCTGGCTCGGAATCTCAGTCGGAGTCGGAGGAGCGTCGCTGGCGACCTGAGCTCCTTACTGGCTCACTAGCCATCCCCCTCCTGTTCCACGGGCTTCGTTAAATCGATTCATGCTAGGGAATTTACGGTTGCCTAGCGGTATTTATTGTTATGTTGCTTATCCCCCCACCAGAGACCCCCAAGTCCCTACATAGTGGCTCCATCCGGCCGTGTGCATGTGCTTGTCCATTGCGCTTGTGCCGTGTGTCACCTGGCAGTCAGTCCAATTGGGCACACGGAGCTCCGGCCGGAGGAGGTACTTGCCAGCTGCTCCTGCACCTTGCTCCTTGCGGTCCCGTCTTACGGCATGTTTATAAATAGCTTTATGCCGGAGAATTTTTGGGGTGGGGTGGTGGAGTGGGTGGGGTGTCTCCTTGAGGTCCTGGCTCCTCCTTGATCGATTTATGCTAACATACTTTCGCTTTTGCTTTTGCGCCTTTGCATGAGTGACTGCTTTCGTATTTTTTACTTTATTGCAAAGTTTTTGGCATTAATTATGCTAATCAATGGCAGTTGCGTGTCCAAGTATAAGCGACTAAAAATAAAGAACTGTCAATGATTGGATTCGACATTTAAGACGACAGTTTTGAAAGAACTGAAAGGGTTTTGAGGTGATTGAAATAAATCTAGAGGCTTTAATAGGAAAGTATTTAAAGGAGTAGAGTTTTATCTGAATAGTTATCTGATTAGAATAGTTATATTGATAAATAACTGAATAGTTATTTATTTCTTATATATTTTCTAAATTAATCAGGTCAGTTGCTTTCAAGCCCTCTGTTTCCGCAAATAAAACCTTGGCTTACAGTTTGAGAGCCACTGACAAGCCCCCCTTTTTGAAATTCTCCAATAAAACTAATCAGCTTAAAAGCTCCCCAAAGAAAGCTTTCGGTTTAGTTTTTTGTTTTTTTTTTTGTAAAATTAAGTTTTTAATATATTACGATGATACACAATTTGCCATATACATCTTTTTTTTTATATCCACATAGTCGCACTGACCTTACAGCTAAATGATAAAAATGTACAATTTAATTAACTAGGATCTCTTGATGTTGTTGAGGTTACGCTACGGTTTAGGTTTTTTTTTCCTTTTTTTTTTTTTTGGATTTCCGCATATCGTGTCTGGGGTGTCTCGTTTGGCTTCAACGATCTTATAGTATGGCTTATGGCAGCTCGTCCAGAACTCTTATTTTTTTTATCATTTTCGATTTATTTTGGTATGCAATTAGGCCAGGCTTAATTGGCTGTCAACAACTGTGGCGTCGCCCCCCTTTTTTATTTTCGATTTCGTTCTCTTTCTACATAATAACTGTGATTAGGCCAGGTTTAGTATCTTGTTTTTTTTTATGGTTTATTAACAGTGAACTTTGAAATTCTATACTGAGTTTCCTAGTCGGCCCTCATCCAAAATAGGGCTAAGTACAATTAGCTGGACTGTACAGAAGTGTGGGTAGGTAGGTACTGATCCCCGGCCTTGTGCTAAAGGATCTCGGTTTCGGTTTAGGGTTTCAATTGATTAACTTGGCTATCTACGGTTACGAACTGGCTGCCCTTGGTCGTGGCTCTGTTTTAAATTCATTTACTTGCATTTCTTTGTTTTATTGTAGTTTGGTAATTTGTTACTAATTTTATTTTCCTCAGTAGGCAGTGTTTCATCATACTGTGATCTTTTGTTCGTTAGTTACTCTCTCCTGTTGTCTGTTTTTATATTTTTTACATAAATGTTTTTTGTTTTAATTGGCTTTAGCACATTATACTCTTCTGTAGAATCGAAATTATCAAGGCGACGTACACATATCCTTCCACAATTGAAAACAGTTTCGTTTTTTTTGGTTTTCTTCTTACAGATACAAAAAAATGATTGTTTTAATTAAAAAAATACAAAATACATTTAGCATTAAACAAAAAACCAAAAAATAAACATAAAGAAATAAGTATACAATGAAAAGATTTCTAAATATATATATATATATATATATTGATGTATATATGTATTTAAATATTCTGTTTTCCTAATTTCTTGATTTATTTAGTTAATAGTTTTCATTTGTTTCTGTACTTTAGTTGGTAGTTCTTTCATTTAAGTTCTTTATTTGCATCGCTCGCACTTTAGTTTCTTGTAACAAAAATAATTGCTTCTGAGGTATTTATTTTTTTGTTTATATAAATATTTGTTTTTTATACACATAACCGTTATAAGTATTTAGGTTTTAGTCGCTTTCGATTTCATAGTTTTTTTTCTTTTGTGTTTTTATTTCCGTTTCTATTTTTTTTTTTTTTAGTTATCTTGTCTTTTTTTTTTTAACAATTCAAAGCACCTTTTGATTATATTTGACATCGTTTTTATTTTTCTCAAAAAAAAAAGTGTATTTATTGTTCGAATTGAAAACTGAAACGGAAAATAAAGTATTTAAAATTTAAATCATTTTTTAATCTTAGTTCTTCCCCTTAAATGGGTGTTTATCGTTGTGGCAGCGTTTAGCTTCTCAGTACGCGGTATTACATCTTTTTTTAATTTTTAATTTTATTTGTTTTTAATTTGAAAAATCAACTGGAATTGTGGCCAATTCTGGTTAGGGGGGAGGGGGAGGGAGTTGGTTTATTTAATTGGCTATGCGAGCAAGTTGAGCCGCTTTTCCTTTCATCGATCGATCTGGGAAACCTGTTACTTTACACATACATATATATTTATTCTTTTATTTATGTTCTAGTTTAGTTTTTATATTTTACATTTCATTTAAGTTTTTATTGTGTTGGCTACTCTGCAGTTGCTGGTGTCCCTAAAACTAAAGTCCACTCTACACACCTATCGCGAGCCGATAAAAACTTGGAACTGGATCTATAGATGTCTGCCTGGACAAGAAGCAATCAGGATAGGTTGTTCCTTCCTTCAATCAGGGGTTTATGGATTTTAAATAAAAGTAAAACGATATTAGAGTGTTGCGTGTGTACATTTGAACTAAATTGTGTAATCCTTTTCGCCTATATAAACATAAGTGTAAGCATAATATTTATACATAAACATGGATAAATTTTGGAGGTCGGTTCTAGAGGATGCTGCCTCCTGTCATCGCCATCGTTCTATATAGTATAGCTATAGCATATCTTTATCTGGTTGTCGTAGTATCTAGGTTGTATCCAAAAACGAACGCCTCTCTAATGCGTAGCCCAATCATCAATCATCAATCCTCAATCATCATTATCAATCGTTATCATAATCATTCTCATCATCTCACAGCGCGATCCGTGCACGCTGACTTTAACAACAAACAACTCTGCACACAGACGACACCACTGGGTGATCCTGCTCCTGATCCTCATCCTACTCATTCCGTATCCTTAGCCAAGTCCATACTCCACATACGTCATAATAGTAACTGTCAATTTCTGTTTTTTTTTGTTGGGGAGAGAGGGAGAAGTGCTGGGTGGGATGGGTTGTGATGGGAAGTCGCCGTCCAAGAACCCTCCAGGACTTAGACCATCGGCAGGCCCTGCTGCACGTCCATCATCTCGTCCTGCGCCGGCGACGGACGGGGGGCGAACGTCTGCATATGGTGTGTTGGGGGCGTGGCCCGGGCAAACATTCCGGAGCGCAGGGGCTGCGGATGCGGATGGCCGTGCATGGCCATGGGTGCGTTGCTGGCGGACGGGAATTGTAGGCGGAAGCTGCTGTCCGGCAGCTGGCGGGGCGTGCGTCGGGGGGAGCGGGCCGGCATCCGATTCGCCCGATGCATATCCTCCAGTATCGAGGGCGCTACGTAGGTAAATCCCTGCAAAGAAAAGCCTTGATTTAGTTTGCCATTTATTGGAGTGTGACTCGCCCCACCCACATCCCTGACCCACTTGCCCGGTCGTGTGCGATCGGATCGGGCAAGTGCGTCCAGTTTTGCGTTCGATTCCCGACTTGAATACTAATATCGCCAGCCAGTGTACCCGTGGGATTATGCAAGCTCTGACTAGCTGGGCTGAGTGGCTGGCTGAGTGGCTGAGTGGCTCAGCTCCATGTAACACATTTTACATAATTTTTCCAGCCCCGGTGAGGAGAGACATTAATTAAATATATGCCTTGACGAAATCCACCGGCAAATGCAATAAAATAATTAAAAGCACACAACAAAATCAAGCCGCCACCGGCATCGGTCTCTGTGAATTCCCCCCGGCACGGAGGCTGGACACAAATGCGTGACTCCGGAGATAGTAGCTGGCTAGCTGGCTGGCTGGAGGAGGGGGGGTACAAACACCTCACTGCCTGTCACTACCAGGTGAAATGTACGTGAGAGCGCCACTGTGCCACCGCGCTAATTGGAACTGTGATCGAGCCGTGATGACCCACTGAAGCGCCACAATAACTGAAGGTGCGGCTACCGAAGCCCGCGAAGCGTTGAGAAAGTTTCCAGTTATCCGTAATAAAGTTCTAATTGAATCCCAGTTTGGATTATGGAGGAGGTGCTAATTAAAGCCACTTTTCTATCAGATCTTCAGATCTTCTAGCGTGTTGGTTTGGTAAGCATCATTAAGTAATTAGCAATGGAGCTGGATGAGGTAACCAGTGGCTCTGAAACCTATCCAAGAAAGAAGCAAGTTCTTACTTACCCAATTAGGCAATTCAGCCTACTAATCCCATAAAGGCCATATAAACAAAACAAACTTTACACAGCTTACCGGGCCGTAAACCAGCTCAAGGGTCACCTGGCCTGAACCGATTCCATATGTTTGTAAACAAGGCGAGGAGCTGCGCAATTGGCTCCCCATGCAGTGCACTGTTTGGGAAGAAGAAAGAGCATGCCGAGCCGATGAAACCAAAACCGAAACCGAAACCCAAACAACAAACCAAACCAATAGCCAGCCAAGTTGGCTCAGTCTCGCAGAAACGCTCAAAGCGTTCAGACACCAACACGACTCCGACGAACTCGGCCGGTGGTTGTGGCCAGAAAAGAAAACAAGCCCAGCTTGGAGTAACTTTCGTGCCAGCCCGAAACTGTGGAGAAAGGCCTAGAGCACCTCGCTGGCCAGGCGGCGGGTGGCTGAAATACTCTCCAATATATATACAAAATAAACTCGCTTTCCAGCTGCTGACATTGATTCTGGGGCAAAACGTGCAGCGTCATCGGCGGTTCAGGGCTATCGGGATTACAAGTTGTTAACAGTAGCTACCAATAACCTACCAACGAAAGAAAACCAGTTGAAGGGCAACGAGACCAGCTCACCACCAGCTCCAACACAGCAGCGCATGCGTGCACGTGCATAAAAAGAGACTCAAATTTTAACTCAAAGAGAGAGTGCTTTGGACGCGAAAGAAACTGGGACAAGAACGATCATCAGCTGATGTGGCAGTGGCTCTGAAACTGTGAGCGGAAGTCTTCAAGTCCCTGAATGACATTGCATAACCATAAGCACCAAAAATAAAGGCATAAATGCCACAACTAACCACAATAAACGAAAAATGTATAAGAAACCTGTGACAAAATTGGCAAACTGTCCAAAGTGTGTGAAAATAATAACAAAATCGGTAAATAGCGAACGCGATAACACAAAAGCCACGCTTTGTTCGTGACTCGTGGGTAAAAATCCAAGCCAACAACTACAAAAACATAAATAAATAGTTAGCCAAGTAAATAAAAAAAAAACCCCAAAAAGAAAATCATTGCGAGCAAAATTCGTAAAAAATGTCCAAGCTTTTGAAAATAAATTCACTTTCGTTGCTGCACTGCCTGGCGGCGCTGCTTTCGGTGGCAGCGCTGCAGTCTCCACAACAACACCAACAAGTGCAACAACAACAACAATTACTGCCAGCAACTGTTGCAACTACACCAGCCACCAGCCAAGCACCCCCGAGCAACATCAGACCATTGAATGCCACATTGGATGATGGTGTGGCTGCCACTTTCATCGACAACACTAGCAGCAGCAGCAGCAATATCAATAACAACAACAACAACAACGATGCTGCAGCTGCCACCTTTTTTGACCAACAACAACAACAGCAACAAAAACAAACAACTGTGCAATATGCGCAAATAACGGCATTAGATAAAGAAGTAGGTATGCATCAACAAAAACAACAACAATCAGCGGGAAAAACGGGATATTATAAAGCTATACCTCTCATGTCAGTTGTCTAATGGAAAAGTCTTGTAGATCTGTAAGATCTATAGTCTATCTATATTTCAGCATTTATGTAAAAATCTCTCATAAAATATTACTAGAAGACTAGGGAATATCTTTAATAGTATTTGGCATATACCACTCCATACTATGTTTTTATGTTTGAAGATTGGGTCGGGTTAGGTTAAGACGGCTTCCGGTCTTCCCTAAACAAACTTAGACACACATAGACCTTTCTTGGTTCCTTTTGATACCTTATATGGATCAACTTCCCTTTGCCATACTAGGACTTATGGAGTAACATTTTCCCCACCCTAAAGCTTCTGTAAATTGTTGTATCGTATTGGGATCTATTTCTGACACAAAGAATGCTTTCTTTAGAACAAAAAAATGCTTTATAGATATACATATATTTATAACTCATGATCATATATCATTATATCTATAACTCATTATCACTATATCATTATTATTACCATTAGAGAGCATTAGGTTAAAGTCTTATATATGTATGTTTTATCTACCTAGTATATGGCCATTTATTAAAATCATTAACGTTTATAGCTCATTATAAATTTTATTATTACAATTAAAGAACATTAGTTTAGACTCTTTACTTTATAGACTTATAGATGTTTTATCTACCTAGTATATGACCTGGACTAACATTACTCCCTATAATATTTTCAAAAAATGGAAGAGGAATACTACATTCTACTTCTTCATCCTAAGATTAAATATATAAACAAGAAAGGAAAGCTAACTTCGGGCGGAGCCGAAGTTTATATACCCTTGCAGTTAAAACCGGATATATATCGCAAACATCGGATATAGTTGGCCGATCCTTATGGGAATAGGAATATATAATCCAATTTATTTCAATACAAAATCTAAAAAAAGTCCCAAACTTCTATCTTCAAAAATACGAAAGTTGATATTTCTACCAAATACCATTTCCGATCGTTCAGTTATATGGCAGCTATGGGATATAGTCGGCCGATCCTAATGAAATTTGGTAGGTTGGATCAACTGGCCAAAAATATAATCTGTATTCAGTTTTAGCTTTCTATCTTCAAAAACACGAAAGTTGGGTCATTTCCGATCGTTCAGTTATATGGCAGCTATAGGATATAGTCGGCCGATTCTTATGAAATTTTGCATGACGTAATGTTTTGCCAAAAATAGCTCACATGTCAAATTTGAACTCTCTAACTCTAAAAACACCAAAGTTATACCATTTCCGATCAATCAGTTATATGGCAGCTATAGGATATAGTCGGCCGATCCCGGTCGTTCCGACTTATATACTGCGTGCAAAGGAAAGAAGGGTGTGTGCAAAGTTTCAAGACGATAGCTTTAAAACTGAGAGACTAGTTCGCGTAGAAACAGACAGACAGACAGACGGACAGACGGACAGACGGACATGCTCATATCAACTCAGGAGGTGATCCTGATCAAGAATATATATACTTTATAGGGTCGGAGATGTCTCCTTCACTGCGTTGCACACTTTTGGACAAAATTATAATACCCTCTGCAAGGGTATAAAAAGAAAGAGGAATACCACACCATACCTCATAAGATTAAAAATACCATACTATATTCCTACAAAGATTAGAAACCAAAAAAAGAAAGAGGAATACTATACCATTCCTTACTATGATATATAAGATTAAATATATTAAGATTAGAAACCATTATTTTAAAGAAAGACAATAATGATTAACATTAATAGCTTATTTCAAATTCTATCATTATTAGAATTATAAGAAATTAGGGTTTCCCTTTTAAAGCCACAAATATTAACCAAGATACAGTGATAAGTTCCAAGCAAAGGCATCATTTGTTTCTTTATTATAAAGCCCAGTAATACTTTCAAGAACCTAATACCTTAACACCTCATAATTAAGGGCAGGGTTATTAAGCTTTCCTTCACTTCACCTTTTTTTATATTCACGAGCAAGTGAAATTTCCGTGACGATTTAGTTGAACGACTTCATGGCTTGGCACTCACTTAGAGTCGGGGAGTCGCCTCACCGCCTCATCGGGCGGGTCTTCGGGAGGGGTCTTGGCCATCCAGTGCGTATTTATGTGGAACAGAGGTAGGTAGTCAGTCAGGCAGGCAGTCAGCTCACCTCGGGTGGCGTTAAATTTTGCGAATTAGCCACAACAAACTACACTGCTAACGACTGCTACCGTTACTGGCTGCTACTCTTTGTCGGTTCGGCAGGTGGGCCGAGTGGGGGCCACCACCTAGCCGGCAAGTGGTCTTCATAGCCCCGCTTCGAGTGTGAAAGTGAAATTTATAACACTTGAAATTTGAAAACGAAAATCAGAGCTGGTCTAGAGCGGAATTGGGGGCCATTGGCCGAGCAGTGGCTTGGGTTGGGTAACCATCTCCACCGGGCTGTTAATTGCACTAATTACCCACTATCTTTCCGATCTTGCAGTGGAGCGGCTGATCAAGCAATGGGCGCCCATCGTTTGGCTGGCGCCCGAGGAGAAGTTCATGCCGCTGGGCGTCGAGGAGTTCCTGCAGCATGTCCATCCGATGGACAAGGACAGCGGCAGCTTCCGGCCCGGTGTTCCCTTCAGCGAGTACTCGACCAAGTCGCATCTGGTGACGAACGACGAGGTCCAGGAACTGCTGGAGAATGAACAGTCCTTCATTTACGGACGGAATCCCAACGAGAAACCCGTGCCCATATATGGAGTGGTTAGCCTCTGCCCGCCGAAACGGGATTTTATGAACCCAGTCCCGACTCCGCCGCTGGCCAGCACCCGAGGCCCCTACATACCGGTGTCCATTGATCCGCTGGAGGATCGGAACGACACGGTGCGGAGGTCCTCGCGCCTGTATCCACTCTTCCAGAGGGTGAAGCGTGAGGCACCCATGTACAGTCCCCCCCTCAACGAGTACGAGGAGCTGGTAGTAGCGGAGACCACCCCCAGGCCTCAGCCGGAGAAGGATCTGGAGCAAGAGCCGGACAGCAGCGTTCCAGTCAACAATTTCATCGCCAATCTGGCGGACAATGTCAAGTTCAGTGGAGGATCCGACCTGGACGACAATCTGGAGGAGAACAGCATCGGCGAGACGCCAGAGCAGGAGGTTAATGGTGGCAAGGGCAAGCTTCCAGGCTTCCATGTCACCTACTGGATGTTCTATCCCTACAGCCAGGGCAAGACCATGTGCACCGTCAGTCTGGGCCCGCTGGGAAGGATTCCCTTTCCGGCTGTATATGGTTACTGTCTCGGGAATCGCAAGGACATAGGCAGCCATGTCGGCGACTGGGAGCACATGAGTTTGTACTTCAACGGAGACTCCGAGCCCCAAGCCATGTATGTCTCGGCCCATGATGCGGGAGCCTTCTACAGTTACAACCGCCTGACGGGCTCCTTTGAGTTCCGCCGGCAGGAGACGCGCAAGGGCATCCTGCAGCGCCCCAACTTCCCCAAGACGGTGACAACTTTCAAGAACCATCCGGTTCTGTTTGCCGCCAAGGGCTCTCATGGTCTGTGGACAGCTCCTGGAAAGCATCGATTCGTCAAGGTGGCTCGTTTGTACGACATAAACGGATTCGGAACACCCTGGAATACTTGGAAGGCGGTGGACATAAGCTACGAGAACCTGAGGTCCTACGGTGAGTACTGATACTGGTGGTACTCCTGCTAGAATATCCTTATTATAATATCCCTTCTTCAAAAGGACGATCACTGGTGCCCGACTGGCTCACGTATCGCGGCAAGTGGGGCAACCCCAAGAGCAAGTGTCATCCCTTCCGGCGGATCGGATTGAACTTCTGCGAGTTTACGGACGGACCTACGGGCATACCCCTTAAGGAGCCCCACTTCCAATGCGGTGCCGACTATCGCTGAGTATTCCAGAAGGCCGAGACATCCCTCTCCTAGGCTTAGACTAATCTTTAGTAAAGTATTTATTGTGAAATCCACCCAAAAATGAAGCAACTATGACCACTTATCCCCCGGGAGGATTATACTTACTTGGAAAATAAGATTGGCACTTTCGCTCAGCGTTGTATCGTCCGGCGAGTCAACGGGGATCTGTCTTGTGAATCTCGTGTCGAACTGTGAGACATCGTCCTCGCTTCGCTGTAGGATCAGAGGCATACATAAGGAATGAGTATATATAATCCATAAGCTCCATTAAGGACCTACCAAGAGCGGTTTTATGGGCGGTTCGAGGCGTCGGGCCAAGACATCGTCCCAGTTGACGTGCTTGAAGAATGGATGTATTTGCACAGCCGCCGCATCCTCGGGACCGCTGCCCAGGCGCTGTGGCTCCTGGCGCTTCATCAGACGACGCACCAGATCCCTGGCTTCGGGCGTGAGGTAGGCTGGCAGATTGAGCTTGGCTTTTAAAATGGTTTCGATGGTCTTCTTTCGGTTCTCGGCGGTAAACGGTGGCTGTTAAGATTAAGAAGTCATTAATGGGATATCTTATACATCCGGATGTCTACGTACCACTCCAGTTAGCATGTCAAACATAAGAGCACCCAAGGACCACCAGTCCACTGCTTTGCCATGGCCACTTCTGGTGAGGATTTCAGGGGCCCTGCATAACAAAATGAACCAAAATTAGCATAAAATTCTGATAATAAGACAAGGAATCATAGTAGGCTTGCGGGCGCACGCACATGTACTCAATTGTGCCGCAGAAGGTGTGGGTGACAATACCCTCTTGGATGTGCTCCTTGCACAGACCGAAGTCGGTTAGTTTGACGTGCCCCTGGGCGTCCAGGAGTATGTTTTCGGGCTTAAGATCCCGATAAATGATGCCCAGTTTGTGTAAGTGGCCCAGGGCCAAGATGATCTCGCTCAGGTAGAAGCTATCGAAGGGCAGAAGGACTTTAGTCTTTGGATTCTTTAGAGAACTCTCTAGAATAACTACCATGTGGTGTCCTCCAGAAATATTCCCTCGCGTTCCAAATGCATAAACAGCTCCCCACCGCTCAGATATTCAAGTATAAGATACAGTTTCCCATCTGTCTGGAAGGCATAGACCAACTCTACTATGAACGGGTGCTGGAGGGGATTAGAAAGAAATTTTAATTGGGATTTAGAGAGGATATAGCTCTTCCTCGCACCTTTACTGCCTCGAGTATGTTGCGCTCGGCACGTGTGTGCGCCGTGTCCTTTTGGTTGGTCACAATCGATGCCTTCTTGAGAACCTTCATGGCAAAATATTTGTTGGCATCTCGTCCAGCGGTCTTGCGCACCTGAAGCGATATATTGTGTGAGCAACCAGCAGATCATGGATGATGGATGGACTCACCTGAAATACTTTGCCATAGCCACCTTTGCCGAGGACCTTCTTGAGCTCAAAGTCCTTGGGTCCAAGCTTGAGCTTGCCGGGATTAACATTCTCCTCGGAAAGCTGTATGGTCTCCTGGCCTTCATTGCTGATTAGGGAATACCAGGGTTAGGGTTAGGGTTAGGGTTTGGGTTTGGGGATTGATTTAATTGTGTTGTCTTCTAGCGTGGGAAAGGAGCAGCCCACATGCTATAAATAAACGCCATGGCCTGCACGCGCCAATCGTCACCTCTCATTCATCCTACCCCTACCCTAGCCACCTGCCCACCGACCTACCTCTTCCCCCATTATTGCTGTCGAGTGTTTGCCGTCGAGTCTTGTTTACATACCGAACTAGCTGGCTCATTGAAGAGGCGGCAGGCCAGGCCAGGCCAGTCAGCTCGTTGGTAGTCAATAGCAGTTGTAAACACTTCTGTATGTCCCGCCGTCTGTCCAGGTCCGTTATCATCGCGTCTGGCCGGGATCAGATTCAGATTCCGAGCCGAATCAATCAGATGTTACCCAGTTCCCAGTTCCCACTTCCCCCAGTGAGTAAACAAGTTATTCTCCCAACTGATAATTGGCCATTAGGCTGCTTATCGACTCTCCAGCTCGGAGAGGAAGTCCAGTTAAGCCCGCCCCTCATGGATCTTATCAAACCCGCATTCTCCGAAAAAAATCACAGTCACGTCCTCCTCCTCCTCCGCCTCCTCCTCCTTTCCCAGCGAAAAGAAACTACAAGACGGCATAACTACGGCATTACTCACTCTTGGTGCAGATTAATACACAATTCCGGTTCTAGGTCAACCTGTAACGAGAAAGAGACAAGAAATATGGTGTGAATGAGAGGGAGCTTGGAGCTTGGGGCAAGCATAACTGCCAGCGAAAAAAAAATCAACAATTAATCATAGTTATTAGGAACTTGCGTCGAAATGGCAGAAGGGAAAGTTACACAGCAGCAGGCGACAGCAACGAAGATGCAATGCTCTTGGTCTGGCTCTTGAGATGAAGACTAGGATGGTTACATGCTTCTCCACCATTCGGTGTTGGCCCAAGTTCATTCAGCTGAATGAGATTCCAATGAATGATCCGCAAGATCGCCTCGGGAGAGATAGGGGGAAGTCTTGCGGTGTTGGAGTCTGTGCCTCAATTTCTCCCTCCTAGGAAATGGCCACAGATAGACTGAGTAAGAGAGGAGGAGCTCCTACCCAGAGGCATATACACACGCACACACACCTTGTCTTTAATGACAGAACTAAATTTAGAACTCGGAACAATGCCAAATAATCTGCCGGCAATGCTTTGGCTCTGCTAGCTGCTGGCTGCTGGCAGCTCCTCCCCCTCCCGGACGCTGTTGCTCCACAGTTAGGCGGCGCGGAAGGCCACAGTTAGGAGGCGGAAGATGTCGGGCGGGAGAGGTGGATAGAATCGCCAGCCGCCGTCGCTCTCGTCATGCTTAAAATGTATATAGAATATTTTTTTTGACTAAAGTTCAATTGAACGGCGGTGGTAGTGGCGGCGTCTCGGCACCTCAGACCCCAGTATCGCCGGCGTAGCACATTAAAAACTGGTTCACCTCGTCAGCGTTGGCGGTGAATTCCAATTAACGAATCCATCATAATTTATAGCGCTCACACGAATCCAATAGATGGGGTTATGGATATGGGGCTATAGCCATGGCTGGGCCGATAGTGCGCTCCCACTGCCAGGAGGGGAGTGCGCGCTTGCGTAAATTACAAATGACAGGGCGTCGAATAGGGGGACCGATATGATAAGAATAGAAGGGGGGTTCCTTTCCAGAAATCTACCCTCTTTTTTAGATGGAAATCTTAAGGAAGTTGTACTGTATTTACATTTGGGGTTTGGAGAACCCTAACATGTCCAAATAGACACGATCGATCGATATTCAGTCCACCTTTCGAATCGAATTTCGAGTTTTTGTTGTGGCTTCTTATCAGCATTATAAGGTTTTTCTCATTTTCTAATTTTATATTGTTCGCTGATAAGGAATTTCGTTTTCTAAGTGGAACTTTTGCCTCTTCCGAGGGTGCGCGAGCGTGTGTGGCTGACTATCTTGATCGCTCTCCCGACCGTTCTTCCAACAGTTCCTCCACCTCCACTATTACTGCACTTCAAGGTGGAAAATGTGGCTACGAAACGAACGAGTAATTACTGCTGATTAGTTTGAAGGACACTGACTCTTCGATTGCCTAACACCTACGATTCCATCATCATGATCATCATAAGGAGGCATCGTGGATCGTGGCCGGAGGGCAACAAATTTTTCGTACAAATGACTGCACTTTTGCTTCATAATACTGTAGTAGGCTGGAAGCCGCGATGACGCCAGACTTTTGCGCAGCAGATAAGCCGCGTTCCACTGCCACTGACATTGTGGATGGCGATGCTGTTGGCTGTTGGCTGATGGGTGGTGAAAGGGAGTGAGAGTGGGCATGGGCATGGGTATGGGATGCCCAGACGTCAGCCGCCACCAGGAAAAGTCGCAGACAAAGCGCAAAAGGTAAACAAAGAGGGAAAAATGCTACTGCTGCTGCTACTGCTCTGTTGCTGCTACAGCTTTCGATGGTGTGGGTGAAATTGTTGCTGCGCAGTTGCTGCGGCAGGGATATCTTACGTCGTCCAGCTCGATCCTGTCGTCGTCCGAGTCATGGGCCTTGTCGTCTTCGTGCAGCTCCAAGTCGAAGAGCTCGCTGGGATCGCTCACGTCCGCCATTTGGTCGATGTATGAGTGTGTCTCTGGATGGGATGCCCGGGTGGATTTGGTACGCAGTCAGCAGTCTGCTGCTAGGCTGCCAGGTGCTGATTTGTGTGCTTCTTTTTTGGAGGCTGGTGGCCTGGTGGCTGGGGGGGGCGGCGACAGCACGGTACACGCGGAAACGATTCGATGCCTGCGCTGCGCTGCGCGTTATATTCTAGTTTGTTGGAACAGGCGGGGGCAGCTTTCGTGGCCCCGAAGGTTATTGTTTATTAGTTAATGGCAATACAAATACACACACACGCTGGCACACGCACTTGTGCCGCACTGCGAGACACTGCGAGAAATGCTCGGCCCACGCGCGCCCTGCTATTTTTCGACTGTCCGACGTTCGTCAAATACGCAATAATCCGCGACCGTCTAATCGCAATGCAGTAATCAGTAATTAAAATGCACTTTTTCTTTGTTTGCGAGTGAACACGAGGTGATGTGCCAGAGTGGCCAGGCTGTAGCACTAAAAATGTGATGTGATGCGCTTACGTTGTGGTAATATTAAGTACTATTCGAACTTTCTAGATTTATTTTAATCGAACTTTACAAAGGTTACTGATTTGTATTTATTATTCTTAAATCATTATATTATATTTACAATTAAATTAGTTTGATATCATCTCTTATTTTTATCAGCAAAATAAAATATCTCTTCGTTTTGGTATTTTCTGACTCAACCTGGTCACACTCACCCACCCATACCTTAATAGCACGCGCTAGATCAACAAAGACCCCCTTTAATCCTCGATTTGTATACCAGTTACTGCCATTTAAATCAGTTGAATCATGTGCACCGGCTCTCCCAGCAGCAATGGATCCCAGTCGGAGGAGAGCAGCACTCCAGAGCAGCAACAGCAGACGGAACCGGACACTGAAAGGCAGGGGGAACAGCTGCTTCGAACACCCACGCGTGCAGTCGTGGCGGCTGCCACGGCGGAGGACATTCTAGCCGAGTACGGGAGCAACCTGAAGCTGCTAGAGTGCAATCCACAGGTGGCCGAGCTGCTGACCATCATTCGCGACAAGTAGGTGGCTCCTAAAGTGGGTCGTATCTTGTGCAATATCGAATCTTCCTGCAGGAACACCACACGCAGCGACTTCAAGTTCTATGCCGACCGTCTGATCCGCCTGGTTATCGAGGAGTCGCTTAACCAGCTGCCCTATACCCACTGCGACGTGGAGACTCCCACAGGTGCCATCTACGAGGGCCTGAAGTACCGCTCCGGAAACTGTGGAGTGTCCATCATTCGCTCCGGAGAGGCCATGGAGCAGGGTCTGCGCGACTGCTGCCGGTCGATACGCATTGGCAAGATCCTGGTCGAGTCAGATGCCAATACCCATGAGGCGCGTGTTGTGTACGCTCGCTTCCCGGACGACATTGGCAGCAGGCAAGTCCTGCTGATGTATCCAATTATGTCCACCGGGAACACTGTGCTGCAGGCAGTGAACGTACTGCGGGAACACGGTGTTCCCGAGAACTGCATTATCCTGTCGAATCTGTTCTGTACGCCGGTGGCTGCCCGTACTGTTGTTCAGGCGTTCCCGAAGCTAAAGATCCTAACCTCCGAGCTGCACCCGGTGGCTCCCAATCACTTTGGACAGAAATACTTCGGTACAGACTAGATGATAGGCAAAGTCGGCGAATACTTGACGACTAAGCGCTGCTTAGGATAGGTAGCTCCCAGTACGCCCTCCAACCTACACTTCGCTCCACTAACGGCTGCTCCTCTCTCTGTCCGCAGATGGCATTTGAAGCGACGTCCGGCGACGATCTACCAAACTACTATAGAAACTGTTAGCTTTTCACAAAACTGGCTTTTAATGCAACTCTCAATTACGTTACGTTGGTTACCCACTATTTGTAAATATAGAAAATGAATAAATATTTAAAAGAATTAAAATCAAAATCAAAGCTTGAGCTAAGTGCTCATCTTATAGTTAACAACGGTGTCCACCTTGTGGAGACCGGTCGAGAAGGAGCGTAACTGCACTGCCTGTGCGTTCTGGATGACAATGGCTCCCGTTTCGTCCCATTTGGCCGGAAGCTCTGTGTTTTGAAGTGTATGGATCATCACGTCGAAGGTGCAGATGCAGTCGAGTAGTGGAAGATAACTGACGGTGGCCGAAATCTGCCTCATTACATCTCGAATTTCGTTCTGGATGCGACTCAACTCCTTTGTGCTAGTGAACTTTGTGGCATCACTAGTGTCGCCATCGCCCAGCTCGGCCTGCATTTTAAAGTCCCAACATTCAAGTACCTCCTTGGAATGGGCGTTTGTGATGACCATGGAGATCTTGTTGATCATGTTCTTAGAAAGCCACTCTGGAAATTACAGTATGATTGTGGATGCACTTTCCCTCAAATTTAACCCTTCTTTACCTTCGGTTTGGCTCAAAACATTTTGTAGGAATGTTGTGATTTTAGGGTCCTTGGACATGAGAATTGTCAGTCCATACTGCTGGGTGTTGTCAAAGTCTTCCGCGGGATAAATGCCGCGTTGGAACAGTATCGAATTGATTCCATACTCTACAAAATTTATTTAAATAAAAAACAACAAAGGAGACGCCATTGGAGGCGGGCTTGCAGACTTCGATGGCTACTCACTAAGGTATTCCACAATTATCTGCGCGGAGCCCTTAAGGGTTATGCAGTTCTTTGTTGCTTGAGCCGTTGACATCTTGATTAAAGGAAAAACAGTCTTTAATTTTTGGAAATTTGCATACAAAATTTGCGAAAACTGCCGCTATTTTTGAAAGCTGATGAAGTTGTTAGGGGTGTGAGAAATACTGATGTATCGAACTATCGATTGTCTTGGGCCCGCTCAAGACCTTTGGCAGGTTTTGTATATACTAAAACAATGGATAAAAATACTAAATGTGTCATCACTAATTGTTTACCAGTGCTGCCAGATCAACAAGATTGCCCGCCAATTTAAATATTAAATTGGACCGTTAAATTTTACTTTTAACAAAATGCAAATAACAGCCAAACTCGAGAAGAAAAACACCCAAAACATTAATTACAACAAATTCTGTTTTTATTGGCCATCTTCTTGTGATCTAAAACTAATCATGAGATCCATTTTTCCGCTCAAACATATTTCCGCAGGGCTCGGCTAATCGAGAATCCTCAAGTCCATGGGGGGTTGAAGAGACCGCCTGTTAAGAGACCAAACGACACATTCATTTATCCAGAATATTCTCAGATAAAGAAAAATAGACTAAGCCGAAACCGGGCTCGGTTCGTTAGAGCTTTGGTTTGCTGTAATATTTGTATTTTGAGTTGGAAAATTATCGGCAAAAGCAAAGGAGGGAAAACCAAAGTCGGGTATCCACCAAAATCAATCAATTAAACGAAGTAGAAGAAGCCACAGAAGATTGAGAATAGAAAATCAGACCAAATCAAAAAGCAATCGGTTTTGTAAAATGTGAATTATTTGCAAGTTTTTAATTAAATTTTTTCTTACGCATCGTTTTGTTTGTTTTTGTTTTTTTTTTTTCGTTTTTGTTTGTTTAATGTTTTTGTTTTTAAATTAGAATTAAACTTTACATGGTATTTTTGGTATAAATCTTTCAATAATTAAATATATAAAAAATTTGCCACTTAAAATAATTAAAAATAATCTCTTCGCATCCTCACTTCCTCATCTTTATGCCTAGCCATACAAACTGATGTCAACATACACATTGCGAAAAAATAACTAAATTTGCATTTTACATATTTCAGTGCTAAAATTACGCAAATCATAAACGAGGACAAATAATATAGTATTTCGAAATTAAGTAGCTTTATAGTTTGTGTTTTGTGTGTGGGTACTTTTGGGGTGTTGTGTTGTTTGTTGTGTGTGGTGTGTGTTGTGCGTGGGCTTAGAGCTAAAGTTACGTTTAATTTAGGTGTAATTAAATACAATAAATTAAGGTTAAAGAAGGGCTTGCATTAACTTAGTTTGAAATGTACACAAAACTTATAGTTAGTTAAATCGATAGATATTTACAGGATTTATTACAAAGTTCTCGGCTACGTCAACCTTTGTTCTCATTTATATAAGTATATGTCTATGATACAACAACAAAAGCGCAACAGTGTCAGTGTCAGGGTCGAATCGGTAATGTTTATTCTCACTTTTATATCCTTTATATAATATATATATTTTTTTTGTTTGGATTTTTTACATTTTAAATATTCTGTCACCGTGCACAAAAACAAACGTTGCTAAAGTCAGTCTGGATCTGGAACTTTTCGCTTGGGGGGTAGAAGAAGGAACTCTGAACTCTGGGATTTTGGAAACATTGCGAATTTTGAAATGTTTTCTATTTTGGATACGTTTTTTTTTTCTTTTCATTTTGTAGTTGCAATTTTTGGAGAACGGTGATGGGATTTTGGTCTGCTGGTGCAACAAATTCTCTAATTTTTTAATATCGTAAAAAATTACAATTGTCGACGTTTTTTTGTTTTTATTTTTGAGTGCAGGGAAATCAATTTTTGTTTTTCGTTTTGTTTATAAAATCATAAAAATAATAAAACAAAATTCTATGCATTAATAGTCGTTATTTAAGGTATGTATTTGGCCGTAGATTACAAAATATCTGTGAAGAGATTAAATTATAAATAAAATTAAAAATTAATCTTCCAGTTTGTTGTTGTTTTTTTTTTTACTTTTAACTAAAAGCTGGCTAAAAAACCATTTCCACAAAAAGGGGGCAACTACAAGCATCAAAGTGCGCTCTCGAATAAAAGAATTCCATGCAGAGGATTTGTTTAGAAAGAAGCTTTTTGGCAAGAAAAGTTTTGAAAATAATTTTAAAAACTATCCTTAGCTTGGAATTTTTGTTGTTTTGATTTTGTAAGGAGACGAGCACAAATGAAGGAAGTAATAGTGAACAGAGTTACCCAAAATCGGAAACGCAAGAGAGATTAGTCAAAAGAAAAAATACATAAAAAAAAACAATCACCAATTAAAAGTAAACAAGGAGCAATATGAAATTGTTGGTTTTTGATTGATTTGAAAATAGGGTTCTTTACGGTGTTTTTTTTTTTTAATTTTATTTTGGTTTTGTCAAATCTACAGCCAATGGTTAATATCTAATAACGAGTAAGAACTAAAATTAATCGCAAATCATAAGAGTAATAATTGTTATTCGTTGTTGATAGTATTAAATGTTGGTTCCGGTTTGTTTAATATTTGCAAACTACAAAAATTACATCGAAAACAAAACAAAATTCAGTTCCAATATCCGTATCGATTGTTTAGTCAGTACATTGCCTTTTGTGGGTGAGTGTGTTGTTGCAAATGTTTATGCGTGTGTTTATTCGTGTATCTAACTTAAGAGAGCCTCTGTTGATTGTTATCGTTAATCGTGATATTCATATTTTGTGTATATATGTAGGTTTGTGTTGAGTAAACGTGGGCTGAGCCAATTGAACGATTCGACAAGTTAATCAGTACATTTTTCCAGGATTTCAAAAAATCTGTGTCCGCCTGTCCGTCTGTCCGTTGGTCCTGTAGGTCCTTTATGTTCGTATGTCCAGAAGTTGCTTAATAATTTTGTTTTGTTTTGCTGTTTTTTTTTTATTTTTTACATTTACTTGTTGGTGTGGTGTGGTGTAGTGTGTGTGTGATGAGTGAGTTTGAAATTAAATTAGGTTCCTATTTAAAAACTATTTAAAATAAACCTTCTATAGCACCCTTTGTTTTTATTCGTATTTATTTGATTATACTCGATTTTAATGATTTAGATTACAAAATAATAAATATTATGAACAACTTGTGTTAGTTATTTATTTTTTTGCTTACTCTTTGTTGTTGTTTTTAAGACTTTACTTTGTTTCTTTTTGGAATGTGTTCTCTAATAAAACTTTTAGTTCTGACAGCAAGGTATGATGGAGTGTGATAGAGGTTTGGATATATAGGTTTGGGGGGTATAGCTTTTGTTTCTTTTATTTAATTCTGTTGTGGTTCCGATTCTGCATACTGTATTTGTACTTTTTGTGTATGTGTATGTGTGTGTATGGTATCTGTGTGTATTGCAATTATTAACTATATTTGGTTTATTTCACTTTCTATTTATTTTTTTTAACGTTTTTTTAGGTAAGCTTCTTTGTGGAAGGATATCTGTGAAATGTGCAATAGGGAATTTCCTTGGTTTCTGTTTTTTTTTTTATTTTATATTTATTTATTTTTTTTTTGTTTCTTTCCTCTCTCTTTTTTTTAAATAGTTTAGTTTAGTTTATTATATTTTATTCATTATTTTGGTATGGGCACTGAGTTCGGTTCGTTTCGGTTTTTGTGGTTAACTCGCGACTGATTCGACGTAAAACAATCGATGCTATAGAAGTGCCTATTTTAGCAGTAATAACCTCCTTTAAAATCCCCAACACAAGGCTGGGGATTATTATTGCTGTACCTACTGTCGGGCATACTGTTCTCGCAACGTCTGCCAAAGAAATTGTTCGCGCAACTGAAAGAATATCAAAAAATAGGTTGGTAGGCTTGCATTAGTACACCAAATATTTAATATATAATATATTTTATAAACAAATATTATTCATATACATGTGTCTATATAGAAAAAAAGGAGAATGGCAGTGAAATGGCCATGAACTGCGGTGCTGCAGTTCGCATGACCACTTCAAAATATAAACAAAAAAAAAGAACAAACAAATTAGCCGTGCGGCATGAAAGAAATTTTAGCGAAAAGGGAAAGTGGGTGCTGGCTGGCGGGTAGCTGGCTGGGATGTGGCTAAGACATAGGCAGCGGACGCTCTCAGTTTATGGCTTCGAAATTACCAGATTTTTCCCACTTTCCCACAAAAAAAAGTAAAAAGTAAAGAAAATCCATCGCAAGGGTAGGGAGAAGAGTGAAATGCGCTTTTTTTGGGATACCACTCTGGATCGAATGGAATCGAATTGGCGTGCGTGTGCCCACTCACACACTCGGCAACTCAAACACCCAAATAAACGGAGGCGCTGAAAGACATTATTCACATGGCACACCCACACCGATGCAAGCGAGTGCGCCTTTGTGGAGTTCGCACTCATACAGGCACACATTGTATATGTGTGTACTCCCCTTGTTTCCCTTTTCCCAGGCATGTAATGCGATGCCAAAATATTAAAAGTTCTTAAGGCATATCTCCCTTAAGATGGACGTTTGGATAGGTGACGACTTTTAGTCGACTTCAGGATCAAAAATCATAAAGAAATAGTGGGTAGTGCTGATTTTCTTAACTCAATTCTTTAATTAGGGCATGTTTCGGTTTATAATTGCCTTCCAAGGACATAATTTTCGTCACAAAACTTTTACATTTTTTACTTGAAAGTGCCTTTGTCACCATGTCAGAGTTCTCTTGAGTTTAGAAGGCACCTCGAACGGGGGAGAGGTCTGATAAGACTGTCATCTGAGAGGTTTATCAAGAGGCTAGCCACTTGAGTTTCGAAATCAGTTTTTGAAAAACAGGCGACGATTTGTGACAGGATGTTCGAGAAGAGCAAAAGAAGATCTAGTTTCGTTTATCATATAGACACAGAAATGAAGGAAATTTAAGAATAAGAATAAAGCCTTAATACTCACTTGCAAAAGTATTCTCCCAGATCCGGTAGGAACGTACAAGTGCCATTGTGGAAGCAATAATCGATATTATCGCAAGGTACACCCATACTAGGAGGTTCCGCTCGAACGATAACTGAAAGATAATCGAATTAGTATGATTTAAACATAAAGTTTTTATTTATATACAATTTTATACATTTTCTGTATAAAATTCATATTGCTGGCACGCAGGTCGCCTTCAAACGGCCCCCCCATTAGATCATAAATTAGAAATGAATTGGAGCATTCGGAATTGGCCGGCGACTTGGTGGTTGCAACATCAGAAGACACCCACGGATTACGTGGACGGGGGTCGACTCACCTGGTTCGGCGTTGATCATGATGCGGCGCTTGATGATCGCCTTGGAGGCTTTGTTCTTGGCCCGGCACTCGTACTTGCCCGCATCGGAGGAACTATTGAAGGAGCTCACGATCAGTTCGGAGCGTCTTCTATTTAAATTGAGAATTTTTATTTATTATTTGATCAGACGGGAATAAAACACACACACCCATATATATACTAGAAACACTTACTTGTGATGCTTGAATTGGTAAACGTTGCGCTTGCGATTGATGGACCTGTCATCCTTGAACCAGGTGACCTTCGGCGGCGGCTGGCCCGTCACCTTGCAGATTATCTTCAGCTCCTGGCCGTGTTTAATGGTCGAGTTGCTCGGCACTGAGGTGATCGACGTGATCGATGCGTTCTGTGCTGTAAGGAATTACCAATTTAGAATAGAAAATTAGACCATGCATTTCTCTTTCATCGTTCAATCGAATAAGAAAAACAACCATCCCATCGAAACGATCTAGCTAAAGGGGTAATTGCGGAATTTTCCACCTGTCTTTATGGACTTTATATTATTCTCAGACATTGGCAGCCATAAACAAAATAGCAAACTAGAAAATAATTCAGATTCTTTAAGATTTTCCCATGAGTCTGGTGTTTTATGGGCGTCGCGCCTGTTTGGAGATCGTTAACATCGTTTCTTCTCTTCAACTTGGAAAGATTCATGGAATCGAAATTGGAAAAGGGAACTAAGTTGGCTTTATCACCGGATTGCTATTCCTTATCGTCTAGCATTACACGATCATGAGAAAGTACAATGGAATTCCTCAAATTCATTTCCGGATAATAAATTGTAAACTTTTAAGACTTAAGACCCACCCACCTTGGTGGTTATCTAAGTTCAGTTTCTAGGAAGAGGAAGGGTTCTACGAACCAACCTCCCGTGCCATCGCGTGCCCTTTTTATCAATAGATTTGGTTTAAATAGATTTTTCAGTTAGCCGGTTACCCAATTACATATTTAAGAGTCACAACAGACTGACTCACCAATGCCGGCGACTAATTGGCAATGAAACCTCTCGTATCTTCTGCATTTATTTTTTCTTAGCCGATTTGCCACTCCCCCGCTTTCTTAAATTTAGCCACCATATCACGTGTCTGACGAAGAGGGGTCTGGACGGGGACGGGGGCGGTTGCAGCTTTAAGGGGGTCGGGGTACTACTCGTCTAAGTACTCGTCACATGCTAATTGAGATCTGCGTGCGCTGTCTCCCCATGGGTGATTCATGATCATTCATCGATCGGTGGATCTATTTAAGTTTGTGGGTGTTGTGTGGTGGTGGTGCAATGGCAGCCAAAATAATGCACATCCACTGGGTTATGTAATTGGCAGGGAATACGAATTAATATTGTGGCTATACATATAGCCAGTTCCAAGCAGTCTGCAAAGTCTGCGCTGATTTAATGCCCAGCAAATGTTAATTTATGCGATGAGGATCGCGTGGCGAGACGAAGCTGTCCATATGGATATATACGTATAGATATAATGTGATTTTATATTCGCAAAATAAACACTGAGAGAAATTTTTAGAAATTATTAAAGAAATAAATAAGTGAGGACTCAGGGCAGAGTATATCTGAGATCCCACTTCCACTTCATCTTAGTCCTTTATTTTTCTTTCAGTGTACTCCTTTATATAGGTGCTTTTATTCTTAAAAATTTTTCATATATTTAAAGATAAATTATTGTTTATAATTTATGTTTGGCCCAGCGTCGGGCCATAAAGCAGCATTTTAATTGTGCGCGCCACTTTCTCACGCTCCCAAATTGTTTGCTCGTATCTGTGTATCTATGTATCCGAGTATCTGTGTATATCTGTGTGTATGGAAGAGATACGAAACGTCAACTCACAAGTGTCCACACACAAGACGATTAAGAATTGAAGGCACCAAGCACACAGCTACTCAGATACCCAGATACCCAGATACAGATACAGATACAGATATAAAACAAGTTGACAATTGTCATGAACAGCTCCTACTTCCCTGCCCGGAGCGGTTCTCGCTTTGATTTAACCAGAAATCCCAGCCAGAATAATAAGATGAACATTTTTATTTGACTTCTGCGTGTGTTCTGTTCGGTTCAGACCAAAAATTGGCATATCATATTGCTTCGATATCTGTCCCCCCCTCCCATACTCTCATTATGACTTAATTATGCGCTCAAAAAAAAAAAAAACCAACAAAATTAATAAAAAATTGATGTGATTTTATTTGAGTATTTTTTTTTGGTCGGGCCATTGGTCTTTTGACGGGAATCGGTATTGGTATTCGAGGGAGAGAGTTGAAGGATAAGGAGGTATCGATCTGAAATCCAATCCGACACACAGAGCTCATTGGCCTCTCGAGTGGGGTGTTTGTTTTTGGTGGGCCAGAGCCCAGCAAGTGCGTCAACAACTACGTCAAAGCTAAAGCTAACAACTAACACCAAATCCAAATCCAAATCTGAATCTATAGCCAAAATGCTGATGTCGCGACGCGCTTCCGGAAAAGTCTGGCCATCCAAAAAGTAACGAAAAAAGTGTGGAAGGAAGCGCTGCCAAAGAAAAGGCAGGAAAACTGTCGTCGTTTTCGCCTCGTTGGCAGTCTCCTCTTGCCTTCCAAGCCCCTCACAGTCAGACAGACAGACAGACTGGGACGGAGACAAGCATTAAAATAACTTTTCATATTTCAAATAATATTTTTTTTTTGTATTTTTTTTGCATTTCATTTTTCGCCCGACGCGCTTTTCTTTCCGAGCGTGACGATGCCGCCAATGATTCATGCAAATCCATCATCAGCCAGCGAACGGGCCACAAGAGAAGCATTTCAGGGGCGGTGTGGTATGGTTATCGCATCAGGTCGCGGTAACACAGTGGTGAGAGGGGCGAGGGGGATAAATTAAGTTGCTTTGCATTGAATTAATCAGCGGAATTGCATGCGACACGCCGACTGGCGCCATCTGTCGGTTCAAATTGCCTGCGAATCATACATATATATAATATATATCTGTACTCACTACACTGAACTACACTCATTGAGAAAAATGCAATTTACATAGTCATTACCCACTCGGATCATTGTTCCGATGGGTTTATCCCAATTGTGCAATCTTTCAAATGCAATTTTTTTCCCTCAAAAATTATCTATATATATTTTTATGCAATATACATATAAGTACAATATATACTTGGTATATTCAATTTTCAATATACGGCCAGCGAGTGGGAAAGAAAGAGACAATTTATTTTGGCAGCTCGGCGGGTGACCCACATTCTGTGAGATGCTGTCAGCGGAAGTTTTTCCAAAAAATAAAATTCATATAAATTTTCCCTCAACTTGGTCACCCACCCCATCTTCGCGTGCGTTTTCGGTTATTTACGATTTCGAATGCGTTCGAGTGTTATTTATTTGATTATTTTTGATTCATTTTTATTGGCCCGCGACATTGTGTCACTCCTGGCTGGATTCTCTTGAATAAAGTCCAAGTCGATGATTTATCGTCCCGTAAACAAATAATTCAACCACCACCACTCATTCACTCACTATCTTATTTGTCTGGATAATATAATAATGATTGTGACAATTGTAGCACGCGTCCTCCTCACTTTTGTTCACTTAATGTTTTGATAATATTTGCATGATAAGCGTCACCTATAAAAATTGCGCATACGCAGTGTTGGCCTAGGCAAAGGCAAAGGCCTTTCGAGTAGCACTGCAATGGCCTCTTATCAGTGGGATAATGCATCGACAACAGGTATTCAGTTGTTCAGTATATGTGATAGTTGATTAAATAATGGAAAGTGAGGGGAGTTTTCTTACTATTTTTATTCGAAGATGGGGGAACCCTGAAAATCGGAAACCTCACAAACTTGGCCATTTCTTATCCTTTTAAGCTGAAACTTGTCAATTTTTTGTATTATATCGTTACTTTTAAGTATACACCAAAAGGAAATGTGATACTCTACAAATATAAATAAAAAAAGCATAAAATCTTTTCAAGTAAAAGCAAACATTTCAAGAAAAAGGAACCAACGTGGTTGGAACAATGTCGCTTCCATACCCACAAGAAAAAAAAATAAAGATCTCAACAGACACATCAAGACAGTTGAAAGATTTTCACGATTTGAGAGAGTTGGATTGGAAAATGGGCAGATGGGTGGGGGGCGAATGGGGCGACGATGGGCGGATGGATGGCTGGCACGTGTGGCCAAAATGCTGGCAGAACTAATAAAACTAGAAAATAGCATATAGCAACCGAAACAACACCAACATTGGCAACGTTGTCGCCATTTGGTTGATGTCGATTTTGTCCATGTTTGTTTGTGATTCTCAGACGTTCTTGTTTATTTGCACATTGCGTATACGCACTGTGATTTCCTTTGAAGCGTTGACTTTCCACGTTTTTTGTCGCTGGCGCTGACAACTCAAGCAAATAGAGAGACGGGCATGTTTTGTAAGTAAAAAACAAAAAAAAAAAGGGGGCAAAGCAGGCAATGGAATTTGTATTTTCCACAAACATCAACGGAAGACTACCGCTAATGGAAGAATCTGCTGAGATCCAGTCTGAGGCGCATTTATCATTCATTTGGAATAACAATAACAAGTGTAATCTTCTCAAGATAAGCGATAAGTACCCGCCCCCTTTGGGGTTGATTTGAACTTCCCCTTTGATATGTTTTTTTTTTCTATTTTTCTATTTTTTTTTGATTTTGTATGTATTTTTACCCGGCACTGTCTGTTGCGTTTAATTAAGTCAAGTGAGCGACCGCCATGCAACAACAGAAGCGGCATCAACAGCGGCATCAATTGTCTTTGCCACAGCCTCTAAATGCCAAGAAATTTGCTTCAGATCTCTACGGTTGGCTTCTATTTACCTTATACACCGGAAGAAATATTATAGTCATTATTTAAAGTCCTCAAAAAATATAAATAAAATCGTACAGTTTTTGAAAACTAAACCCACCTGTCTGGTAGATAGTTTTTTTAAGCAAAACATTTTTTTTTAAGAGATTAATTTTTTTTTTTGTGTACACCTTTAGCTTGCATTTGTTTTGTTTATTTGGTTGGCTTTCTTTGTTTGCCGCTGCTCTATTTTCTTAGCTTTTTTAGTGGCTTTTTTGTGTGAGTCTCTCGGTTCATCGGCTAGCTGGCAGAATCTGCTCGCCCAGCTGTTACGCCAAACAAGATCTCTAACCCGAGCGAAATCGGTTCATTTGTATCTGCTAGATGCTGACTGTTTTTTTTCGGTCAGATTTAAATATCATCCCGCTCTTATCACCGAACCAGACTTTCTCACGTTCCTCTGACTAATTGCGGCCCCCAAAATGGCACCTTGGCACCCAGTTAGCTTGGCTTATCACTGGCCGTGTCAGCTGTGTGCGGC